AGATTTATTTCAAGCTGCACATAAAAAGACAGAAATGCGTCGGAGAAACAGGCCCGGTGATCTTTAACATCCAAGCCCCGGCGCGGCGATTTCCATTCGAATAATTCGCACTCGTCAACCAACAGAGGCAGTTTAGCAAGTTAATTACGTAATGTTTGCGCCTCTCGATAAATTAATTATCTTTGTGTTTATTTATTTTAACTTTAATTAGAAGACACCCGCGTGTTCTTAAGGAATCGATTGAAGTAAAGAATAATTTGTTATCTCACGAATACACGCGCCGGCGCTCTAATTAGAGCGCGATCATTAACGAATGAATATTATGCATCTCGATGGAGACAATCAATTAGACCCGAAGTCCTTGAAGGTGACTCGTCGAACGGAAATGTCCGTAGACGGAGATTAGTCGTCCGCTAATTTGCTCATAATTAGTCGAAAATTGGCACTTTTTTGCGAAGGCACTCTTCGCACTAATGGAAAGCAGGGTCTCCTGTTTTTAGGATTCATTAAAGCAGCTTTCAGTAAATGGACGTGAATGCTGATGTCGGCTGATAACTATGTGCCAGTCACATATGCAAATGAAAATTGCTAATTCGTCATATTTATGGCAAGGAAGGTTGGTTTTTTAATTTTCACATTTACTGCAGGATAAACTTTTGCTGATATAAAATTGCCTTGCATACATTATCAGCTTGTTTCAAACGCGCTTTGTATTCCTAGCAATTTTTCTAATTATTATTTCATAATTGTCGATTGCTTTGTCAAAAATAATCGCCTGTTTTGTTCCTCGTCGTAATTTAGAGTAATTAGATCCGTATCGATTAAAAAGTTATCTTCACTCTGTATATATTTTTTCGAAGAAGGGTGACGTCGACTTTGCAAATGTTATCGCGAGCTGCCACGCGCACGTCTCCGCCGAGGGGCGTTATAAATAATGCCAGACCACAGCGGCGTCGTGGAATCGACATTATCTACGTCGACGTAGTCCTGGCGTCATTCATCCTACATCTGTAACGCCGCGGAAAATCCGCTTTGCGATTCATGTGACGTCGTCGTAGAGAGACGAAGTGATTTATAGCCCGAGCATTTTATTAAATCTAAATCTCGCGCTGCCCGAAAAAATTTGCGTGCACGAACGCGTACAATTAGTCCAAAAATACCCATCTCGGCGATTAAGCTCTAATGTTTTTCACATTTTCTTTAAAAGCTTTCGCAAACGATTTATTCATAATAATTGAAAATTCGATCGAACTCATTGCTTACGCAAATATAACGTTCACGGAATAATTATTTTGTTTACTGTCGGCGGCAGAATCTAATCTGATAACAATCCAATCCGCTTATAAGATTATCCACTCTTCAGGAATAGCACGCAAATGGAAAGATTTAACGAAGTATGCATACGCAATGCATATGAATCAATTGCGAGTGACGTTAAAATAATCCAGTTATTTATACCTCGCAATGTATAGTTGCAGCTCGTAGTTCTATTTTCGCAGTAGTATTACTACTCGTGACTCGAGTGGTGCGAACGACCACGAGGATCTCTCCGTTTATTCTTTCTGGTGTGTCTGGCGTTCGTTCATTTTTTCCCCTCACACGTTCAATACTCCGCGCAGACATTTGAGAAACTGGACGATTCTTTCGAGAGTGACTTTTTCTCTCTAATTTTTTTTTTCTCTTAAAAATCATTGACGAACTTTTCAAAAGGCAATTCGTCCTCATATTTTCGCAAAATTGTAGTACTCGTGGCGATGCAAAGTATTTGCGAAATTAACACTTACGTAAGTCTTGGAGTATTGTACCTGTCACTCAACGAATCTCTCACGGAACCTCTTGGCGCCGCGTCTCGCGAGAAATTACGTTACCTTCGCGATTTAACTCACTGAGTCATCGTCATCAGATGCTGAGCGTTGCTCGTGACGCGATCGAGTCGCATCGCGTAGCTTCGTCGCATTTCTGCACAAACTACGACAACTACGTCGAAATCGTCAAGCACCGGAACGAGATAGCGGTTCCCAATCTTTCCGCAACGTGTACCCAATCCGCCACGATTAGGCGAAGCAAATTTTAAGCTAGATCTAAATAAAAAGATTCATTATATCTCTCAAACGCTTATGCGTAAATTCAGATTTATAATCTGTATCATGATTTTTTGCTTTCAATGCATAATAAGTATTTTACGATTGTACCTAATGCGACATGCGGTTTTCTCCAGTCATCGCGCAAACATAAGATTTGAGAGCGCAAATTATCTTTTTATAGCGCCGCAATTGTGCGATTATACGAGTTTATTCAACACGGAAAACAAGAGTAATTACTCGAGATTGGTGGCAACTGCGCAAAAAGAATAGCGGTTGCACAAAGGCAAATGCGAATAGCGATATAGCGAAGGATATATTCCTTTCGTCATACGTATACGTATGACGAAAGGAAAAATGTGGTAAACAAAACGTATGTGAAAAGGAAAAATAATTGTGCTGGAAATAAACTTTTACAAGCAGTGCATACTCTTTATACAGAGCCGATAAATTTTCAAGGTTTTACTTATTGTTAGACTTTTACCAGTAGAAATGATGCATAATTCCAGGAAAGTCCGAAAGCTTTTGCAGGCGCGTTTGGTACCACGTTGTGCGAGCGTGCGCGCGATAAACTTTTATCACCGACGCGATTTGCAGCTCGGCATTATCCTTTCCGCTTAGCGCCGCGTTATCGGCGATTTAGTAGGCCACTTTAATCCACATCCGTTTCGATCACTATTATTAAATCGATCCAAGGCGGCTGTGTAGTTTGCATTCTCGCGTTATGCCGACCGATAGACATATCGATCGCTACGTCTCGGAGGAACGTCGAGAATTCTGTACGCAGAATCGTGCAGGATGACCAGTTTTATCTGCGATTATGTTATCGCGGCTAATGGAACTCCCGCATACGCATACGCGCGCGATTTCATAAAGGTCCCCCGGGAGGTTAATAAATGCAAATGTAAATCGATCGGTTTTGCACGACGAAGCAGTACTAGCTGGCGACGACGCGAGATATCGATTCCTGTATACTTTTAATAATGCGTCCCCCGACGACACGCGGATCGATGTTGTGTTGGCCTACGTTTATCTAAAATCTACAATCGCTTTATTTTCAATCGAGGAAATAAAATTCTGTTCATTTACGTGTTAGAATCTCAGAAGTCCTGGAAATATTTTAACGTATATTTAATTGTTGATTTTAACATTTTTTTTTCTCGATGTATAATAAATTCTTATTGTGTTGGTCATTTTTACATGTATAATCGGCGTTCAATATTCGTAGAAATGTACGATTATTTAAAGATGACTTTATTTTACGATTTATAGCGAACGCGCCATTTGTTTTCGCTGTGCATTACGAAGCGTCGAAAGAATTTCTTATCAACACCATTTATTATGTTTCTGTCGAGACCATTTTACGTGTGGCAATGTTTGGCGTGCCTCGCCATGCATCGACTAAAAAATCCTTGACTCTCTCCGTCTATCCGCTAATGCGATCAGACGGCTGACAATTTTATGACGATTAGTTTCTCGAATCTGTCTGTTAAAACCATTTTTCACACCCGTTCAATTTATATTCTAATTTATGTCGCGTTTGAAACTGCTTTCTATTGTGCGGAGATTAATCGTATCTATTGGCCTCCCATTGAAAGAGAACAATTGCGAAACGAGAAGCGAATCGTAAAGTATTATTTCTCACATCTATTTTGCGTTTTGTAAAAATGAGTTTCCTGCTTTCCTTCTGAATGTCAGCCAATTGGCAGAACAAGCAAGAGGCGGATGCGAGTCACCTACTTGCCTATCGCCTGGTTGCGTAATGCATGACGGAAATCGAAGTGCTTTATCGATATCGCGGATGCGGACCACGTACCGCTGATATGCTTTCTCGTAGAAAGCAAAAGCGCGCGGCGGCTTTCGTGCCAAGGTGAGATCACGGTGAAATCCGCTCTCGGGGTGTCCTTCGCTCGTTATCGTTACATACGAGCTTATGCATACATATGGTATTTTAATAAATCATTCAACAAGCACGCTAATTCTTTAATACTCGGACGTTGTATTATATAATCTATAATATTTAATTCGAGACAGAACTATAAACTTACCTAACATTTAAAATCAACAACTTTCGAATTGAATTTCAAAACGGATGAACGAATGTAGACAAATTTTATTCTTTTCCGCGCAACTGTTTAAAAAAAAAAAAAGCTTTGCAAGATTTTTGATAAATTTCTATCATATTTTTTCAGTCTAAATTAGATATTTTGTGGTGAAAGGCGCGTGTGAATGTAATTATTATGAACCTTGGCCTTTGATTATAATAGATTCTAATGAAATCTTTCGGGGCGATTCGTTATAAAACTTTTTCCTCGTATGCGTAACGACTTTACTATATCTGGCGCTTGTATGTGCAAATACTTTAAGATCGCTCGTTATCGTTATCGCCTCCCGGGATTTCCGTTGGTGTGCTTGTTTATCGCTGTTTCTCGTTTGTACCTCGAAATCCGAAGAATTTTTTTTTGCGATAGGATGCAAAAGAATTTCTAAGTACTCGTGTGTTTTGTATAATAGCTCTCGTATTGCGCCATGTCAAATGGAAATTATTCGTCTGTATAAATTATATATAACGATTTACTACCGTTCTATTATCGTTTTCTATTATACAGTCATGTATTCTGAGATACATTTTAAATTGATTTTTCCTTATATATAGAACTCTTGTGCAATTTCCAATGTTTTAACATTAATTACTTTTACATAATAAAGTCTTTAATTAAAATTCTGTTAAAATGAGATCGGTTCGCGAGTGAAACACTTTTATTGCTAAAGATATTTAATTTTTTAATAGCTCGAAACTTGAAAGTTGTTGACATTTCGATCTCTTTAATGGGGAAAAATCTTTCAGCATTTTAAAATGATACTCGCGACAGAGTCTCGACTGCGATTATAAATATTTTTTTCATTTTTATGTTTCAGTGCCCACTTATCAGCGCAACATGTCGGTCACTTCCGTGCAGCCAGCCAGCACCGAGAGCCTCTCCCGCCATGGGTGAGTAAAATGTCGATTTAATCCTTCCGCGAGACGGACATCGGTCAGCCGCGGCTTGTAATTGCAAATGTCCGTCTCGCTCGAACGGTTTTCCTGCTACAGAATGCGTCGATATTGAGTAGATCCTCCTGTTACAGGACATACGCAACATGTATAAATTTCGAACGATCTTGTCGAGGTATTCTTTCTTCTAACGCGTAACATTTTTCTAACATGAAGAAACTCTAATTTCTACACGAGATAAAAAACGAATCGTTTGAGGCTAAAATACTAGAGTTGAAATACGTATCTTGCAAAATTCATGTGAAAATGCATGGAAATGTATGTTTGAAAATGACATTAAATGACGTTTAATCGCAAATGATGGTTCACATCCGGACAATGAAAATCTAGAAGCTTCGCTCATTATGTGGACACAGTTTTACGTTTTTAATTATGCCACGGGTAATTAGCACTAAACGCGAACGACGTAATCTTGAGTGATAAAGGGTGGAGTGAGAGAGGCTGTTCTGCAATTTGTGCGTTAGTCAAGCCGGCGATTGCAACGTTTCCCGTTTCCGTCGAAGTACGCGGCGCATAACTCGGCTTCCTACATAACGTATTGTGTGTGCATGTGCGGATCCTAGGCGGAAATGCCAATCGGAGAACGTTAATAACAATTCGAGACCGCTATACTCTGCCGAGCATTGCCTAAAATGAAAAAAAGATACATGATTAATGTAGGAAGTTTAATAAAATTTCGTTGTCAGCAAACAAAAACAATAATTTTACCTTTTGTCTAAAAGTCGGGAAATAAATATTTTTGTTTGTGCAGTCATCATTCATCCACTTAAATCCAGTTAGTCTAATTATAACTCGGAGTTATTCGCAAGAGACTACTGCACTCTTTAGTTGTCTCAGGATTGTTAAATTTAATTCGGAAGAATAAAAATATGATGCAGAGGTTTGTAATCACTCATCTGGGAATCCTAACAATTCTGTTGTTGTTCGTTTCGCGATTTAATACGGCCATTCAAGAAACTCCGTTCGCGGCCTTTGTTCCCTCACGTATAACTCCGTGACTGTGTCGAACGCACAGATATGCGGCGCAACACGCACACAGTACGAAGCGAGTTGGCTCATTACACGTGCGTTCACGTCGCCGTCACGTGAAAGAAACGTTTTTCTTCCTGATTACCATATGCGCACACTCATTAGACTTAATCCGCCCCGCTGCCGCCGCGAGTGCGCGCCTCTCTTTCTCCGACCGGCAAAGGTTCAAGGCGATTTGCCCGCGTATCATCCTCATTCCGTCCCCGCAAATCATATACCTCAGAAAATCACAAGGCTGTCGAACATCTTTAACTCACCGTGAACGGACTTTTGCCCTCCCCTGTTCCGCGTATACGCGGCCGCCGTCTTTTCAACGTTGGACCCGACGAGTACAGAGTTCTCGACCGAGTACGAGGTCGACGATTCTTTAACGGATTTAATTATACGAAAGTACTTCATTATAATACGATTAGCATCAAGAATATGAAATACATCAATTTAATACAGAGAGGCAAAAGTAGAACAAAAGCGTTCTTAATTATGATCAACTTAATTATTTCGTATCACTTAATTGTTTATGCATATTTAAAATTGAGAAATAGAGCTACGGCGAAAAGAGCATCGACACGGATTTACTTTGCAGAGAAATTAAAAGATTTATCGTGATAACGGTATAATTTTTATCGCGCGATATAATTAAAGTTGCGTGCGGGAAAACTCGATTTCACTAATTTAATAAGTTTATTGATCATCTGACTTACATGGATCGTCATTTCGTTGGCTTGCAGAAGCAACATCTCGTTATCCTGCCATAGTTTGTGCGGGAGCGTGGACGACGGTCTGCAAGGCTCGCATCCTCAATACCAGGACACGATCCTCACGATCGAGGAGCTGCGCGCCCAGCTGAACTCCTGCTTTACGTAAGTTCACGATTGATTTTCGCTCTTATCGGTATGCATGTCGGATATAAATCAAATTGCTGCGCAGTTGCACGCGTGATACGGCGCATTCCTGCGACAGAACGTGGGAATTAATCGGAGATTATACAACGCATCGAGAGTGACGTTATTGTCTGGTCAAATGGAATCTGGCACGATCCAGTGCGGTTTCAATTTATCGCGTGATGCAATCGCGTTCGCATTATTTTTTTCTTCCAATTTAAGAGAAATGGCGCTCTCCTCGATGAAAATCAGATTTACACGAAAAATCGGAGAAAGGCTCGAAAAAGTAGTGTTTTCCGATTGTTCTCGAATTCGGTGCATCGGTGCACCGCTCGGCGGAAAGCATGTTAATTCCATAGTAGATCGTGTTATCGCTGTTGGAATGCAGGAATGAGGCTAATAGGTATATTCAGTGTTTATCTAGTGGCGGTTGTCGCGATTGCTCGGTGAATCGATGCCCTACATTCGATGTTTGTAGTTTCAATGCGCAATTTTCACGAAACATTCACGAAACATTGCATCTCGTTGCGATCGAATTAGTCAAGAATGTACAACTATGAAAAAAAGAAAGGCATTTTTTAATCCAGTGAGGAGCTTTTTTTTTATTCTTGAATGTTGTAAAATTTGTATTTAATCAATTCTTAATTCTATACGTTAATTGGCGTACAATTTCTATCATAAAATTTAACATTACTCTTTAGCATTACAAAAATCTTATAATTATTCAAATTGTGACATATATTGACGTAACATCAACGTCATTTAAATGATGCAATACCTCTCGTTTTTGGAAGTATAATTTTTTTAACGGCGGCTTTTTAATGCAAATCGTCAACTTGTTTTTTTTCTTTTTCTATTAAAATATAAATATAAAGGTTGTTAGAAGCTACGCCTATTTGGCCGCCGCTTACAACATAATGCAATGTACATTATTCGAGTCTGATTCACACTTTTAACCGTTTCTCTGTCGAAATTCTTAATCACTGTGTAAACGTGAGTTTAAGCGTATGTGTGTATGTATGACTGCAGTGTGTGAGTTCTCAGATCCGTGGATTGCTAAGCCCAAATTACTGTGCGGTTCAGTCATCCATGCGGAGACTTCTCGCGTATTTCGTTTCTCCGAACTACCGTCGTCTCGCGTCTGACATAAACAACACGCGTATTCACGGTTTATCCTGTTCTTTGTGCAGATGCGGAGTATCGTGGAGTGAGGAACACGTCTCCCTGGACTGCAGCGAATGCGGTGGCTACTCCTTACAACGGCCGTGCCCGCTCTGCGACGGCCGTTGCCGCACCGTGTGGAAGCGTGACCTCACCATGGTAAATATCCGCTCTGTGACCCCCGAGACCGGATAAATGCCCTCGCCCGATCGGCCTGATATTAACCTTCGCCATTCACCACCCTATTCCTTCTCATTAAATCACTGATTAAATAATTTATTACTTATTATTCCTTATTCGTTATTGATCGTCGCATTGATTGAACCCTTTATTCCTGACATTCGTTTCAATGGATGCCGAATCTTTTATATTTTGATCAAGATTTGAAAGCTAAGAAACCAAATGTTAAAAATAGATCTTTATTTTTTGTTATTAATAAATAAAAAAATGATTAATGACTATTTCTATCTTCCAAGCCTTTAATTGATTTTCATTTAGCGTGTAAAAGAACTTGCAATTTTTATTCCAAGACTTTAGAAAAAAAATCTAAAAAGTCTTGCGCTTCCTCATTGCAGTCTCACGCGAGCGGGAAGGCGAGATGGATCGGCGAGTGTGGGCTGAGTTGCGGACCCTCCTTGGAAGAATCCTTGGTGCCGGCGCTGGAGAAGCTGCGGGCTACCTCGTGAACGGCGCCGGTCCAAGTACCGCCAACCATGCACAAGACTTAAAATCCATCACCATCCATCTAGCGTCACCCACCACCATCGCGCGTGAGACTCAAGAGAGAAAGGAAGAGAGAGAATGTGTGAATGTGGACCGCGGATGAATATGCATTATGTTCCTGAGGAGAGCAGCTGACAAAAGAGAGGAGGCAGGAGGAGCCTGTCACGGGCTCCCGTAACTTCCTGCCCGAAGATGCAAAGCCGGACTCAGCTGGTCTCTTGACATCGGGGACCATCGTCGTCATCGTCGTCGCCCCCGCCGTTCAGGCGGAAGTTACAAAGCTGTGCACGATCGACGTCCAAAGTCTGCGAAGGATTTCTACGATGTACCGAAGGATAACTATATTACGCGATTATAATAGACATTATAGAGAACTGCTTTTGCCGCGAACCGATTTCAATTTATTCTCGGATTTATGCCGATTCAATCTACCGTTTACTTCGATTCCTTCTCTGTTCGGAATTAAGATTTCTCATTGGGAAATATAGTTTTTTTGTCGCTGAGTTAGAACTATTATACGAAGTTAGAAACTACGAGATTGATAATTTTGCGCTTCTGCTAAAAAGAATTGAAGAATCTTATATAGAAATTTCTGCTAAGAAAACATGTCGGTGTATTCGAAGCAAGCTTGATTGTTCCCTTTAGTATATTCTGTCTCGGCGGTTCAAGTAGAGACGTGTAGCATCGACGAAGGGCGACCAGGTATGAATTGTACGCAATACGCTCGGTTTCCGGGTGCATCTCGATTTATCCGGCTCGTATGCAATGTTCGAGATGCGAACTTCGCACGAAGAAAAGTAAGAGTATGAATAGTCTGAGAGTTTACGTAGATACGAACGAAGCATCTTGCTTTTAGCTCTGATTGGAATAACATGCGAAATATGATGAATCGACATCTTGGCAGCTGGAACGACGTGCTTCCAAGATATCGATTTACGCGCTATATGTGTCCGTTGTAAAAGTGAATTAGCTTATAGCAGAATTGAACTTTCCGATGCGACTTCCGCTTCGCGTGCGTTAAACAAGAGGACGTACTGCACTTGAATCGGTCGATTGAAAAAAAATGAACATGAGTCTATCATTTTAAAAAATTAAAATAGCTGACTTACAAAGTCTTACAAAAACGTTACGATATAATGTCCATTTATCTGTTATCTGAAGATAATGTTTTAGAAATGTATAGTCCTTTATTATTCCTGAAATATTTTTAATTTCTACGTCATGACAGTCTCGAAACAATCGATTCATTTGTAGAAAATTCAATTTCCTGATTGTTACGGATATTTTCAATTGTTTTATATCAATAGAAATTCTAAGTCGTCCAAACGCGACGTTAAATCGCGACATCGACGTACTTAATGACGATGGCTTAGATCTTCGGTCGTCCCTACAACAATCCGAAGAGCTGGACTTTCACTTTACTTTTTTACGTAACGAAAGTTACACCTCGGCCTCTACGTCGCGTGAAAGAGCGCGCATCTGCATAACTTAGGATAATTATTAGGCGACAAATAATCGATCGAGCGATCTGAGGCGGGGAGAGCCTATTTACGGGGCTCGTCTTTCGCGCGAGAGCACGACGTATCGATTTTGTAGGTAAAATAATTATTCGGTATCGCTTAATTGTCACAATTGTATCATCGGCGAAGTAATTCCGAGCTTTGCGACTGTATACGATAAAAAAGGAAAATTAGTCGAAGTTTTCGTCTCCTTAGCGGGGCTTTAGTCTTAATGTGACGCGACTTAATCGTCATAGTCCTAAGGATCGATAGGCAATCGGTGTTACGAATCCGAGAAATATATTAATTTCCACAAATAGAACTAGAGAATTTTCAAGCGTTCTTGCACGTTGAAATTGGTACGACGAGAAAAACAAAAAAAACAGTAAATAATACAATTATAACTATCCGTTTCTATCGTAACGGAAACTTATGCGAATTTCCTTGGGTCTATGAAAAGTTTCGAAAGAAACTTGATTGTATTTATAGCGTTTCTCGACAAAGATACGTCTTGCTCGTTTTAAATCGCTTTAAATCCGCTTTCATGGCAAGCTTTCTTGCCACGTTGGTTGGAAGCGAAGCTCGTCCTCGAGTGCGTGTGAAGTCACGCAATTCAATAGTAGATTCGACATAAAAAACATTGCGAGTGCCAAAATTGGAAACGTGAAATTTTTTAGAAAAATCTCTCAGAAAAGCCAAATCAAAGTTACTTTTCTAACAATGCTTTCTGGGCATCCTGATGAATATTTATATATATATTTGATATTTTAGTAATGTGTGAAGAAACATAGAAATTAATTAAAGAATTCTTAAAGACGTTCATTTTTTATACATAAGATATGCATGCATTTATAGCTTCTCGTGATGCTCTTACCATATTTAATGCGGTGCTTGCAGGATTTTTTCTGTCAAATCATTTTAGGAAGCATTTACGTCGTGCCAATAACTTTTTCGGATTTTTATCATTGTTTTATAAGAATCCCGTGCCGAAGCCTTTCTTAGCAAAGTGTAGGAACAAAAAGACGAATCGATTTTCCTCGGCAGCGCGTATACCAATACATATATATTGCGAGTGCGAGTACATGTTCATTAAAAACGCATCTTCATTTATTAAATTAAACTGTAATGTGTAAAACTTTTCTGGAGTATTAGCTCGCGGCGAGCTTTAGTTTAATGCTTTAGAAAGTGTCCTCGGTAGTAGTTTTTATTTAATCTGCGAACTTCTTATTTATGACGAATACTGCAACAGTATGGGTTTAATAAATACATATAAAAATTCACCACGACTTGTTAATGCGAACCTCCCACTCCTGTAAATATCCTTGCAAAATGTAGATCAATGGATACTGATAGAAATTTTATACGGGGCTGTCGGTCTTTAATAAATATCTTGTCGTTGCTCTTGTGTCCGCAAGAGACGCGATAGTGCGCTTTGCATGATAAGACGCGACGAGGTTCCTCTAATCAACTGTGTTATGCATTATCGTTTCGTTGAATAAAAAGTGTAACAACACTTTATTGACACTCCTCACGGTTTATGTACATTTCCATGCTAAGCAGCACGCTCACACGACTTTTTACAGATCGAGAGTGAAATAAGTATTTTATTGTATCCGTGTCGTGTTTCTAGTGTTCTAATATTTTACTCAACTCACATTGTACGTAATATCAGTACAACACCAAGGGGACAACATAGAAACAGCTGTAATCGATTAAACAGAAATTCTATGCGATCATGATTGTAGTAATGATTTCAATGATAATTTTAATGCTCAGTAGTTTATTGCACAAATCGTTTGGAGAATAAATTTTTTTTAATGATTACATGTTAATATATATTAATATTAGGTTATAATAAATGTATATCAATAAATATTTAGCTTTTTGTAATTTTACATTTTACAAAAATATAGTTAATACTGTTTCTATGTCGCCGTCTTGCAAGGTAATCTAAGTATTCAGCCGCTACGAAGGTTGTATTACAAATGTATACTGTTATACAATCTTTTAAGGCGCATGTGCTCACAATCGCATTCGCGCGTAAATGATGTTTATGGATATTTCAAATATTCGACCAACTTGATGAAATATTGAATCAATCTTTCGACGATTTCTTTAAGATCCAATTTTTGATTCATAAACCCTTATATCGAAAGAGAAAAAGCAAAATATTTCAAGATAAACCTTTCGATCAATTTTTTTACATCTACGATGGTAAAAATATATAAATCGCTACAATGAACACCAAATCGACATTGAAAATAGCAATCATCAAAGTACAATAATGCATACTATCGCGTGCAACAGTTCGAAGTATCAATGTCCGATACATAAGTGAGAATTTTTGGCAAAAAGTGAATAAAATTAAGTTAACAAACGTACTCCTGCCAGGAGTCTTCAATAAGCTTTTATCAAAACTTACTAAAGATTACTTACTAAAGATTTTGTCATACGTTAATTTATAATTTGTGAGAATAATGCTTTGATCGGATTCTGCAATGATTAAATTGTTATTATTAAGTGCATCATTGCACGCCAGAATACGCATTATATTGTACATTATTGTACATATTGTATTGTAGCTTGAGCGCAATGAGAACGTGTCGTAACCGAATACGTATCACATCACAAGAGAGAGAACTCCCTTCCTCAAAAGATCAATATTTCATATCCGAACTTCTTCTATTACTGCAATTTGTTCTAGTTTCGACTATTACCTCACGCTGAACTGAAAGCACCGAGATCCGCTGGACGAGATCGTGTAAGAACTTTTCCGCGAAGACGAGATGACAATAATCTCAGCACCGGTGTCCTACAAGGACCACTAATCCTGCTCGCAACTCGGCGCAAGCGATGACAAGAATCAACTTTGGTGCACGATGAAGTTCGTGTATATGTGTATGTGTGTGAAATAAATTAATAAATTCGCTGTATAATCATAGTAGAAGTAGTAACGCGAAGATCGTCGTAGCGACGATTTCATTATGTTACCACGATCTAAATTATCAGATTCTGATCGCGCAGAAACAGAAATTCGATGGCGATTGATGAAAATTCTAGGATGATGTAGTTCAATATTTTCGTTTAAAGAATAGCCTAGTAGGAACGAATCGCCGGCGGTACTGTCGCGCATTCCTGCTGATTGAGTGTAACGTCAATTACTGGCCTGTAGTCCAGAGATACCTTAAATGAATAAAATAAGATTAGAAGTTGAAGTAAAAATTAGAAAAAAATTAAAATTATAAATTAATAAAAAAATAATGAAAATCGAATAATCGATGTTAAAAATTATACAAAAAAATAAATTAAAAGGGTGAGAATTTAGAAATAGAGGTAACTTGTAGATAATGCAATACATCTCGATTTATTAACGAAGGAAAAAGTACCTCTCCCGTTCTCAAATTGATTTTTGACAGCGTGTGTTTCCTCCAATGTTGTTCTATCGGTTTCGCCTGCTGGTTGTCGATCGGTTTACTGTAATCGTATTCGTCGATTCTGTCCTTGTAATCTTCGCGAGCGTGCGCGCCGCGACTCTCCTTTCTGTTCTCCGCCCCCACGATGGTCTGCATCGCGTTGACCATAAGATTTTGTAGCTCAAGCGTCTCTATCAGATCGGAATTCCATATTAGAGACCTGTCCGCGACTTTCAGTTCATCGAGCTTCTTGTAAAGGTCGGTCATCTTCCGACAGCCTGAAAAAAAATTTTTCCATGACGTTTCCCATATTATGCAATGCATGTAAATTAGATCGTGCGCAGTCGTGTGTAACGCAAGCTCAGCGTCAGTAATTCTTACCTTCCTGCAAAGTCTCGGCCTCTCTGAAAACCGCTGCGTGCGTTTGCATGGTTTTCTGCATCGTCAGCCGCAAATCCGCGGTGGAAACGGACCCGTTGGCGTTTCTGACCCAGTCTAAATTGGCTACCGTCTCCTCGCCAGCGTTCTAAGCACGCGCGCGAAACGTTTCATAATTAAAATGTAATCTAAATAAAAAGTTTATAGCTTCGGAATAATAATATGACTTACAGGCCTCAAAGAGCCAATCTTTTCGCCAGGCTTGTTTTCCTGGGCGATGGTTTTAGCGCACGCACGTCCGAATACTACTAGATCCAACAAGGAGTTGGCACCCAGTCGATTGGCACCGTGAACGGACGCGCAAGCTGCCTCACCGCACGCGTATAATCCGGGCACCACTTTGTCCTGATTGTTCTCCTTAGTCAACACTTGACCCTTATAGTTTGTTGGTACGCCCCCTGCAATTTGAATGTTACATTTGTAGAGAATTTTGACTTTAACAATCGCAGAAAGCGCAAATGAGTTGTTGCAAGCTCCAAAGAATTTTTATAAGCTGTCTCGCAAACGTATATTAAATCAGCTTTATGTCTTCCTCAGAAATAGTTTCCTGTTAAGAGAAACCGTAATGACTTTAATGTTGACATCATCACGAAGAGTGTCAAGGCTCTCAATGATTGCAACATTCATAACGTCATTGTACAGAATATCAATGTAAAGGTAAACTCATCGCGTGACAATTGCTTTAATCGAGCTTCGCTTATCTCTATAAAAGTGAAATTAAATTAATTTTTTACTAACACAATTATTATAATGTAGAATATAATGTAAAATATATAATCTATGCATAAATATTCCTCAACAATTTCAAAAGATAAAAAATATTAATTAAAACTTATAAAAATCTATGAATAATTGTTGTTGTTCTGAGAACAAGTCTTTAAAAATTTCGATAGCTTTTCAACGTTTTAATTAATTAAAATCCACGCACCCATATTGTAATGGACAGTGGGTATAACGGGAATGGGTTCCCGGGTTACGTCGACACCCGCGAATATCATCGCCGTCTCGGAAATTCCCGGCAGTCGAGCTGCCAGCTGTTCAGGCGGCAGGTGGTGCAGTTGCAAGTAAATGTGATCCTTCTCCGCTCCGACGCCTCTAAGCAAAGAAAGAGATTATATTTACGAATATTTCCATAAATATAAGAGGAACTCACCGACGGATGACTCACCTTCCCTCTCTGATCTCCATTGTCATGGATCTAGACACCACGTCTCGTGACGCCAGGTCCTTCGCTACCGGCGCGTAACGTTCCATGAATCTTTCCCCCTCGCTGTTTATCAGATAACCGCCTTCGCCGCGGCTGCCTTCTGTGATCAGACATCCGGCGCCGTAGATACCTGGACGGAAATAATTTTTATAAATTCATATAGAAACTAAGGAAATACACAATAGATACTTATAGATCTTATGAAATATTCTAAAATAAACGCTTAATCGCGAATATTAAATATGAAATTTACTTCACCACAATGTTCTTTTATTTCAATCTTTAATTTAACTTTTCCACAAACTAAAACAACATGTTTATATATATTTTTGATGTATATTGAAATTATCAAAATATCTATCTCAAAATCTTTGAAAAAATCATTCAAAGATATTTCACTATTACATTAGAAGAATATGATTCTATACCTGTAGGGTGGAATTGTACAAACTCTAGGTCCTGATTAGGCAAATTGGCCCTGGAGACCATGGCAGTGCCGTCTCCGGTGCAGGTATGTGCGGACGTACAGGAAAAGTAAGCACGTCCGTAGCCACCAGTGGCGAGCACAGTGTTTTTAGCGTGGAAGCGATGCAAAGTCCCGTCTTCCAAACAAAGTGCGATTACACCGCGACATTCACCGTCTTCCATCAACAAGTCAAGCGCGAAATATTCGACAAAATAATTGCAATCGTAACTCAGCGACTGGCCGTAGAGTGTGTGCAGCAGAGAGTGGCCAGTTCTGTCGGCTACACAACAGCATCTGTGAGCCTGGCCGCCCTTGCCGAATTTGAGCGACTGACCGCCGAAGGCACGTTGATAGATTTTGCCTGAAAATAAAAATATGAATTAGTTGAATGATCAAATATAAAAATGTATCGAGTAATGCTAAAAATGATAGATTGTGGTAAAGATAGTTTTAATAGTTTTAATATAAATTTAAAATTATTTATTCTCAATATAACATTAACTTTTTGACGAAATACAACTCTTTGGATGGAATTTTAAGAATCTTAAGATTAAAAAAATTATTGCAGCATTCAAGTAAAAGAGAAATAGCAATCTTCAGCTACATGGCAACCAAACGATAAGTTTGTTATTGTCACAGTATTTTGAAAAATTCGCGTTTTATTTTCTGACTCGCAGAGACAAATTCTTGCTTCTTGCAATTACTTTTTACCAATGAGTAAGAATGCATAAATAAATATTGGTAGGGCAAGTATTCTTGTTTTAGAATTATTGGAAAATCATGGACGGTAACGATAGAAGAGACGAAAATCATGAAGTAACAAGAGATATAAAAGATGATGAGACTGCAGGTTCTGATAATCAGCATCAACTGATACCGAGATCCAGTCGCAAAGTTCCGCGAACTGAGTGAGAATTTGTACTTATTTTCAGTCATTGGATATATTTAAAAAAAATATATTCTTGTTCTTTTTTTGCATGAATATCTAATTAATTTTTTTGTGCGATAATTGTACAATAAATGTTTGGACAGGGCAGATTACGGGCAATGTGATAAAAAGCCAACCCGCTCGCGATCGCGATCGCGATTACGAAGCAAAAATGCTTTCCTGAACTTTATGCAAGACTTTAGGCAGGTAACGGATTGCAAGAATAACGGGATTAATAAATGTTAATATTGTAAATAAAAACTGTTGATTTGCAGGATAATAATAAAATAAACAGCAAAGATTTGTTTCGGCTTGGAGGACAAAAATGGAGACGAATGTCGTCCACGGAGAAGATGCCCTACGTAAAAGCGGCTAAATTAGCGCAACAACAATCGCAGCAAAATAATAAGAATGGCCAGCAGAATAAGCCTGATGGCAATGACCCTTCGAAAAAAACCGAAAATAAGAAACAAGATGAGAAAAAGAAAGAACGAGAGGTTTTAAATATTAATAAATTTTTATCAAATCTCACACTTTTGAAGCAACACATAAAATTCTTTGAATATTTCTATATATTTTATTAATTAAATTAAATTGAATTATCATTATATTATATTTAATAAGTTACATGTTAATAAATTGTAGAAAAAAGAATTTAAAAAAATGTTTCAAATTTACGTTTCATCAGAGAAATAAATACTTAGGATTTGATAATTTGATAATTTTACAATTAAACTATTCTTCGTGCTTCAGAGAAGAAAGCGTTCCAGAAGCAGAACAGATGATTCCGAGGCGGAATCAGATTCTGCAACATCGGGGGGAACAGTCGCATCCATGACCAGCGAGGATGTTTCAGATTTGAGTTCTTAAATGCAATTCACTACAGCGCAATCAGACCACAAATATGTCAAGAAATGAATACAAACCAATTTACTTTGATAATAAATCTTGAAATTAGTCTTTAAGTGTACTAAAACTTGAATAAAGTCCTATCTTCTATTAAGATTATCAGATTTCTATTCTTTTCAAACGGAAGAAATCTATCTTTGTCTTCTCCACTCACCGTCGCCGGTTCGGCTGAAAGGCATGCCGCAGTTCTCCAACTCGATAACGGCTTTCGGGGCCTCGCGAGTCATGTAATGAATAGCGTCCTGGTCTCCCAGCCAGTCCGAGCCCTTGACGGTGTCGTACATGTGCCATTGCCAATTGTCGTCCTCCATGTTGCCCAAGGCAGCGTTGATGCCACCCTGGGCGGCGACTGTGTGCGACCTTGTCGGGAATAGCTTGGTGATCACTGCGGTTTTGAAGCCTTCGGCCACCAGGCCGTAAGCTGCGCGAAGACCGGCACCACCGGCTCCCACCACCACGGCGTCGTACGTGTGATCCACCAATGGATACTGCTTCGAAATCGCGTCGGAGGTTTTGGCCGCACGGCCATCCGGAGTGTGATGCAGCTTGCGGTTGCTGAGAAGCGGCAGCCCCAGTTTGTTCTGTAAACCGGAAGCGAATTAGAAATAAAAGAATTATAAGATTCAACAAGATTCTAGTCAAATATTTGTTAACTCCAACTTATTGGAAAATTTGTAATACAATATTTAAATTTAATTTAATTTTATTAATTAAGGAGAAGATCAAGATTGCAATATATCAAGTGGAACGAGAGAAGATGATATAATCGTTTAGTTTGCAGTTCTCTTCTTTCACAAAATCGACATGCAACGGCCGTCAATTATTTCCTTTAGGATCTCTGAGAGTAAATGATTGTTAGGTAAGACATCACGTGGAGATACGCTGTTATTTATAATGAGTCACGAATCTGCGATCATGTGTGTATCATTAACTTCATCCGACGTTCTAGTTGCGCGACATGCAGACATCGACAACGAACTTTGTTAGTCAAACTTGATAAATCAAATTTTATATGATTATATAACCATCGTACAAGTGTAACTTTTGTATAAAATTTTCAAAAAAAATTCTCTTTTTAGAATATAATAAATAAAAATATATTGATGCACCAAGTACAAAAATTTGACATTAAATAATTAAATCATGATTAGACACTTGTAATATTAATATTTCAAGGTTGATTTATAAAATAATACAATATAAATTTATAAAATAATATAAATTGAATTGTGTGTGTGTGTGTGTCTCTGCAATATTCTTACATTTTTTTCTATTATCTTTCTTAACAAAGAATGAAGCTGTGTCTACTGCTAATTATCTAATAATTAGTTCCGCCGAGAAAAACATTGATTACGCAATGCATTTCTAATATTTCCATATACGGTGACATGCTCTATTGCTACATATGGAACAATAGAAATGATAAGCCAACGCGAGATAACGTGCAACATGTTTACGAAAAAACGGTAACTCCCTGTAACTCATATCAATGATTAATTTGTATATATTAATACATTAAGATAAGATAAATTTCCCTGTAAAAAAAAAAATCGAAATTTATATTAATTTATATTAATTTATATTAATTTATATTATATTAATGTATTTCGGTAATTTTGGAACAATTAAATGAAAAGATTTAAAATCTCCACTGTTATCTAAATATTTTTAATTTACAATATTTTATTTTAAATTAAAATTATTTTACTTTTTTCTTTAAAAAAGTTAATAAAGTTAATGAGAAAATTTTTTCCGCGCTTAATTTATTCTGACATATAATTTTCCAAGTTTAAAAAAAGAATACTGTTGTTTAAATACAATTTTTGTCGAAAAATTGTATGTAATCAAACGTTAAAAGCTGTCAGGTATCGTAGAAACACGTTGGTTAAAGCAGCGACAGTAATTCCAGATGCGCAAACTTTCTTATCTTTTTGAGCTCTCATTGCACGACAATAAAAAAATCTTGATAAAAAAGAAATATCTGCGCCACTGGCATCACTTCGATAAAATCCGGAAAATATTCAATGTATTTATGTGTAATAAACATGTTTGTATATTTCTTCTGGTGTAAAATCTCGGCTCAAAAAAACAAATTATGAAAATCTAGAAATAAAGACGTAAAAACAAAAATAGTTATCAGATCACACATATAACGCAAAATATTACAAGTCGTGTTTTCAAGTTTATCGTCAGTTATACAAACACACAATATTATCATCCTTTATCATAATCACTTGTGCGTTATAATTCATACACGTTATAATTCAGTGTAAAATTACTTATTTATTTCACATAAGCCTTCTTTAAACAAAAAATTGAAGCACAATATCAATGTAAAAATTAATATCTCAATAACATCTCTATCATTAAATTATATAGATTGTTCTAAAATTATCGACTGCAAAATGCTGACATCAGCAACCGTTCTCAAGTTGACTGGCAGGTGACGATATCAGTTCAACATTGACGGTAAAGTTTTAATGTTGAGGAAAGCGCTGAAAGAATCTCGACTTGAATATACTACATCGGGCTGTCGCATGCACCGTTAGACGCAAGCAGCCCCCGGTTGGCGTACGTAACCAAACATATGGGAATAGACAAATAAATGAATTTACACTACCCTGCTGCAGAAGCTCTCGGGATAATAGAAAATAAAATGAGAAATTTCCACGAGACAAGGAAATCGAGGGATGTCTCGCACTCGACACGCGGCGCATTTCCGCGCGTATTATTCGTCGGTCGCGCAGACCTTACGTAATTGATCCGCCGCGTCGGCGTCAAGGTGCATGCACCACCACCGGACGGTGGATAAAAAATTACATAACAAGCGAGAAATTTCGCCAGCCAACCGCAGGTAGACTTAACCTCGTGGATCCTGACCTACGCGAATAAAGCATCGAATAGAAATTCCTATAATCGAATATTTTTTTTCTTTTAAGATGGCGCGAGGTCGCGCTGGTAACGCAAGGTTCTAGGCCAGGTGTACCAAAACCGGTCTAATTTCATAGAATTCAGTTCCCAGTGTCGTAGACACGGGGAAAAATGGCATAACGTGATCACCCTTTTTTTATCATCGAGAAAAAACAAAAATCATGGGTCTACAGGGTGGGAAGCTGAACTCGACGAAATCACAATAGCTTCAGTCACGGTTCTAAGTTACGGTTCGTAACATCGCGCACAAGTTCCAGTTTCTCACCAATATCGCTGCTCCGGGCAGACCTCGCGGCAGCAACGACGCCGATAGCTTCAGCATCCCGCTCATCTTACGTCTGTTCTGCTCCCTTTACGCTTTCCGTCAAGATACGCCCCCGCGCACACGCACCCGCGCGACTAACCCCGAGAGTGGCGGCTACAACGTGCTTTCACCTCCTCGATCCACTCAGCTCGGCAGTTCGACACCGACTGAGACGCTAACCGTCGAGAAGTGGCGCGCGCACAGTGCTGCCAACAAGGCGCACGGAAAATTTCTAAAATTTTTTAACCGCACTAAAAATGAAACAGATTCTTTTTTGACATCGGTGAGAGGGAGAAGCGCAAGGCAAAGTGTAAATATAGATATAACATTATAGGGTAAATTGCACTTTCACATATTCTGTTTGTTTTACGTGCACTTTCTTGCACCTTTCTGCAAAGTAAAGGTGAATTAAATTCGTAGGAAGAAAGCAGCGAGCGAGGAAAGTTTCAATAAAATTTACCTTTTCGCAACTGAAGTAAACAGGAAACGATTAGTGCTGACACTGTTTCGTGCTATTTAATGATAATTTGGTGGCAAAGAGACGTGACACAATTAAGACAGGAAAACAGAAGGGATTACTTCACTGTTAGTACTCAAAAAGGTACGTGGGAGTGTTACGATCTTTCTGGCTCTGGGTATCGCATTCTCCACACTGACCTATATTTTTGCTCAACACGTTAAATGTCTGTTTAGCTTTCATTTATAAAGATATTTAATCAAAATATGATTATATTTACATAATGTTAGATGAGCGAGATCCATAACTATAAACAGGCATTATTAATTCGTTGGAATGCGAATTAAAAATACACAAAGTATACTGTTCACTGTGAAGTGAAGTTCACTGATTTACAAACAGACACATATACCATATATATGTGTCTATTTGCAAATTAATAAAGTATACTTTATAATCTGCTAATTTTATTTTATTTTTGAATATATATATATATATATATACACTCTAAAATAAAATAAAAGTAGCCATATACCACATATATACTCAAGAATAGAATAAAGATTAGCAAGAGTTCTTCAGTGAGATTTATTAAACATTTATCATCGCGGTGTTGTCGTCGCGCTATCAGCAAAGGTGCGATTAAGAATTATCTCTTACGAAACTAAGTTGCAACAACATTGCTAAATCTTTGAAATACATTTTATGTCGCATAAAAAAATCGCATAAAAAATTGCAGTTTCGTCATTGCTTATATAATTTCTCTATCAGTCTTTGAGAAGTGCAAGTTAAAGAAATGTTTTTCAAAAGCTATCTTCTACAATGCGACACTATTTTTTATTAACCTTCCTCATTGAAAGTTTCTAATTAACATAAGCCAAACGTATATTAATTATTCTCACCAATGAGTCATCATTCACATCTGTCGCGTGTAAAGTCATCAAGAAATTTAAGATGCTCATATATCAAGATAGCTAATTGATATAGCAATATTAACGGATTGATAATAAATTTGATTAAATTTAAGAACAATTGTACTTACTGAGTAGATAGTTGAGAATTAATACATAATATCTGGGAAGAAATTTTTGATGAATTCCGCGGCAATTTTTTCCGTTGTCTGATGTTTTATGTTGAATATGAAATTAACAATAGCCGACTGGTTATCGTTTCATTTGGTTTCGTAACGCAATAACCGACGCGATTTTTAATCACGTCGTTTCCGTTACATTTCAGTTACAAGGATACTCGCAATTAATCATTTATCGAATCAATATGCGCGAACTGCAGGCGGCACGTGTTGAGCTTCGCTTTCATCTAGTGTCGTATCGATAACAGGTCGATAAGAGATGCATATCTATAAACAAAGTGTTTTAAACATTTTAATAATTCATGATAGTCAATACATAGGCGTAATATTAGATACAGTCTCAATCAAAAATACACCACTAAAAGATAAATAATACTAATATATGTAATACTTTTTAGATCTTTATATCTTTAAATAATCGTCTTTTACTATTTATGTTAATTTAATGCGAAAAATTCGTATATTCAATTTATGAACTGTGAATGGCTTGTTAAAGATGCTTAATTTAATTTCGAAAGAAAATCAATTCAGTTTAATCTAGAAGCAATTTTACTAACCAACCCATCATCCTGAGCCCACGTAAGTGTATGCTTACGCCAATGTTCCGTGTAAGGTCGTTTCTTTTGTCCCTCGAGCGGTTTTGTGTAATCATACTCGTCGATTCTATCCTAGAAACGAAACAAAGTGCAATAATTAATATTAATGATGTATCGATTTAATTCAATTAAAAGCCGATAAATTAGACGTACTAAAAAATTTAAAAAAAAAAACTGTGTGGAACTATAATAGTGGTATAATATATTTTTTATTTTAAACTGTTATTATTTATAAACTTAAAATATTTAAAATTTTTCGAACTTAATTTACCTTGAAGTCTTCTCTGGCGTGGGAACCTCTTGACTCCTTTCGATTTTCGGCCCCGTACACAGTATGCATGCAACAGAGCATCATATTTTGTAATTCCAAGGCCTCGACGAGCTCTGTGTTCCAAATGAGGGATTGATCTTGTACCTAAAAAAGAACGTTCGAAAGCGATCCAGATGTGTGTCTGGATACACATGAAATATCCCGCATATATCATCGTCTTATGCAACATTTCCCTCGGCTACACTTGGTAGCGTAATAGCGAGGCAATTATTTCGCGCGGCATATCAAATTATTATTAATTACATTGCTCAGCCGATTATAAATCACAATAATTTTTAAATAAGTAACGTTGACGAGACTTCTTACTTGAGTTTAAATAGCAAAGTACATATAGCAGTTTAAGTTTTTTTATTAAAGTTATTTGCTATTAAATAAACTTATTTATATTAGTTTATTTATTCATATTTCGATATTTGTTACTTAATAATTCTCAAGTGCAGTAATCAACTTACACATAAGTCTGGTAGGTCACAAGTGTAGAGACGAGTTATCTCCCTGCATCCGCGTTGCAGAATGTCGCAAGTCCTGAATACCGAGCAATACTTGTGCATTGTGCGTTGCATTTCTTCGCGTAGCTCGGCCACAGGAACGCAACCTTTCGCATAACGAGTCGCATCAAAACGACAAATCGACTGCTCGCTAATGTCCTGCATTCAAATCGCTCTATTAAGTGAACATTTGCATACTTACGAAACGGGAATCTTTTTCGAATACCAATTTGCGCGTACAAATTCTTGTTCCTTTATTTCAATCAAAAAAAAAAATTTAATTAAAAAAGTATTTTTGAATACCTTCAATAAATAAAAATAAATTAAAACAAATCCTATTAAATTTACGATTGACTTCCGATCAAGAAATATGAATAAAGAATATTTCTGGGGATTTCCGTATAATTTCTTACTGGCGACAGATCTTCGTGACGTTCACCAGGTCTGGTAATGCAGTCGATTTGATCGGCGATGGCTTTGCCGAAGACCACAATTTCCAGGAGACTATTAGCACCCAAACGATTAGCACCGTGAACCGACGCACATGCGGTCTCGCCGGCTGCCCAGAGACCTTCAATCGGTCTGTCATCCTCATTTTCTCGTGTTAACACCTGACAACGTGTTATTTACGTTGACAACATATTATCGAAATTCAACTGCAGCGACAAGTAATCGCTTGCAGCATCTCTGTTATTCCAATAGATTTACATATATTCGAAGGATCCGTATATTTGACATATGATATAATATTTAAAACAATCTGTGAAATGCTAATAAAAATATTGATTTTACCGCAAACTATTGAAATATTAATAAAAAAAATTACTTAGCTCTTGTACTGATTAAAGGTAATTATAACAACGATGACTTATTCTGCCGCGTTTCTCACTTGCGCTCGCCAATTTGTGGGTATACCACCCATATTGTAATGCATCGTGGGTATCACGGGGATAGGTTGCTTAGTCACGTCCACTCCGGCGAATACCCAGGCAAGATGCGAGATTCCGGGTAGCCTCTCGCGTATCAGTTCGACCGGCAGGTGATTCAATTGCAAATAGATGTGATCTTTATTCTCCCCGACGCCTCTGCAAAAAATCACGCTGATGTATTTTTCCTGATAAAGCGCTAACACGCGCGCGAGATTTACATAATAATGTGCAGCTTTACATAATTTTGCGTAACTTGACAGTTCATGCCGATAAAAAGTAATGTGATACTTCAGCAAAGATTTGTAGCACTTTATGCATTTATAGAGAGATCTATTTATTTAATTCAATTAATTCAACTTTTTAGAATTTTTATATACATAAGAAACTCCGCGTATATATTTCTTTTTTAAATTAATTTTGTGGAAATTTTAAATGTGATATTTAAGGTATCCCTCAAGTTTCCTATTTGTTTTCAACTCTTATTAATTACATTAATGCGAATTAGCAAGAATGGAAAATTAAATTATAAAAAATTGCTCCCACCTTCCCTCCAATATTTCGATGGTCATTGCTCTCGACACGACATCGCGCGAAGCTAGATCCTTGGCTTTGGGCGCGTACTTATCCATAAAGAATTCTCCTTTGGAGTTGACGAGCCTGCCACCTTCTCCTCTGCTTCCTTCAGTTATTAATATACCACTGCCGTAAATACCTATATCAACAAAAAATCGTTTAAGAATTAATTAGGAAGATAATAAAAAAGAAAGAGTAATCGGTAGACTTAAGGATACCAGTCGGATGAAATTGAATAAATTCCATGTCCTGAAGCGGCAATCCCGCTCGACAGGCGATTGCCATGCCATCGCCGGTGCAGGCATGAGCCGCGGTGCAAGAAAAGTAACATCTTCCGGCACCGCCTGTTGCCATCATCTGCAAGATATCGATATTAATTCACATTGATAAATTATTAAAAATAATCAAATCGTATCAACAAAAAGGGAACAAAATATAAATTTGTATTTATATAAGTGATTCTTAAAAACTAAATATTATGATTGTTTATTAAACACAATCAAAATTAGAAGATGCAAAAAATTTACTAAAAAAAAAAAGAAACTTGTTATTTTATTTTCGAGCAACTATGAAGCAAATTTCTTTACTGTATGATGGGCTCGGAATCGATGCAGAAGACCGGTTTCTAATTCATATGCCAGGATTCCCTTGCAGCATCGGCCGTGCATGAGCAGATCGAGAGCGAAATATTCGACGAAATAGTGCACATCGTAGCGAAGACTTTGTCCATAAAGAGTATGAAGCACTGCGTGGCCGGTTCGATCAGCGACGGCGCAAGTTCGACGAGCTTGTCCGCCCTTGCCAAATTTCAAGGACTGACCGCCGAAAGCTCGCTGATAGATCTTACCGTTTTCCGTACGACTGAAAGGGCAACCTACGAGTTTAACGATTTTATTATTTAACATTACAAGTATTTTATCAAATTACTCATCGATATGCATATTATTTGAAGTAATTCGAAATTAAAATTATGAAATTCTTGTTCAGTTTCATGAAATAATTATACGAATGTTTGCCTTTTATTGTTGCTCTTACCATAATTTTCAAGCTCGTAAATCGCTCGAGGCGCTTCTCTCGTGAGAAAATGTATAGCGTCCTGATCACCCAGCCAATCGGATCCTTTCACAGTGTCATACATGTGATAGAGCCAATTGTCGTCTTTTTCGTCGGTGATAGCAGCATTTATACCACCCTGGGCTGCCACGGTGTGCGACCTGGTCGGAAAGAGCTTTGATATCACTGCCACTCGATATCCTTTTTTACCGAGACCAAAAGCCGCTCTTAATCCTGCGCCTCCCGCTCCCACTATTACTACGTCATAGCAGTGATCTATCAGAGGATAATTCTGCAAATCAATAACGTAGACAATTTAGCAACTTGTTAAAATAAATTAATTGAATGTGTTTCAAAGTATCTCAAGTTACATTAAAATGATTAATTAAAGAAGACTTTGATAGAAATTTAAAAAAAATTTGAAGGATCAAACATTGGTGTTTCTGAATATAAATTTATGTATTTTAAAAGAATGGAAATAATAATAGATAAAGCTATTTTTTAAAAGACAAGTTAGGTGTGAATAAAAATTATAGAGAAAGTTGCGAGGTTAGCTTCTACATTTTTTTTCAATTGACAAAGTATGTAAATTTTTACTATATATTTTCAGCGAAATGTACTCTTACACTGATACCGGTATCCACGCCACACTTTGCTTTTTCTCCTGGGCTAACGTTTACGTGAAAACTTCGTGAATTTCTGATTATCGTTGCGCAGGATTGTCTCATAAATGTCTGGGGAAAGTTAATTATAAATTTCAAATTAAAAAAAAAAATTGATTTAATATGAATAAAGTCTTACAAGTGTTCCACATTTTTGTATTAGCTGACTGACTGATCGATGCAACATCTTTGTAAAATATTCGCTAGGTTCGAATACTCTTGAACAACTGTCATAATCGATAAAGCTCCTTTAGTTTTTGCATGCTCATTTGTCAAATAGTAAAACAAATGAGTAAAAGTTAAATACCTGTACAAGATCTTAAGCAAATGTCGTATTTGTAAAATTATTATTTTTATATGCACAGATCTCGTTTTAAACGGCATTAAAATAAAAAAATTTTAATTCTATCATATTAAAGTACATGTGTCATAATTGAATTCTTTCGAAGAACTCAAGGAATCTGGATCTATTAAATTTGTATAAGCATTGGTTTATTGCACTTGCAAAAATACAGTTTGAGACGTATACAATTTATATCTATTGCATACATTAATTCGAGACACATTCTTTCAAGTTAGACGTCAATCGTGTCGATTTAGTCAAATCGCTTATTCGCAATGTTACTCTTTGGTACACGCTACGAAAAACACCAGAGAGCCAAACGACACGCACTTAACGAATCACTCTTATTAGAATCGTTATAAATAACTCTTAATTAGTACAGTGGCATATAGTTTTACAGTCGTTATTTAATCCTTTTCTCATATTCGTCACAATTGGCGCAACTATTCTTCCATTCTTTTCAGATCTTTCGGATGCATAGCAATGTATTTGGTGAAATGCATAAAGAATCAATCGACAATTTTCTCAAATTCGGAATTTATTTCCTTTAACGATAATTTAAAAGTCCAAAGTTACAGTTTTTCTTTTACTTACCTCAGGATTAATCTCGAAATACTTTCTACATTCCATTCTATATATTAAATCGAACTATCGACATATATGTAATAAATAATATGGTATCTTTCGTTTTACTGTGTTAAAGAATAAATACGAAGATATTTCCCTTCACTGTTAGATCGATTGTGCGTTTTGATATAATGCACACGTTTAATTTAATTATATACTAAACCTCTTTCTCACAACACATTAAAAAATCTATTTTTATTAAGATTAATGACTTACTTCGAATGCATCGTGATCCTCACTTCGTTATTTCTTCTCGTTAGTGACACGTTAATTGAGCGAATGGTGAAGCTGTACGAGCGGCTCATCTAATCACTAGCTATCCTCTAATCTTATCCTACGACCAACCTCGTTACATACATGACATGTAATACAAGAATTCTGTAAAAACTAGGCGAATTAAATGAATTGACGAAAATACATTTTGCAAAATTATGTAAGATTCGAAACCAGAAAATTGTTTTAATACTTTAGCCATTGAGCGACGTAAATATTGAATATAAAATGGAAACGAAATTTGTTATAATATATTTTAATTTTTTATTATATATATTTTAATAAGAAATTTCTAAATTTTTTAAATTTACGCGATTGCTTCTTACTAGAATTAAAATGAACTAAATGTAAAAATTTTAGAAGTAGTTTTTATTCATATTTTAACGAAAAGTAGATTTTTATCGATTCCTTTTTAATTCTCCTATTTTTGACAGAAAATATACTCACGAGACTCTGCTTTCTCTCATATATAAAAAAGATTATCAAAAAGTCACACTTGTGGTTTTGTAGAAAAAGGACGGACTCTGCGATTGCTCGACGTATTTATGTGTATGTGTGTGTCCTGTGTGAAAAAAATGCCTATCAAACAAATCACTAGATTAATATAGTGACCAAAAAAAAGTCGACGTATCGTCTACAAAGCAAACTGAAGTAGATTAAAAATAAAATCTTTTTCAGTGATAAAAACCGCGTCAATTCGCAAAGTTTATAAAAGATACTCGACACTCTGAGATTTGTAAAAACTGCCTAAATTATGAACGCTCGATATCGTCGTGATAGGCAGTTGATCCGTCGCTTTCCTCTTTCGGAAAGTGTTTTTTCGAAACAGGCACTCAACCTTGAAAAAGAAATACTCTCGAAATTGCTAATTAGTGTCCTCTTCTCCTCAGAGAATATTTTCAGAGCATGTTCGCTTTCGTAAAGTACTTTAGAAAAATCGAAAATCAAAATAGTTTTCTCTTCAGAGAACATTCTTTCGGCGATGCTTTTTCTTCATTGATGCTCGGAGGACGAGGAGCGCTTTTCACAGCGCGAGTCTTCTGACGCCGCATTCGCAGCAGAACTTGGCGGTTTCCGGAAATCGCTGACCGCACTCGTGACAGAATTTGGACATCTTGTACTTGATCGCCGTCTGAATCGGCGTTCCGTTTCTGGTCACGTCTTCGTCCAGACGGCTGGCCATGTCGTTGGTGCTGCGTCCATGGTGCGAATATTTGCGATTTAAACTGAGGGACACAAATCGAACTGGGTTTCAAGTACGCGCGAACACGCGGAAAACGCAGATGATCATGCTTTGCGATGATTAAGGGTTACATTCGTCAATCTCCGAAATCTAAGTATCAACATTTTGAGAATTCTGAAAGTCTTCATGTTTTGGCAAGTAAAAAATGCTGTTATAGAAAAGAAATTACAAAATCACAAAATAAATAAACAAACAAATTTAGTTTCTGTGGAAACATGAAATGCGAATGGCGGATTTTACACTACAAACTCTTAGAAATTAATTTTTATTAAAATGATTAATTGCGCTTAAGACTAACCTGCTATAGGCGGAGTCGTTGCTGAGTTTACTGTGATCCTGCGGCTTGTAGCTGTCGGGCGAGGACAGTTCCTCGTCGCTGATCAGGCTGCCGTTCCGCTGCCTGTCGCCGTCGTGCATAGAGCTGGATAGATTAAAGGATTCGTTATTAAGAAAGGATCTGAGGGCAGGAAACGTATCCTCCTCGAAGGACGTCGTCAGCTCGTCGAACATCGAGTGCGACCGCTTGACGTCGAGCTCCGAGGAGATGATCGAGCTGAGGCTGAGATTGCTTCCGGACAAGGATGAGTAGTTATTGTTCCTCTGATTGAGGCTCTGGTCCGACGACCTCTGACCCTCCACGAGCTTAGAGTTTTGATTCTTCCTGATGTCGACCGAGGTCTTCCTGTCGGCGCCCGAGCCGATCCTTGGTGCGGACGAGGCGCGGATCGAATTGGATCGATCAATCAGCGGTCTCGTGACCTTCGGCGAAACCTTGTCGAGTGCCTTACGTATTCGGTCGGCGCTACCGAGGGCGCCGCGGCGATCGTCGACGCCCAGCGCCTTTGATTTGTCGATAATGACTCGTCTGCCCAATTCCTTGACCGGTTTCGTGCTCGCGAGGTCCGTTACGTCCTTGCTGTTGGCGAGAACTTCCGATTTCAGGAAGACCTCGCGCGAGATCGAGTTGGTCTCGGTCGAATCGCTCGAAAAGTTGGAGAAGAGGTCGTCGAACTCGGAGGGAGGCGCTATCAGGGACGACCTTCTGTCGGAGGAAGGATATTTCACGAAAGCGGAGGAGTGAGAGAGAGGATAGAGAATGTCGCGAGTTTGTTTGGCATTCCCCGTCGCGGACTGATCACTCGTGTCCGACAGCAGGTCGTTCATCTGTTGCTCGGCTAGTAGAAAGGGATCGTAGTCCTTGCACGTTCCGCTGAAATTAGAGTTTGGTTAATATGCTCTTTTTTTTATCAAAGATCTTTGCGCAACAATCATAGTGCGATGTAATGTAACAAAGTGTGCTCTATCGCAGGCAACGAAATACAGCTATAGTGCGTCGATCAATTCTGCAAGCAAATATTTGCACGAATGCAAGTTGTGATGCGTAAACACGCGTGTCAGCTACACGTGCAACGTGACCCATTGCTTACATTGTTGCCTGAGAAATTTAGAATCAATCGCTTTTAACAAAAACCTACATCGATTTTAGTAAGCTGCGGATGAAAGGTAAAAAAATTGAAATAAAATTCTGAAAAGAAATATGGAACATTCATATTTTCATTTAAAATGAATTTCAATTAAAAAGTTAATTACGAAGGAATTGAGAGAGTATTAAAGTATTAATAATCAATGTCACGAAAAAGTTGATTCTATATTTCACAAAAACATGTATCTCTTTCGTTAATTCTGGTGTCTGATGTAATGCTCTGAACGAAGTCCAATCAACATCGTAAAACGAAATAAAAAGATCTGCCGGTTTCACGTCCCGAAACTTACGTTCTAGCCTTAAGCACGAGATTAAAGTCCGGCCTTCTACGCACATAACTGCACCAGGCGGGACGTGTCGCCAGGTCGTTTTTCCTACAATATTGTTACCACATTTAACTATCTAACTACCGTCCTGTCGAAAAGTTTGCAGATATCCTAGGAACAATTTTATCCTTTACAGTGCAATCAGCAATGCCGTAAAAAATTTTTTTAACAATTAAATAGCACAACTTCTAAAAACTTTATAATATATCCACTTTTCTACAACTTCTACTAATTAAATATTGATATTACAGTACGACCGATATTCAAATGTGCAAAATCAGCATTGCAATTTTACACTAATTAAATAAAAATCGCTGCTGAATTATGATCGCTAAATAAAAACAATACGAATATGTTCTACCGAAATATTTTACGAGGACAATTTTTGTTATCGATCTCTACCTTCGGTTGATCAAGGACGGACTTGAGACTGGAGGGAGGATACGAACTCTGGAGTTTCTTCTAGCGAGTCTGTAGCGACACGAAGGATTGAGATCGATCAGTCTGCTTCGCGAGATTTTCGGTACTTTCTCCCAGTACGAATTTCTCTCAGCAGCTTTCCTCGTTTCCGCCGAATCATCCCTTATGTCGGGCAAGTCTCGAAATGCTCTGCATCGCCTGCTCGGTCTGATTATTTCTATGGTTTCCCGTTCGTAAGCGGAATTCGCTTCCGGCCGTCTGATGCTTGCGAGCTCCACGAACTCGACTGAGGATATCAAGGAGTCGGTACTGCCGCGAAGGAGATTCATGTTTTCCTGGATTTTGTGCTTCATTTCGACGGAATTTAGTGGACGCTCTTTTATGGCTCTTCTAGTCGGGTCGGAAACATGTTCGGAGAACTTCACGTTCTTCGATAAAATCCCGCCGCGATGACGTCGCGATTTTTCGATGTCCTTCGACGTGATTGATGACTCTAAATCATTAGCGCCTCGCGTGTTGTGTCCCTCACACATAGCATTATCGTTGTCACAAGCAAAGTTGTTTACGCTCTTCATTCGCAAACCTTCGTCTGTCGTTACTTTCGTTTCAGCGATCAAACGGTAGAATCTTGTTTTATCATTGAAACAGTTATCTGCATCCGCGAGATCTGTCTTCTCATCCTTTTTGATATTTTCAAAATTTTCAGAATTAAATAATTTTTCCTGATGTTTCCTGTCGGTCTCAATTTGCAATTTGTTATCCATGTGTATGTTTAAACAATTTTCGGCAACAACTTTCGAATCTTGTGGAGGCGATATTTCCGAGTTCTTTGATTCTTCTAAACTTTTCTCAGATTTTTCGTCAAAGATGATTAAATCATTCTCGTATCTTTCATATTTTTCAGTTTCTTCAGCAAAATTCCTTTCTGCGCTATCAATTGCACATAATACAGACGGCGATAATATTTTTTTATTTTCCTGTAGATCTGACGAATTGCGACATATATTATTTTGATATAAAAATACTTCATTTTCAGGATTCAAATTACAATTTATTTCATTATTGTTTAAAAGTATATTATTTTTGTCAAATCGATGGTAGTTGCAAGTTGTCATATTTTTCTTTAACTCTAACGAATTACTGCAACATGCATTACTTTTATACTGTGACATTTTCTTTTTAAGTCTCGGATAATCCTGACTCTGATTAATGAAGCTGTCCGAAAATGCTAGGCTACGATCGAGATGAACAGCTGAATGCTCTTCATGCCTAAAATGAGAAGATTCTTTATCTAAAATAAAATTATTATTGTTAGTGAATTTTTTCACTTCTTTTGAAAAAAGTTTCTCGTACTTCTGTGGCGAATCCTGCGACAGTTTATCAAAATCAAATAAATTTTGCTCAATCTCTCTTATTTCAGGATATTTAGTACTTTCATCATTCATCGTTGTCTGCTGATCTTTATCTCTTTCATTTATATTCAATTTATCTAGTTCTACAATATTGACGTCATTCATTTTCGGAATGTCTTCTTTATTTTCCAATTTTATTTCTATTTTCTTCACGTGCTCTTTAATTTTAGCCTTTTTATTGCTCGCTTCTTGATTAATTTCTTTATCCTCGTCTTCCATATTCAATTTTTCTATTTTGCATTTTATCTCTTCGCTCTCTTCAAAACCGCTCATTTTCCAATTATCTTTATTAATTATTTGCAATTCTTCTGTTTTACGTTCTTTTATTTTATTGTCAGTATTCTTTTCTATTATTTTACTGTCAGTATTCATTTTTAATTCTTCTACTTCACGTTCCGCAATTTTAATCTCTTCGTCTTTTTTGTCCATGAAGTAAAATTCCACGTAAGGATTATGCTTAATCGGCTTGCTGTGAAAAATTTCCAGCTGATCAAAATCGTCTAAAGAGTCTCTTATCAGATACGTCTGATTTAAGTTCTCAATGCCGCCTAACCATGTGACAATGTCGTTTTCCACTTTATCAATCTCATCGTCTTTCACTTCGTCGTCAGCTCGAACAAAATCATTCTTCGTGATCGATAAATCATCTTTACTTTCAACCGTGAGATCGAGATCGAGCTGAAACTCCTGTGAGAAATTATGATTAGCTTGAAAACTATCCTTCTTGCGACTGATCTGCTTCCACGTAACCAAATGATCGTCCTTTGGCGTATCCGCGTGTATTCTGCAAGGCTGCACAGTCATACCTAAGCTCTTATCATTCACAGCAATATCATTGATTCTCGGGTGACCTTGACTTCTGGCAGAAACGATATTTCTCGACGTCCTGGCGGAACAGGCTTCCCGTATACTCATTTTGTCGTTTAGTACATGTTGACAAGTCGTTTTGTTTCGGTTGGACTGTTTTTTCGATGAGAAAATAGACGACGTGATCTCGTTGGAGGAGACCGGATCGTTGATCCTAAGACTCACAGGAGGTACGGCAAAGGGGAGAGAACGACGGGAGGATGTCGCAAAGTGGGAGGATCGGTAGGACGTCGGCAAGGAGTCGTGATCTTCCACTGGCCTGAGGAGAAGGAAGCAGGATCAAGGACGTGCGCCTGATAGTCATCAGGAGAAGGTCGTCGGATTTAAATTAAAAAATTGAATTTTGGAAAAAAAAGAAAATTGTCTCGCAAAAATATTTTTAAGCAGTTGTGCTTTTTTGGCGAATATTCCAAGTATTCTCGTTATACAATTAAGTTTCAATGTTCTGATACATTTACATCTCTTGTCAATTGTTTGAATTACTTTCATAATACATTCTAATTTATGACAAAATACAGCCTCATCCTTTTCCCTTCTCCTCATGGACAGCGCTAGGCATAGGTCATAAATTCTACGCTTATCTTGTAAGCCACAGAATTTGACACTTCGGTCTTTCGAAAAATGTCAAGAAGTTGATAAGAATCTCACCTGTTTATACGATCGGCCAGACGTGACTTCATTGGTCCGGATGGAGTGGGGGATTCCTTCAGCTGTCCAGGACGTCTTCTGTGAAAGTGAAATGTAACGAATTTAATGGATTCAAATGTAATAAAACAGGAAGTTAAAGAAACACATAATCCATATTGCAATAAAATTATTAAATTCAAGAAAAAAAATCGAATTTTTTTCCTCCTGAAGTCTTAAAAAAAATAAGTTAATATTTTCTGTACATTTTTAAGCGTGAATTACTTTATTACTTTTTTATTTTTTAATCTGTAATTATCTGAAACATTGTTTTTTTTTACAATTATAAGAGTTGGTAAATATTCAAAAGCTCGAATTGAAAAAAAAACTGGAAAAATCGACTCACATGATAGCCGACTTCTGCTTGATCGGACTCTCCCGACTGCAATTGGTCACCGAAGCACTCTCTTTCGGTTTAACGAGCGCCGGCGATGATTGTGAGGTCTTGGCGGCCTGGTTCGCCGCCGAGCCCGGGCTGTACTTCTCTCGATTTATGGCGCGACGGTTCTTCAGGGTCGGTACTTTATACCTCATGCGCGCCTCCAGCCGCTCTTTCGCCAGATTGGTCGCTGGACTCACCGGCATCTGCGTAACTCTGTCCTTGCACCAGGCTACGTGACGGTCATAGGCCTTGATACCAAAATGTCGATTGCAAGTAGGACACGTGCCCTTCTCGTTGGAGCGAGTCGGTGCGCCCGACGAGATCAGTGAATTGCATTGTTTGTGTGAGTCGTCCATCTGAAAGAAAATCAGGAATTCGGTTAGAAAATACAAAATATATTGTAAAAAGAACTGTTTAGATGGTTAGAACTTTCTCAAAAAGTGGCATTACTACTAATAATTTTCAATCATTACGTTACATATCCAAAAACAAGTTAAAACATTATATTTTAATGACATTAAAACGTAGGAAATTATCTACAAAGAAATTACAACGTGGAAAAGGTCGCAAAGAGACTCACGACTTCGCCGCGCGCTTCGCGGATCGTCCTCAGGAAATCGTCGTGAGTCTTCTTCCAGGAAGGCCTGCTGTTCCTCTCGTCCTGATGGTACCGCCGAGTCTCTGGCTTAGGCAGGAACTCGGCCAGCTCGGTGCCCTGAATCCTTTGCTTGGCCGAGTCGAAGGGCTTGCGCTTCTTGGAGGCGGCGCGCTCGCATATCCTCGCGTGCTTCTCCAACGACTGCGGCATGAAGGTCCGCGCGCATATCGCGCACGGCAACAGGATCGGCGGCGGCGCATCTACGTCCATTTACAAGTCCAATAATTAATAGGCCCTCGCCTAAATGATATACATATATATTTTTTTTTAATGGAACCAGGCTTCAATCTTCGATCCTCGTCGGGATGTCTACTTATCATCGAACTTATTATCAGTCCGCGTTTGCAATTTAAATTTGCCGCGTCCTTGAACTATCACGCCATGAACGAGGCGCTCTTTTTTTCAATTGATAAATATTGTATTTTTCAGATTGACTTTTTTCCGTCGTGAGATCCAAAGTTACGGCTCGTTCAATCTGTACGTAAATGCGATCCCGCGAGATCTGTCTCCGGCGTTATATGGAGATCCGATCTGACTCACCCCGTGCTAATCGCTATTCTGACAAAGGCCATGAATCCGCGGATAATCGATATTTTCGCCGACAACATGTCGAGAGATCGCCAAATACGACGACGACAGGTATACATCACGGAATGTATCGCGCGCGAGGCACATTAGACGCGTGCTCGTCATCGCCGTTTCCAGTCGATCAAGCCTAATTTAAATTATATCCGATATTTTTTAATTATATATATTCGATTTCTTTTTATTCCTGAGATACGTACATTTTAAAACTATATTTTGCAGATCTCTTAAAATTACACCTTCTAGATTTAATTAAATATTTTGCATTTTTTTTAGCACTCTATCGACACTCTATCGCTTTTGTTCTCTCGCGTAAAAATGCGAAACTTCGGAAATCCTGCAACACACTGTGATTGAAAGTGTGGGGAATCTACATTGCAAATTGCACTTTCTTCGATCGACGTGGGAATTGCGCAACGATAGCTACAGTGTGTTCTCTTCTTGCGAGATCACTTCGCCCCAGTTATTATGAACTATGCGTTACGAGATAACGCACATTCAATGAGCCATTCGTTAAAGGTGACGTGAGTTTCCCTGCGTTTGCCTATGCAAATTTCGACGAGACGAATCGATGGATTCTCGCGTCATTTTCGATGTCGCGTCGCTGATCTCAGAAAGAAACAGAGTTCATTTTCTCAGCGCGTTGAAAGATTTTTAAACACGAAATTGTAACAGTAACTGTACTTTTTCGCTCATATACAAAACTTTGCTTATTTTTCACTTATTATTATAGATTTACAAATATATTTAATTAAAAAAAAAGATTTATTTAATTTTTATGAAAGAAGGAAAAATTATTTTCCCATTTTTTCTTTAAATTTATTCAAAATAAATGACTTTAATTGTCGTCGACTTCTTGACGCACTACGATGTTTTTATAATAATCACTGCAGACAATTAATTGTGTGATTAAAATTATCAATGCACTTTTCCACTGTCCATCGTACTAAACGTCGCGCAAATGTCATCCAATCGAATCGTTCCGCGCCGGAAGAAATTTCACAATCGCGAAAACTTCATTTTTCAATTCGTAGAGAGAGATTAAGCGATCGATCTTCAGGTGCGCGTATCGCGCGGACACCTGCGGCGTCGACTCGCGCGACGACGCCGACGAGGACGCCGAAGACGCGGAGAGTCGCCCCCGCGAGACACGCTCTCTCGCCTACAGACGAACAAGCTTCCTTTTTTAGATGTCCCGCGAGGCGTGCGAGTTTCGTATTCTATCCATCACGAATCACGCGCGCGAAAGAATCCGTACCTTTCGTCCTCGGATTTCTTTTCTCCGCGCAGCGAGTTTCGAATCTCGTCGCCTGTTTTCGGAACGCGATCGGACCTTTTTACTTTTATTTTTCTCGACTGCATCCGAAAATTCAAGTATTTGATCCGTTTAGATGAGGCTCCGAATTTTATTGTCGGCTCCGACGTCAACACGAAGCAAGATAGCCATGTTTAGCGCTAAATACGCGAATGTGGGTCACCACGTTTGCCGTCCGCGAGTTTTATATTATTTTAACGCGTGTAGTGATTTAATTATTATTTATTATATATTTATTATTCTTTCACTCTACAATCCACGTATTCAATTTATATTACCTTTTAGCTAATCTATTTTTCACTCAATTTTTGTATTTTGTTACAGATTTTTAATTTTAAACTTTTCAATACTGAAACAATAATGAAGAAAAATCTTTATGCGCGGGAGCGTGATGTTAATGATACGATGCTATTAAATGACGTTATTCTCTGAAAATCACTGAACGCCTACGATCGTTCGCTTGTGTTTTCCTCCTAGGCGAGTCGCGCGTGTTAGAAAGAACCGGCGAAGTTTTTTCCACACAGGCTATTACTGTTCTTCCCATGCAGTCTAAGGTCGACGGAGCTCTCAATGCAATTGCTGAGCCAGTGTAAATTAATTAGTATGCGCAGCGGAGGCGCATTATTACGATTCTTATGCCCGCTTTTAGATGTGCGCAACGAGAAGTGAAAAAAATAATCGTTGCAGTAAAATGAAAAATAAATCTCTCACAGCCATTGATTAACTATTTTGTTAGAAAAGCGACAGTAGATTGATTTATGATAATTGTGCTCAGCTGTTGAAACTATGCTGTTAACTTGATTTCAAATAACGCGTAATATGCATACAAATTATTTTCAAAGGAAAAAACAATGCGGGAAACTTCCGTGCTGTTGTAATAGTAATAAAACCGAAACAGATTTAAGATTTAGAAGAAAATAAAAAATTTTGGGAAGCGGCTCGTAATTATGTAACGACAATAATATGAAAATAATAATGTAATTACACATATTTGCCTTATTTTGATTTAGAAGTTTGAGTATCAATTCGTATCTACTTCAACGTAAACATACGGCGCTTTGAATATATAATAATATTGAACACAGCAGCGGCAGCGTTTAATACAATTTTATAAATTCCGAACTACGTTAATTTCAAAAAGGGAAAAAAAATTAGTCGATATTGAAATTCCGACTGCTTAACAATCAGTCATGTTTGCACTGCAAGTTTCTTTCCAAGCGCGCACGCATCATTAATACTGCATTCCTCATTCTTATCACAAAAAACACTTTGCGAAAGCGACAGAACCGGCTTAAGCGTTGAATCCTCATTTCTTTCAATTCACCGATTTCTCACAGAGCTCCAACATTTGCATGCGTAATTCGGTAATTCGAAGATTACGGTACCGTGAAACGATGCTCGGTCACGAAGAGGCGAATTCGCGGGCTCACCTTCCTCAGCGTACAGCTCGAACCGTACCTCGCGGATGGACGTCGGCCTGTTTAAGGCCTCGTCGCGAAATCGAACTTCGTTGTGAAACGGGGCCTCGTCGTGGAACGGGCCACCGTCCGCGAGCCTCTTCGGGACGCAGCACAGCATCTGATTGCGAGCACATCAAGACACCGACTGAGAGGCCGCGCGGATTGTGCCAGTCTCTTGTAAAAGCAGAGTTGTAACCGCGAGTGTGTGTCTCGCGACGAAGTTTATTTTCGGCCCCACCGCTGTCTCTCTCGCAAAGTGAATCTCGTCTCTCCTCTCGCTTCTCTCTTTAATGTATCTATCTCTATCGCCGTGTAACAGAGTAAACAGTGTAAGATGGATTGGATGGAAAGAAAATATTCTCCACAAGAGCCTTCTTGTACCTTTAAATGAAAGAGATTAACACTTTTAATTTTAAATTAACACACTGCTCTCTGATTGATACTCTTTGATATTTAGAAAATGTCGCTTTTTATTATCAAATATTAATGAAACTAGTTTTCAACACTTTTATTATTCAATTTTTATTATTATATGAACATTATCCTTGTTAATTTTTAGTTGTTAAAATATGAATGTCTAATATAATCTTTTTAGAATACGAAGATCGAGAAAGTCAAATTTCATGTAGTAGTATAATTTCTAATACTCTCTCTTGCTTCCATAATTATATTGGTAACCACAACAACTGTTTACTCCACATACGATAAGCAACAGAGCAACGAATCTCTTAAAAAATATATTAAATTATTATAAAAAGAAAAAAAATAGTAAGTCGAATCTGTATTGTTCTTTCAAGCAATAAACATGTGTGAAAAAAAATTAAGCTACAAATGTCATTTAGAGCGCGTGTATTTAGAGCGAGTGATTAGCTACCACGTGTATCTTCCTCGCACTCGGTCCACGTGCACTTTTAAAATTCGTCGTTCAGTCGCCAGTTATTACGAAATCGAGGTCAATAGTTTCTCCGGACGGAGCAGTTTCCTGCGATATTTCTCGTAACTCTGTAGTGTCTCGCGGACACGCTGTTTACCCTATAATTAGAATAGACAGGGGGCCGCGGAAAGAGCGCGCCGGAGAGAGTCGGAAGCGAACGATCACTGCGACGAAGACGACGACGACGGGAAAAGCCGCGGACGAAATGGGACCGATCCGCGATCTCTCGACGTGTTATCGTTCGGTCGTCATAAATATACGCGCGATGAGACACATTCAGACTTACTTACCCTCAGCTTCAGCCATGTTGGTCGTTAGGGGAAACATTGGTCGTTATGGGAACGCAAACCGTACCATCGAGCGCCTCCTCGGAAGTTCGCAGCCACGAAGTTCGAGGAATTATAATACGCCTTTTTCAACATCTTTTCAAAACCCTTTCGCCGATGTTTTCCATTTAAATCGAATACATATTTTACGACGTCTCCAATCATACGCTTTTAAACAAACCTAAAAAAGAAAAACAAAAATTAACAGAAGTGTTCACATAGAAAATCATAAAAATAACATCTCATTTTAACATTTTATAAAAAAAGAACATACAATTAAAAAAAAAAAAATTAAAAGCTATATTGTGTTAATACTTTTTACGTATCGAGTTTGTATTTTTTTAGAGCATAGACTGTCTGTTGTTCTCATTTTTAATTTTATTTTGTCTCTAAAATGTTATTTCTTCTTTTTTAAACATTTGTCTCTTCAGACAGTCTCAAAGACAGAGCGCAACGCTTTAAATGTCATGCTTTGACGTCTGTCATTTAAAGACGCATGCTTGACGTGTTTACAGCCTGAGCGCGCATCAGCTGATCGCCATGTATGTGTCATATGTTTGCAGTCTGAATAGTAGCGTAAGAGATGTGTCTATGTTTTGGAGGTTAGGCAAGGTTTTACAATTTTTTTTTGTTCTGTTTTACGTGATTTTTCCGACAATCTTAAAATGACCATTGGTTTCCTTTTTCGAAACTTTGCGTTGGACTCTATAACACGTCATCCGTTATCGTGTCATATTATAGTGTGACAGCTAACCTTACTAAATGATAACAGATGTTTATTACACTTTCGTGGATCAAGTCACATCAGTATCAACCGGTTTCGAGTTGAAAGTGTGGGCAATACACCTCGCATTTAATCAACCTGAAACTCTTATCTAGAATATATAGCGGAATGTTAGTCATTTCGAGATTAGTGACCACAAATGGCCTTGTTTCTCAGGTATATTTTAATTATAAATTTAATTTATACAAATAATTATGTAATACTTGTATGACTTCATAACCTTTTAAGATTGTCGCTTTTTTGTTTTGTTCATGAAGCAGTGCAAAGTATGTCGTAATTGTTCGCGATTACTCGATACAGGCTCGTCGAGCGATCGCGACGACGATGATAAATTGCGGGAATTTTTAAAATTATGCGCAGAGCAGCATCTTTGGCACAAGCTAATTTTATAACATCGTCAATAATAATAATCTAAGATCTAATAATGTTTACTAATAATTACATTTACAGGGAAGATGTATTGCAAGGACGTTATCCACCAGCAGAATATCATATACCGAGAAGAAATATGTGGAGACAACAGAGGAAAACGGGGTAAAGATATTACCCCAATATTAGTTTATTTATTTGTTCTATAATTAAAAATATTATTTTTTATCCTGTAAATGTTATTCAAGCTTTTTTTCTAGATCTCATCTAATTTTTAGTAATTTAAATTCTTAAGAATTTAAATTTTTATCATTTAATTTGCACAAGTCTTAATAATAATTAATAAAATTGTTTATATTTTAATACTTTTAATAATTTATAATTTTAATCTTACCGGTAATTATGATCCAGCAATTCTGCAGCTATATTATTAGTTTTTGCTACTTGTAAAGCCAACACGTCTTATCTTGTTGCAGGTCAGAACTATCCGATTGAGCGACCGTTCCTCGCTCAACTCGCTATCGTTGGAGATGCTGAGGATTCTGGTGAAGGAGATCAAAAGGGACGAGGACAGTAAGGATCTTCGGTCGATTGTGCTGACGTCTGAACCAGGAAAAGTGTTTTCCGCCGGACACAACCTGAAGGAACTGGTTCGTAAGAGTCGGTTCCACTTCTGTAAGACTTCCTCTTTGTCACACAGAAAAATCACACATTGGTTTGCGTTGCTTAGACATCTTCAAGTGACAAGTCGCACAAGGACGTGTTCGAAACCTGTTCGGAACTGATGCGGACCATCAACCAGAGTCCGGTGCCGGTGATTGCAGCGGTTGACGGTTTAGCAGCTGCAGCTGGCTGTCAACTGGTCTTGGCGTGTGACATCGCGGTGTGCACGGAAAGAAGTTCGTTCTCCACTCCAGGGTATTCTACAAAACACAATATTACTTATTATTATATTATCATTTCTATGCATATTGTTTACTATTTCTTCACATCAGTGCTTCATTACTACTATTTATTGTTCATTATTTTCTTATATTTTAATATTTTTCTGTTATAGAGTGAGTCTGGGAATATTTTGCTCGACACCGGGCATACCGCTAGTACGCAATGTGCCGAGAAAAAGCGCAATGTACATGCTTTTCACAGGGCTTCCTGTTTCCGGCAGAGAAGCTTACGAGTGCGGTCTCGTCAGCAAAGTCGTATCGAATGATAAGCTTGGTGAGTGAACAAAAAATTATATTAAAACTCTATTAGAAAGAAGAAAAATTATTATTTAATCTCTATAATAAATTTTGTACGTGAATAAATCTCTTAATATATTTAATTGCGATTTCAGAGGAGGAAGTCCGTCGAATTACAGATGCAATTAACATGAAAAGCCGTTCGGTTGTCCACATTGGCAAAACATTCGTGTACGAGCAAATAGAGCTCGATTTATCGACAGCGTACTCTTTGGGCACTGAAAAAATGGTGAACAACTTGAAAATGAGAGATGCGCAAGAAGGAATACAGAGTTTTTTAGAAAAGAGAAAACCAAATTGGTCACACGACTATGAGAAAAATTAATTTTTTATACTCACAAGAATACGAAAACTTTTATATACGAAAACTTTTATATACGAAAACTTTTATATACGAAAACTTTTACAATTGATATTAGTTATAATATTTTCCACGTGTGTATTATAATTCTAAAACAAATATAATATATTTAAAAGAAATATATTTTCAGTATCTATGTCTTTTTAAGTTTTAATGATTCAGTTTTATGTAATACAATCGAAACAAATAAAATTGCATCATGCAGAGGAAGTCAATCATGTAGTTACGATTGATCACTAAAGACAACATCAGAGACTTGTGAGATAACCTCTTGTAAAGAAAGAAGAAAAATATATGTATAAAAAAACGTGCAAAATATATGAAAATATATGCATAAAACAAATTAATTTTGTACTTTTTAGAGTGTCTGGATCTTTCCAACATACTTTTCAGATAATCTGAAAAAAATTAATTAAATAGCGCTAATAGAAATTTATTTTTTGTGATTACGCATTTTTATATTATCAACAATAAAAAGTTTTATTTGCGATTATAGAACTATAATAAGAAAACAATATAGCAGTGTAATCAAAATGACGTGAAAGTCAAGTTCATGGATCAAATAATGTAACAAAAAAAAGTTTATTGATACGCGTGTTGATATACCATGCATGTATCATCGTCTTATGTTTAATACTAAATTTGCTCTTTAATCTTTCACATAAAAGTTTGAGAAAAAAAACAAAATTATCTGAGTCTGCTTTTCACGTATCCTAAAAGATTTTATTAACGCGAAACAATAATTATTCATATTTCGTGTTAAATAATATAAGAATACACATATGTATATAACGTGATACTTTTTCAACAATTTTCTGTGAAACATTCCACAATTAAAAAAGTTATCTTAAGATTTGCAGCACCTTTTTATTCCGTGAAATCGTTTATTTATCAAATGAATAAAAGAAAAATAATTATCAATGGTTGAACCACACGCGAAGACTCGAATCTTGTCGAATTTCTTAACTGCCGGACTTTTCTTATCGATTTCGAATTAATTCGAAAAATATATTTGTAATATGCAAATTTAACGAAATGGGCTGCCCACTTTTGCGTTTTATTTAAACGATAAACGATGATCGAGCATGCTTCGGACATTGTTTAGACATCATTGATGTAACTGCTCTATTTGTGATAAAAGAATTGTTGAAAAACATTCATGTCGAGAAAAAAAGAATGCAACGTTTGTCGCGTTTGACATGATTTCGCGACAATAAAATTGCGGACATTACTTTTTATTCCCGAAGCAGTGTTTGATAAATTTGTTTATTAACTTTTTACCCTCTTTTCAAGAAATCTTCGTTTGTGGTCCTCCGTCGGACTGAGGAAAGTCTAAAGATCGATATTATAGACGGTTAATCTGTTTCACGGTTCACAGACGGATTCAAGCTGAATATCCGATTTATCTAGCAATTTAATTAGAATTATAATTTCTTGTTAATTTTGCAGTTAATATGATGCAACGATATTAAAATATGTAAAAATATTTAAATACATATTTTGTGCAATATTTATAAGTAACAATATTTAATTTTGAAGGAACATTTGTATAAATTAATTTGTAAGAAACTGAACTTTCTAATTTCTTCCAAATTCTTCTTATAAAATTATTTCTCTGCTTGATAATGACGTTTTCAAATGACCTTTATTTTATATTAGAACACTTACTCTCGTTGCAAAAATTAAAATGTTTGACCTCGGAGATTTGATATTTTATTTTTACTTTTTCCGATACCACTTCGATGTGTTTATGTTTCAAATACTTTCACTAAACAAATCAGACTACGACACTAGGTCGGCGTGTAAAGCAACGAAGATGATAGGTTCTCGAGTCCGAAGGCTGATAAAACTGATAAAACCGGGTTTGCGGTGGTCGGACAACATCAGAACATAATTCTCGAAGGCCGCCGATACGCCCCTCTTATTATGTCGCGTGGCGGATAAGAAAGTGTCTCGCTTTTTTTGTTCGTTTCTGTCTCATCTTCTTTCTCGCTTTGCCTCGACCGAGCTTATAAATAAAGCCCGCAAATCACGCGCGGAACTCAGTATCACTGGTATCACTCTAGCTTGTTATTCTGGCGCAATTCTGTAGTTGAAGAGTCACAAGACGAATTACCACAATTATACGAAACGGAAGTTGGTTCACCATACGTTAACGCTAAAGGAAGACGAGTTTTTTTTTTTAGTTAATGAATCTTACCAAGACTACCATTGTTGACGGCTGCATGAGGTCTGACGTTATCAGGCGGATTGGAACTAGAAGAGCAGGACGAGATCAAAAGAAAAACAGCACGCCGAAAGCAACTTTGACGACGCGAAGACAATTGACGAAGAGGCAGCTAACGGAGTTGTTTTTCGAGAATTGCATCGGTCAGTTGGATTCGGTGAAAATAATGTAGAAAACGTTTGGCGAAAGAAAACACTGCGTTTTCCATGGATCTTTAAGCATCTCTTCGATTTTGAATGTATCTTCTTGCATTTTCCGCATCTAAAACAAAATAAACGTACTTTTAGGTTTTAGAGAAGGAAAAGACAAAAGAACAAAGTACATAAAGTACAATTAAACTAGACATATATCCATATAATTCTAATTTGTCTATTAATCCTGAACGTATAAGACGTTCATTTATTTTTAATCTTGAAAAGTGAAGGCGAAAGAATAAGAATTACAAAGACGCAGTAAACGCAGGCTTCCGTTATTATCCCGAACGAAGATCAAAGCTGTTAAAGCTCGCTAAAGCTAATAATTAGCATTAATTACTAACGCAAGAAATTCGATATGAGTGATATAAATAGCATAAATACAAGCGATAACATTGCTTTGATTCTTCATACGACTAGCAATCAATTTCTTCCTTATACAAAATATTTATTAATAATTAATAAACTGTAACTTTTCTTAAGATTAAATTTTTTCTTAATAACAAAATGCATCATAATTATTGTATATGTACATATTATACATGATATGTATTCATTAAACATGTATATTCAACCAATGAAGATGAGATTCATTTAGTTTAGTCATTATGTGTAAAATATTAATTGCTATGGATCTCATTATTGATTCGTTTAAATTGTTAGATATGAAAATTTTGATTATCCAATCTAAAATTCTGTTTGTAACAATATTTCTTACTTCTTGCAGATTGTGAAAAAATGGCTACTATTCCGCAGGGTGCTTTTGCAGCGTGCAAAGTTCGTTGTAATGAGGAACGCATTATTTCAAAATCCACGATAGAGAAGAAAGAAAGAACTGAAAAGAAGGAAAATATATTTAATTCAAGGCCTCCTCTAGAAGGTATTCTCGTTGAATTCAATTGAATTTTCATCTAATTTCCATCTTTTAGAAATTTAATTTTTATTTGAGAAAAATTTACTCACCATGAAAATGTATGCACAGGATGGGAGCTGACACCGCTCAAGTACAACAGCAAGCTTATGAACAGCATCTGGGGTCTGTACAATCGCTATTCCGTGCATAATTTCAAGAAAAACAACGATGCTGAGGATGTTCGCGGTGGGGTGGCTGCGGCGATCTGGGATGCTATTCTAGAGAAGCATTTCCCAGCTATCAACGTCGCGGCCACCGCTTCCGTGGAAGCTCGCCGAATCATGAGAACCGAAAATGGTGTCTAAATGCGAGTCACGTTACTCTGAAAAATCATTTAAAAATAATAATTAATATTGAGCAAGCATTGCGCGTATAATTTGGGGGCAATAAATTATATGAGTAAACGAGAAATTTTATGTTAAATGGCTGTAAAACGATCATTTTGACGTTCACTCGTCGATTTCGCGATCGTTATTATTATGTATCGCAATATAATCAGAGAAGACTTTGCAGCAGTATTTTATGTTCTGCCTAGGTTAGAAATGTATTTTTGTTAAAATCAAATCTAATTCGCAGAGTCGAAGAATGGTATCAAACCATTCAAATGTTTGAATTTATTTTACTTTTTAAAAAAATATTTGTGTTATACTTATAAAGTACACATGTATTTTGTTAAATGATGCAAATAACGAAATGTTGCATACATAATTGAGCAACATGCGATTGTCAATTTGCAAAATATTCAGTGCGTAGTGATTAATAATAGTGTTATGTAGTCATTTGTATATTATTGTACGTAATTAAAAATATTAAAACTAAATGTATGATAAAGCAAAAATTTCATTAATATTACCCTTTTTACTTCACAACAATGTTCTTTCGACAAAACAATGAATTTGACAATTCAAAATGTAGACTGGCCATCTGTTGAGAAATGTGGTAAACTTTACGACGTTCTGCGTAATGTAGGCGATGGTAGGCGCGGAAATCGATCTTCTGATTCATAAAAGAGCCGATCAACGAGTGGTTGAGGACGCGTTTTATTTCGATGTGATTTTTGACCTTTTTTAATATACCCGATAGTATCTAGTCAATAAAAAAAAACAAGAAATGGCACTCTATGACAATCAATACTGGCTCTTGTCGCACATCAGGGATAGTTTTCTCGCCATGGACGACACAGGTGCGTTTGCGATAAATCTAGGTTAGATGTGTCAAAGGATTAATCATTTCCCATAAGATTGCTTTGATCTTGAATGTTTTAACAATAGGAATGCTTGATAATGCGCAATATGTTAATATACATATTTTTTCTGTTAAAAAAAACCAATTAACTAATGTAAATAAAAGTTAAATTCAAGATTAGATTAACGTTGATTGTCACCTTGTATTTTGTTTTGAAGGTATGTGTGAAATGGTAATGCTTGGGGAAAATATTCCTAAACAGTTGAAGGCGAACGGAACACTGCAGTGTTATCCTGGTATGGAAGAGAGTGATGAGGAGGAGGATTTGGATGCATTAGCAGAATCATATGACATACAAATGGGTACATGTAACTTTCATTTTTCGTTACAGAAGACTTATATGCCATAAGATTGTAGACTTATTTAATTTAGTTCTATCTGAAAATAAATTCAACAGCATTATATTTTGCTTGGCAATGCGTTTATATATATTATAATTTAAATTATAATTACTTCTTTAGTCAGATTCCTTCATTGAATATTCTCTTGCTCATTTGCTTGTTTCAGATATGGAATTCAGTCACAGACAGAGATCTAACACTGCACAGAGATTGGAGAAGATGGACATAGAAAGGAAGAAGGCAGCCAAGGTCAAGCATGTCAAATGGGAACATAATCCCAATGCCATTACACCCACAGACCAATCGGAACTGTTTCAGAGAAAGGACTTTCGTAGAAAGACTCCGTTGAGGAAAGGACATTCTCTCTTGTCGGAACAACTTGAAAAGTGTCCAAATTTACCACAGAATGCATTCAAGGATTATGCAAAATTCGATGGCAACGTATGTAACACATTTTTTATATATTCTGCATTTGAATTAAAAAAACTCCTTATTTTTAAATCATCCTAGAATAAAACAAAAATTATATATTTTTTGTAGCAAAATCAGATTATAACTTTTCAGCTTTGTAATTTTCATTTTTGGAAAACATAGACTATATTCGGAAATTCTCTTACAGGCACAAGTAGGCATTCCTGTAAGAAAATACAGGATATTCATGTGCATGCTGCCAAAGGAGGAGAGGACGTATCCGCTCCAGGTAGTGGTGACGGCAACGGCGAGGGTGTTAGACTTCATCGGGTTGATTTGCTACAAATATGCAAGTGAACATCCCGATCATAAGTTGAAGTTTGTAGCAAATTATCTCGCGTCGCCAGCACGCACATGCCTTATTCACGAAGTCTTGGTTGTCTATTATTTTCAGGGACCTGTCGCGTTACGGATTATACATCACCGAGGACGATGGCGAAGTAGACTGGGCATTTCCCTGTCTAGATCCACGTGAGACCATCTCCAAGTTCGAGTTCACCACGCTGGGTCTGATTGAGATGAAGCCGAGCGACAGAGCGCGGCACAATGCGGTTAGTTGCGTTGAGAAGAAGGCCGAGGAACATCTGGAAGGCAAAGATAAGGAACAGGAAGAGGTCGCAAATGATCTGGCTAAGATGGAAGGTCACACCACCGCAATGGAAGCACCGTTGTATCAATCGTACAGGTACTTTTTCAATAATAAAACATATATCTACAAATTTCTTTACAAGATAGTTTTAAAATTATAATTTAATCATGGATTTAAATGAAAAATTAATAAAAAATTGGAATAAAAATATGGAAAAATAATGAGTGACTAATTGTAGGAAATTTTAAATAATTATAATGCTGAAACAATACCTGTGTTTTCAATTGCAGAGTATATATAATTAACAAAATGCGAGCAAAGACTGAGATTCATTTAGGAATATCAGGCGAGAAGATAGAGATAGATCCAGTGATAACAGGTAAAGGTGCTGCCAGGTTCTGGAACAGACAGCGAGCAGTTAGTTATCATATAGATAATATCGCCTGGTGCGAAGTGACGGAAACTAAGGGATCGAAAACTATGTTCACACTGGTTTATACTCCGCAATCCAGCGTTCCAGACAATTTTCTGAGTTAGTATTTGTTTATTTTGCTTTCAATTACACATATATGCTTTGACAAATTTGAGACCAATTTCTTTTCAAAAAAATTTAATAAAAAGCTAATATTTTTTCGAAATTTTTAATTCTCAAGAAATATATTTTTACATAAGATTGATATTTAATGATACCTGATACTGATAATGATACCATATTACAGGTCAAAGCCATTCGCTTCATCAATCAGCATCGTTTAAGAATCATGATTTTGAAGCGGACTCTGTAACAGCCGAGGAGATTGTACGGAAAATTAATCACATTCTAGAGCTGCACAGCAGCCAGTCTAGGAAGGAGTATCTCGCACAGAAAGAAAGGAAGGCAGCGAGGAGAAAGAGTTTTCATCTATATAGATGACAGCTCTATTGGTTATTCTATACAATCTTAGATTATCTGAAGCATTGAACATTAATGTACGACAGAACGCAATTGTGAAAGTTGCACTAGGATCAGAAATATCCTTGTATAATCGTATTGATTTCCTAAATTTTGTTAATGTGTCAAAAATGGCGGAAATTAGACGATTTTTAAATTTCATAAATATGAAGTTTAATGTTGTATAATCGATAAATTATTTCTCACTTATTATATTTCATCTTTATCAATCATAAATGTACTATAAACACAATCATCACACATTAACGTTTTGTGTAATGTTGTCATATTTAATATTAATTTAAGTGTTATTTATATTTTTACTACAAAGCTCGTATTGCCTGTAAAATTGTAGAGATAGCGAGAATAAAAAAAATACTTAAAGAATACCTGTCTCACTGTTCTGACATTTTTATAAGGTTTTTGATGGCTTTAGACATGTTATCCTGCATTTTCTCCATAAATTTCAGGTTAAATTTGTGTACAATCTCACTAAGTACAGATATCTTTAATGTCATATCTAATAGTTTCTGATTATTTCTACAGATATATTCATAATTGGGCCGTTCCAACAAGAAAGCTCTATCAGATTCTGTCAATAAATTTAAATCAAGAGCCTGCCCTTGCGTCTCCATACTTGTTTTCTGCTTGATCAGATTTCTGCATTGAGATTTACGATTCTTGTATTCTTGTTGCCAATCCTTTTTCTCTTGTGTGAGTTTTTCTATATATTCTTTCATTAAAACCTCTTTCTTCATATTACACTCTTCTTCCTTACTCGGTATATCATTTTCATTAGCTATAGTTTTATTATCTGAAAAAAAAGATAGATTATAAAAGACTTAATTGTACTTATTGTGAATAATAACTAGAGCAACAATATGCTTTGTATACATCAATATTTCAAACATTAAATTAATAAAAGAACATACTTTTGAGTTAAATAAAGTATGTACTTGAGCAATAGATATATAATTAAACATTGAAGGCAAAAAGAATAAAAATATCCAAGAAATGCAGTTTTAAAATAGATATCGTTTATAGTGAGTTAAGGAAACTAACCTTCATCTTGATCACACATTATGATTCGTGTGTAAAAGATCGACGATCTTCGTTTGTAGTTAATCTTAGGTTCTTCATCGAAGTTCGATATATCAGTCGTAGCCATTAGTAAAATTTATTATGACAAAAGCTTGCCATTAACTCGTGGTTACAACATGGCGATCAAAATTTCAAATAACTTCAAACTGCTTCAAACGATCTCCCGCACGGAATACGTAACCAATCAAAGAACGGTGAACTAATTTCAGCCATGCATTATATATAGTATAGTGAGTTTACTATGACTTTAATTTACTTACCAGAAAGTAGAAGTTCGACCAATAAAAAACGAGGACAAATTGAACATACTCACTTCTAGGGACATTAGTTTTTCCTGCAATGTAGAGATATTCGATTAATCGTTGAACTACGTGAAAATGTAACTCACGATTGGACGACATGGCGGTACTGCTTTCTTATTCGATAATAGGGAACTCATAACCGAAAACATCTTTTTATTACATAATATTTTTGAGAAATAACCGGCGAAAACCTGGTTAAAACGACAAAAATCGGTATTACACGACGAAAACGTGGATCGAGTCGCGTGAGATCAATTTCCGGCGGATTTCCAGAAGAGTAGAATGGCGTTGAGATCGATTTGCCGGCTGTCAATTGATTCGACCTTCAGGCAGTTGAGCCATTTCGGAGCCACCGCCCGCCCGAGACAACCGTCCTTCGACACACTCCTAAGAAGCTTCGCTGCAGCAGCTAAAGACATGGCACTGCCACGCGTTTTCTTCGACATGACCGCGGACGACAAGCCCGTGGGTCGCATCGTGATGGAGGTGAGCCGAAATTTGTAAGCAATCACGGCATTACACCAACCGACCGTGTGCGACCGCGCTCTGCAATTCCGGCATGCTTGGCCATCTTGATTTTTCCTCCGAGCCGGTTCACAATTTAACCGGGTTTTCTTTCGCTTTAAGACATGCGTTTCGATCATCATCATTCAGTGAGATCTAAAACATTAGCGGGCGGTGAACGCGATCGGCATTTGTTATCGCGAATCGTGATCTTACGGAATTGCAGTTAGTAGCAGTTGTAAGCGATGCGTCATGGTCGCGCGACACGCTTGGCCATTGCAAAATTTTCCATTGACGGCAAGCAACCGGCCGGATAACGCATGCATATGAAAATGCCCTCGAACGCGCATAATTTTAGCAATCGCTCGTTGCAATTGAGGAAAATGAATTACTTATTTAAGTAGCAATTGCGAAATTAGCAGATAACGTGGTTATATGATTGAAATCTTGATACGAAAAAAAATTGTGCACACATTTTTATATCTTCAATAATTTTAGCAGCATGACACATACAGTAGTTTTTGCCTTTTTCTAGAAATTATGACAATTTAATATTTTTCATGTTTTTTCATATCTTGGACTAATTTTTATAAAATAATAGCATACAAGAAAATCTTGCTGAGTAATGAGATAGAATAACGAAGCAAGTGTATCAGACGGAATAATATATTAATCGGTTGAACACTTTCTAAAATGTATAAATTTTCACAATTACAATTTTGCCTTGTATTTTATAAAATACATGTGCACCAGTTTTTAACATACAGGTGCATGCTGCAGTTTCAAAATTTTGAACACAGATGGCATAAGCTAGTATAGTGGTGTCAGGATATATTTATACATTATTGAACTGTTTTTAATAATTTTTTTACTCCCTTTGTCACTTTATGAATATAACATTTAATAAACATTTAATTATTTTAACTGAGACATGTTGTGTAGTTTATTGTGTAGTATTATTGATGTGATGATTTAATAAATAATAATTTTAACTATATCTTATAATATTTTTCAGTTGAGGAAGGATGTTGTCCCTAAAACGGCGGAGAATTTCCGAGCTCTGTGCTCGGGTGAGAAGGGTTTTGGCTACAAGGGTAGTAGCTTCCACAGGGTGATTCCAAATTTCATGTGTCAGGGTGGTGATTTCACCAACCACAATGGTACTGGTGGCAAATCCATTTATGGTGCGAGGTTCGAAGACGAGAACTTCAAGTTGACTCATACTGAGCCTGGTATACTCTCTATGGCAAATGCTGGCCCCAACACTAACGGCAGCCAGTTCTTTATCACCAGCGCCAAGACCAGTTGGCTTGATGGAAAACATGTTGTGTTTGGAAAAGTTACCGAAGGCATGGATGTTGTTAGAAAAGTATGTTTTTGCATGTTTCTAAGCAATTAGAAATGGTTTTGCCATCTCAGAAAATTGAACAACAATTTTTGTTTCAGTTGGAAGCTATGGGTTCTCAGAGTGGCAAGACCTCCAAAAAGATCATAATAGCGGATTGTGGAGAGTTGTAGATCAACTAGATACTGTAATGACTGCATTTTTATTTAGCTGTTGCATACTGTCTTTATTACCTACCCTCCTACTTCATCCATCATCAATCACAATTCTATCAGCGATGCTAAAATTTTGTTTGATGAAACACGAAAGCTCGAAGCTTCTTCATTGTAGAGACGAAAGAACATTGCCTGCATTGTAACTCTTATTTTTAAATGAATCTACTTCCGTCTTCATCAGGGAAGAATCGTACGCAATGATTTTTTTCTTTTTTTTTAATGAAAGATATATACAAAGGTCCAAGCTCTTTCCTTTACTTTGCTGTGATGACTAACATCACTCGTGTGTTTTTACAATACTTGTATTTTGCGATAATTTTTGCGAAATCCATATTCTTCCATAATCACAATCGTTTAATACCGTTGAGTGATGCAGCAAAGACACATGCAATGAGCTCAAATTTTTCCGTACCATCCTATACTTTAGTGAGTGTTAAGATCTTCAATAATATAGAATAGGTATTTCCAGGGTTTAAAATTAGCAATCGATGTATTGATTCCAGTGTGTTAACCAATGCATTTCTCTTCTATATTATATTGATTTTACATACGTACAATGTATACCACAATTCTCATTGTATGTTTTTGTAAGTATACACCATTTCTTGATCAAGTAAGAAAACGATCATTTATCGTGATGTAGGCAATGCCTGAATACGATACCATTTTATTATAATACAGCACCAACAAATTGAAAAATGTAGTAGCAACAGTCTGAATAGTTCCAATTTCTTAAAAATAAAATTGTTTTCAGAAAAAAAGAAAACTGTGTGTCATTTCCATCGTACTCTGTAATTTAATTTCAATTATATTGTAACTATAAAGGTCGTCGAGCAATCTATATTTTCAATTTATACAAGATTTCTTTGCTGTGGCGCTTTTCCGAAGGCAAAATCTAAATACCGTTTCAAAGTATCCAATTTCTATTATTTTTTATCTAACATTTCTATTCTACATTATTCACAATACTGTAGATTGTATTCAAATCTAAAAATAAATATACAATAAAAATAATTCACAGCATTTGCAACATTTATGATCAACGTATATTTCATCTTCTTTATATTCATGTTTCTCCAATCTTCTGCGAGAACATTGATAGAACATACATTACCGATATTGTGTTTACAATCTTGCATTACATTAGGACACTTCGGTAATCTAGGTAACATATGAAGGAGAAGGGTGCGCTAGTCTATAAAAAACGAACTTTATTCTTTTACGATTTCGAAACAGAATCCCGATGAAAAATCATAAGAATAATTTATTAAATAGTATTTTAATTTTCTTGTCATATTGTATCTTTTTGCTCGCAGTTATCATCTGTTTAAAATGAACACTTATTCCTCTTAATCAATAAAAAACCGATATATTCTTATCAAATTGAGTAAAAAATAAATAACTTCTGACGCAGATAAATAATACTTGATATTTTCTGATCCTATTTAACGTAATTTTATTAGTATCTAATTTATAGAGAATTATTTAAAGGATGTAAGGATTCAGAAAAAATAAGCTTGTTATCTACGTTAAAGTTATTTATTTAAATTATCACTCAACTCAATAAGATCAAATAACACGTTGTGTATCTTTCATTCGTTTTGTATTTGTACTTATTTTGTGTTTGTTTTACACTGCTTTTCATCAAATAAATTTTATAATGTGAACGAAAGCTATAAACTCTTTTGCAGGTAAATTATTGTATAATCAATTCTTTTTTTATTAATCGAAAAATACTTAAATATTTCCATTCTAGTCATCCATTAGCCATCATACTGAATCGATTGAATCGTTTTGAATAAATAATTTTTGTAAAATGAAAAAATCAATTTTCCATGTATAGTACGTTATGCAGTCAATTCCATACAGATTTTAAGACTCTCAATAACGACGATTATTAACTTTGAAATATTTTTAACATTGATATGACGTGTGTAAGTAACATGTAATCTCCACAAATTACACTGATCCGTTTAAATATATTTTATCGTAAATTTTCAAAGAAATTCCTTCGATGATGTAGTTAAAATGACAACACGTGAAATTCACATTTATATTATGTTCTGAAGCTATTAAATTTATACGAATTTTTAAGTTATCCGTTATCCGTCGAGTTATCCGTCTCAACGTCGAGAGAATTTTTCCCTCTCTGCCAAAGAAGCATAAAAATTACGAATCACATCTATTGTTTAGTCTAATCATATTCTAATACACCGCAGCGAGGCAAGGTCAATTAAGACACTGTTAATTACACACACATCGTTAGAAATATGACTTTAAGCTGTAAGAAATTTTTTGTATACTTATTATCAGCTATTATTGTTTTAGAAATCGAACTAAGAGAAGCTCGACTAAAACATTAGATAGAAAAAAGTAAAAAAAAAAGAATAATGCATCTGTGCTATTTGTTTGAAATCTTCTTTCGAAATTCAAGAAACGGGATCCAAACGCAAGATCCCAATTGAAGAATAAAATTGCCAAAGGAAATAAATTCGCAGGATGTTGTAATATATACCTAATATCTCTATCTTTGAAACACACAAAATTCTCGAAGTTGCAACATGAATATTTTTTATATTCTCTGTTTAACACGCAGCAATGTATATCAATTGCCGTATGTTATTATTAAACGTATGCATCTATCATATACATGTATACCTTTATATCAGTGGCGGTTTGTGCGGTCGACCAATACAACAGGAAGAACGACAGATAAAGTGCCACTTCGCGTAACTTATTGGATCAGTCGCCACTGTTGTGCTCTTTTTTTTTTTTTTTTTAAGTAGAATATATTATATATTCTTTCTAATTAACATGCCCCCTTTGACCCGCAAAGGATAGATTAACGTTCAGGATTATTGATATTATCTTTGCACAGCAGAATATTTTGTTACGTCGTAATCTTACTCTAAAAAGATCTCTTCTGCGCCGAAGTAATATTATCGCGGCAACCAAAAACGATGCACTATTGAAAATAATTATTCCCTATGAAAATAGTTTTGTAATCGATCTTTTCAATTCTCGTACTATCAATAGAAATTATACGACGCGCACATGCCACCTTTGTATGCATGCATGAATATGCTTTCGCTCAGGATAACAAGGACAAAGCATAACTACGTTATCTGCCACGTCCTGTTTTGTGGTACATTATGAGTGCAATCAGCTGCGAGAGTAAGAATAATCAGGATAAGTGGAGGATAATAGCGAAAATAGTTTGCATATACGATATATATGTGTGTATATCGAATTAAATGCATATGGCATTCGCAAATACGATTTGCACAATTTACATATTATGCAACAGAAAATATAGCACAAGCCTTCGTAAATTATATCGTATTTAATCATATAAACGTTCGCAAATATTAAAATCACAATATTTGTATCATTCATTAATGTTCATTTATTTTTGAACAAAATACCGTAAACGTATAGAAACAAGTCTCACAAAATCGAAAATATTCCTTACAAATGTTGTAATTTCCTTCAGACGATTTATTATTCTTTTAGTATTTGAATATTTCTGAGTTCGAATATGTTAAAAAATCGCAAACACACTCGGACGTGTTTTATAATTACGCGAGGGTGTTGAGCAGTCTTATCATGCCAGGAAATGCGGAAAAAAAAGAGGAAAAAAGAGAAATAGGTGGAAAAGACTACATTCTCGATCAAACTCGTAATCTTCCGCGGCTTTGTGCTCCCTCTTCATCCCTTTCTTCGATTTTTCTCCCTCTCGTACCTTTTTCAATTCAAGCAGATAAACAAGAAAATCATTCTTGTTACAACAAATCTCTTCGTATTTGTGCGAGAAATTAATTTTGGATATAAAAATAAATTGACAAACAGATAAATAAATAAATAAACAACGCTAGTGCAATGAATAACTGTCGTACTGTCAATCTATTATACCTTGAAAACAAAACGAACAGATGACGCAATCAGAAACGATTCGGAAATACGGCACTACTTGACGAAGAGGTCTTTGAGAGTCGAACAGATTCCGTCGCAATCCGACTGCTCCTGCTCTTTGTTCCCGCTCGAGAACCAGCTGGTCACCTTACCGGCGCGCGACTTGTTCGGTGACACGGATGGCTTTCCGGGTGAACTGCCCGACGCTTCCGCGTCGCTTCCCTTGTGGACCGAGGTGAGAATCTTCTCGATGGCATTACCGAACACCTGTCAATGCCGAGCGAGAAGTTACGCGCCTTTTATTTCGTGCCGTCGCGCGCGACCTTTCATGTCTATTTAATAGATCTTCAATACAATTTACTGTTCTCTCGAATGCACAATTAAAATATAGAGCACGGTTCCGTACTAAATAGAATTTTAGATAGGTAAACTTGACTCATGAGTTTCTCAATGCTTATAAATATTCGATGGAAGAGCGATGTTCATTTACTGTCCATATATTCTTAATAGAATCCTTCCGTTCTCTTTAAATAATAAATTAGACTCACTCACCTGAGCGTCCACTTTGGTGCTATCGTCCCAAAGAACTTTGAGTTTCGTGTCCACGTTCTTCGTGACCGTATCCTTCACGATTTTGGCCACCATCCCGGGCTTATCGAACGTCGTCGCTCTCTCCTCATCGTATCGGTTCTTCTTCGAGATGGGCTGATGCCTCTTGGCAAACCAATTGCTCGGCGTTATGGGTGAGCCACCGGTGTTCTTGCCGCCGATGTTCGAAATCCTGATCTTGGAACCCTGCAGGATGGACACGTCGAAGCTGTTGGATCGTGAGTTCGTGAGTCGACTGCGTCTCTGCTCCGTCGTTTTCGCTGATCGACTTGGCCTCTGCTCATCTTTGGCGATTGACGCATCCGATATACCGCATGTATTTATCTCTGTCGCCGACGATGTCAAGGAACTCAAAATGGATATTAGGTCGGTATTGGAGCACGTGATGCCCGCCGCCGTCGCTGACGATGAGCTAGGCATCTTCATTTCGTAGAGTGGCTTCGTCACTTCGGACGCGCGTCTGCGAAGATCCGACGTCGTTGCCGTGATCGATGCGGAGAATTCAGAGAACCGGCGTTTTTGGGGCTGTGTATATTTCTGCGTGGTGCTGCTGTTTCCCTCCAGAGATTCAATTTCACACACGCGTTCGTGAGACGACGTCTTGTACATTTTTAAACGAACCTGAAACGAGTGCATAGTTATTAGAATTTTGAACTTAGCTCATTCATCCATTCACACTCTTAAGAACTTGATTGCACGTATTCGTCGTTTATATACATTCTATTACATACATTCGTATCTGTAACACCTCACCTTATGCTACTATCACAAAAAATCGATATTCTTTAACTTTTTTCTATTTGTATCTCATTATCTAATTTTCTATTTTTCTTCTCTTTCTCTCTCCATATTTTTTTAATAAATTCCTTTTTACTGAATTTAGTTCGTCATCCCAAAGTTTCTTTATCCTTTCGTTTATATCCTCTTCTATTTAACTGAACCATTCGCTCGCCACTCGACGCTCTCCTACATAATATGCTCATATTATCCCTCTTTTGAGTGCATGATTATTAAAATGCTTCACATTTAGGCAAAATGTTAAAGATCGAACTAAATTTGAATCAACAATAAATATTTGTCAAATATATGTTACCAGCTTTATATTGATATGTAATTTGTATTAATATGCCATTTATAATTAATTTATATCAATTCGTATTGAATTAATTTATATTAATAGCATACCGTTAATAATATGCAATTTTCTGCAATGCAATATTAAACGTATTCAACAAAGAATAAAAATATTAAATATCTTACTTAAGATTTTTCTTGTAATTTTCTTGATGTTATATGTTTTCGGATTTAAGGCATCTTTGCGGAGAATTCCTTAACGAAAAAAGCATTATATTAATTATATCATTTTAGAGTATTACTTTATATCTCTCAGTTTATTCTCGGAAAACTATTTTTTCAGAATATTATTATTACTTTCACGAGTGCTTCGTACATTTATTAAAACACGAAAGGCCTCTTAAACTTAAATCCATATTTTTAGAAACATCGTAACATTGTGCTTGGATTTCTAAGAAACCACGCGACCTTTACGCGATCAAAGATTTCCTCAAAATTAGAAATAAAAGATAAATCGCCTGCTAGGTTCATAATAACATAATAAGCCTAATATAATTGAAGAATTCATAAAAAAACAACCCTTATCAAGAATTGAGGAAATTGAGATAATAGCATATTCTAGTGTGATCACAGGTGAAACCCATAATATACCAATTCTCATAATTGAGGATAACAGAATGTTCTTTTTTTTTCTGCTGAAGAAATGAAAAATTGACAAGGGTTATTTTCGTTATAAACCTCTCAATTATTAATACGAGGCTTGATTTTATCCTTAACCATCCTTTTTCAAATGCTACTAATTCTACTAGCAATTTCAATCATGTTGTTATTTCAAAATCGTGTTACTCACTTTTCTGGCCTTGATGTCGGCGATGTCATCCATAATGTCGAGCTGCAGATTGTGAGTGCTCCCGCTATTGCTGGGCGGACCGGTCATCCCGGTGGACGAGTTTCGCCGGCTCTGCAATACTCTGGTGACGCCTCCCATGGGAAACGCGGCGAAAGATTCCCGACGATTGCGGCCGAACAAAGTGGTCGGCACCCTGGAGATCGTGACAACGGAGTGTCGCCGACCGCCGGACTGCGGTGCCGGAGTCTGCGAGAGCGTCGCCAAGAAAGCTGCTTCCTTCACCGACAAACCGGAGCTTTCTCCACGTTCGCTTAATCGTCGCACCTGTTCGTGTGAGTTATTATAATTTACGAGAGACATAACTAAGTGATACTGATATTCAATATGGTTTATCTTATCATCTGACAGAGGAATAAATTTATTGGATTTCAGTTTATCTCTGTCTGTTATCAAGAAGTTTACCAAAAATATTTGAATAAAATATCAGATTAAATATATCTTTATCTTTTTTTGTGATCCGAATTAATTTCGATGAAGAAGATTATATATTGAATATTTTCTCTTTATTTTTATGCTAAGGCGAATATAATTTAAAAAGCATCTTTATTTGAATTAGTACCTTTAATTATATTATTTAGAAAATTTTATAAAAATTAGAAAAATATAGTTTGTGTAAATTGTAATCATGCATTATACTTTAATAGTTTGGAGAAACATGCGGAGAGTTATCACAAGCACTATGTCGAATCATCTTTGTTGCAAAGGATTAATATGATTATTTAAATTTTACTTCTTGCTACAAATTTTTCAAAAATCGATTGTACCTACGTATTAAAATGATAATGTTATCATTGTAATTGTTATAATTACAAAATGTAGTTATTGTAATTATAAAATTAATTAGAGGAAGAGAATAATTTTGAAAGTATCCTTATTCCTTTCGTTTCAACTCTTCAAAGTCAAGCAATATCGCGAATATTCTGAACCGCAGATAATCTATTTTTAAATTTCTCGCTCACCAAAGTCACTGTCTTGTGCATTTTAATATGTTTGCGTATCGGCAACCACAAACGGATTTCCTGCGTGCAGAGTGCGTACATACCTGGGATGCTGTTATACCGGATGTACACTGCGGAGTCGGTAAGGAGTGCTTCCTAGCCTCTCGCCATGGCGAAAGCAGATAAGGATTTAAGGATGGCGAGTCCGGATCGCATCGCGGTGGCGATTCCGCGCGACAGCGATCTCCTTCTTCCTCGCCCAGAATACTTTCCTCGACGACGATCAGCGGCTCACCAGCCCCGCTGTTTCCGCTGCTCGTGCTCGGACACAACTGCCTCCTCATGGCTGACATTCTGCAAATAATATTTATTTCCGCTGTCAATATTTACACTCATATAATATTGAGTTTTGTCTCATCTCCTTGTGAATTTTATCTTTCCTCATTCGATAGAAACTTCGTAATCAATTTATATATTTCTCTTTCTACCTTTAAATTCTTTTCCATCTGCAAAAATATTTTTGACAATTCTTAAAAATTTGTTATCTCCATATTTTGATTCCAATATTTTTGCGAATAACTACTATATTTTTTAACAAAAGTTTAATACAAAATTGAAAGTAAGAATGGGAATAAAAATTTTATTTATTTTTTTTGTTATTTCTTTTATATACGTATAAAAATTTTTTTTTCCACCGAGTAAAAATGTTTGGTATTTAAAATACTTATAAACGGAGTTAATGAAATCGACACCTCGATGCACATGCTGTTCAAGATTCCGAACGGATCTGGCGAGATTTCCCACGCGTGTACGATACTGAGATACGAGAAATTCCAGGAAGTTTTCACCTTTTACGGACAAGCATTCGCCGATTTCGGTCAGGGTATTGCACGTAGTATATCATTCTATTTGACCCGTATAATTCAGAGCACGTGCGAGCATTTCGATTTGATATCCAGAACACATCCCGTTCAACGCGTTTGCGTAATGGGTGCAATTTTGAGCCGTTTTCGTTAAATTTCCATAAATATATTTGCGTGGGACATAACAGAGCTCCCCGGGGATTGTAACGTCCTCGATGTGCGAATAAAAAAAAAATATCGTTGCCGAGAATGACAGTAACACACTAAACGTCAGGTTGCGCCATTACGTGAATATCGGTCGTTTGCAGATGTTATATTTTCGTTCAATATCAAGGTCAGCTATTCCAACTTATGATATTGAAAATCGCGATCGCCTGCACAGCGTTGTTGCACGTGTGTATTATTTTTCATCATTGCGCCGCTGTTTATTCACCGAATACAGCTTACAGCCAAACAACTGTCGACATTTTCTGCAAACAAATTATTGATCTTTGTCCAAATAAATTCATTGCAAAACGCACGATATGAATAAAATAGTATAATTAATAATATAAATTTATACGATAAAAACGGTTACTGTTATTCTGACAAATTTTTAAAAAATCTCCGTTTTTAGCCGTAATATCCGAATTATTTAATATCGGCGTATTTCGGGTTTCGACCACAGAAAGATTAAATTTATTATCCGAGCGCGACCGGAGCTTTAAAATATTTTTTATTCATAATCAAAAATATACATTAAAATAAATTCTCCGTTATTCAACGTGCAGCTTTCCGCTGAGTTTATCACAATTCTCAGATCAGCTCGCTGAAAATCTAGAAAAAATGAATGGGGAAAAGTAATTTCATGATGCTCTATTTTCGGAGATCAAAAGTTATAAAAGTAATGTGTGTGCGAAATAAATACCCCGCCAACTCTTTTTAACTTATTTATTTTTCGTAAACTGTAGTCACCGTTCGCGCGTTTTCGATCGGAAATAGAGAAGCGCAGTCGATCGATCCTGCTTTATCGCCTCCTCTATCAGTCGTCCCGGTAACGACGATAATACCGGAAATTAATATTCGAATACGTTAGGTCAGTCTACGCGTTCTGGTCGATGGTCGCCTAGAAATAGCAAATCCGAAGCCACGGGAATTCCGGTGGCGGTAAAAAGTTGCTGCTAAACGGAAGTGAACCGCGGAGCTAACAAAAGAGGATGTTCTTGGCGACGATAAGGTATATAAGCGACCGCCGCGTTCGTAAAGAGTATTGTTATTCACGGAGGAATCGAGTGTACAACGAAAAATTGTTCAATAGTGATGAAGCTGCTCGTTGTTTTCGCCTTCTGCGTCATGCTGATTTACGTTTCAGCCGGTATACTGCCGGATGTCTACGACGGACCAACTTATGAATTAGGTAAATATATACTTTAAGAGAAAGCTTGGAAACGATTCTCTTAATTCAAACGAAGCTTTCTTAATTATTGAGGAACTTTAACGAGCGTCAATCAATATCGCGTTGTCGAAGTTTTATTTATGGAAACACAAAGTTTGAACGTGATATTTATTTCCGATAATTACGAAATTATAATGGGCACAATTCGCTAAATATATTGCATATTGTGGTTTTGTTTCGAAAGGAACAGTGTGCTTTTGAAATATAATACAACAAAACTTTGCAAATAGGGTAATAAATATCCAGAAATACGCTACCTTTGTTTCGCGCCATATAATAGTTATATCACAATGACACATCCCCTTTTAGCATATACTCTGATAATACACTGTCGATATCCTTTCACATCGAACGCGACGCGACCTTTTCCTTTGATGAGTCACACCATTATTGCCAGTTACCACATCATTTCCGAATATTGAATTAGAAATAATATTCCTTTATACTTAACTGAAGTAATATTGAAGAAATATTCAAGAAATTCGACTGTTTTCTCAATATTATTTAAACACCGAAACATCAATTCCAAATTGAAACAAACAAAATTTAAATTTCGTTTTTCGTTGAAACTTAACTATAAAATCCCTTCAATTTAAAATAAACGCTTGAAACAATCGTCGTCTTAAATTTCTTAAAATTTCTCACTTCTCTCGCTTCAAACATTCCGCAAACGAAAGCGCGCAAAGAAAAGCCGACTTCGCGAGAGAATATATCCTTGTCATAAAATTCTCGCCTATTCTACGATGCAATGATCTCCTGTGACACGAGATACTCATAAAATGTACGTTTGCGGAAAGTGCAATGTGCACTTTAGGAAGAACGCGATACTCGTGGGAGTTCTCCCTTTAATCGTGCGCAAAGAGAGTAATCTGGGAATCGCGTTTCAGTCACCGTTGACGAACCGGAGTACAACGAAGAGTCGGACCAAGCGCCCATCCGGAGCCGGCGCGTGACCTGCGATCTTCTGTCCTGGCAATCCAAGTGGCTGACCATCAACCACAGTGCGTGCGCGGCTAAATGCCTGGCGCAGCGTCGCCGGGGCGGCCGGTGCCGCGACGGCATCTGCATCTGCAGAAAGTAGGCTTTCGCTCGAACGCGATTCATCTGGCCTCAAGTTCGCATCCCACGGATCTCGCAAGCCCGCTCTCGTCTCACTGTCTCATCGGTATCAACTCTACGTTGGTGAAGCGCCGCCGCATCGGTTTAATTCGGATTAATATTCATAAAGAATCACAACGGGACGCGTTTAATCGCCGATCGATAACAGCCCGTCGGCCTCGATTGTAACAGGCATTCGTGTTTCTCTCTCTTTCTCTCTTTCTCTTCTTCTCTCTCTCTCTCTTCGTATAAATTTGCGCCAAAATTGATAGAGCGTCACCGTTTATTGATGGAAATTACTTCAATCGTTCTCGTCGCGCAGCGCTGCGTGATTTGATAATAAGAATAACAGCTTTTGTTTACGTCAGCCGCGATGGGCGTCAGGAAAATTAACGAAAATTGTTATTGACATCATTAGTGAAAGTTAGTTAATCATAATGACATTGATGTAAGATTTGAATAAGCCATATTGATCGTCTCGCTGTTGAAAATGCGCGAATCTCAGCCAAACCAAACGTAGTTAAAAAAAAAAAATATCCATAACGTACATTGATTAATATTAAATAGTTCCAATATTAATATATGCACAAATAATGTAAAGTAAAAAAAAGATTAAGTATTAGAATAGTTGCATCAATATGAATTTTTCATTAATATATAAGAAAGTGTAAAATGAGTATAAAAGTATGAATTTTTCAAATTGAAATTGAAATTGAAAAATTCATACTTTTATACTCATTTTACACTTATTTCATATTATAAATAATGAAAAATAGTCCAAGTATATTGATGCAACTGTGCGTTAGAACCTGTTCTACGAACCTGTTTCGTAAGATAATTAGCTCTGCTTACAATAATTAATTATCTATTATTTTATCGTGCAAGCTACTTGCTTTAATCAATTCCAGTCAAAATAATTGGAGTAATTACGTATTTATCGCAATTAGATTTGTACGAAAAGTTTAAATTTTCCAACTAATATATTCTCCAACTAATTATATTTTACAAAAAATAATAATTGTGTTTGCTATTTTATTACATTAAAATTAATTTTAATGACATGTGGTAAGCTATAATAATAAATTAAAACGTAAGCGTTTTCATAATGGTAATTAATAATTGATTATCTCTTACGCTAAAATTACGTGCATGTCATCAATTTTCCTAGATAAAGGAAGTACAGTTCAGGCATCTTCTGTCTAGACAATAAAGTAAAACAATGGGGACATTTTCCTGAGAAATTTTACCCACAAAAGGTGAAAACAGGCATCAAAGGAGGTGCAAAGTGTGTGTGCAAAACAATATGTGTGCACTGCATTGCACATTCTAAATTATTTTGAAGTTTATCATTTTGTGCAAAATTATTAATAAGAGTTATAACGTTAATCTTATCCACATTTATCTAAATAGTATGATTATATACACTTATTGCGCGCAGTCTGTCTAAAATTTTTATAGAAATGTAATTCAAGTAAAAGTCCGCTGCGAATATCTTTGGACGCGTTGGATACACACGCCTGTGAATTGAATGCCAGTGCAAGAGGTTAACCTCTTTCGTGAGTTACACAATGTCTATTTTCGGATATAAAAGCAACACGTGGGTCCGGTCGATAGTTCCACATTGTCGAATCCAATTACTATTGTAACTTAATATCTTTCGGATCACTGTGTATATTGATTCGTATGTCCGTGAGCGTGCACAGAACGCAGATCGTCACTGAACAATGAGCCGTCCGATCTGTCCCAGGAGATGGCGTTTCAACTTGATTTAAAATGCATCGAATATGTGGGCCGTATATCTCCAGCTTTAATGTCAAAAGGGTGTCTATAGTTTAAATACGTAATATTTCGCGTGGAAAGATAACGGTGCCACAATATCGCGAAACATCTTATTTTGATACTCAATATTTTAGTAATAGAAATATTATTCTTTCATAAAGACGAGAAATTGACTTTGTGGCTCTTTTGTGTGTTTTGTGTGTTCTTTCTTTTGTTTTTCAAAGTGAGGGAAATGAGAAATTCGAAGCGAAATTGTTAATTGTTTCAAAGCCAATTCATTGAGCCATTGAGAGTTACGTAATTTTTACGAATTAAATTTCGAAAACTTTAACAACTAACGAAACTTTAATATTTATTCGGTTTTAATTACGAAATAGATTTTAACATTTAAACAAATCTAAAAACAAAATCAATGCACTTTCTGAATATATCGATAAATATTTTCTATTATAATCGAAAAAGAAGTTATAACTAAAACGTCCCTTATGTGTGTTCGAAAGACATTACTCTTCATTTATCAAAATTGATCTGTTTTTCAGACACTCTTTAAACGTCTTTCAGATGTTCCATAAATTCCAATATTATACGCTCTTATTATTTCTGATTACGCACGAATGAAAATCTTCCACAATGAGCACTCGTCGAGTCTCGTTCGACCTTTCGTATCTACTCGCGTGTTAAGGACCATCCACGGCAAAAACTGGCACTTTAGAGGAAAATGCGTATCAGGATGCAGTCTCATAAAAAGATATTAGAAGGATCAAATGGATTAAGGATATCCGATTAGTCGGAAGCGCTCTAATGGAAACGGGATAGAAGTTTCTATAGTTCTCCTGTTTGCAACAGACAATAAATTTATTAGCACATTGTATACACCAAGTGTCCCTGACCGATATCGGACGTCCTTTTCTTATGACGCTTTCGAGAGCGGAGCGGACTCGAAAAGTTTCGTCGACAAAACCTCTCGGCACAACGGCGCATAACTAACTATTGCGGCGCAATTTCGTGACCCGTAGCGTAAAAATTATCGGCTTCGAGTAGTCGATATTCGCTTTGCGGAAACCACTTTACATGCTATTTCCTGGGCAATATAAAATAAAGTAATGCTATTCCGTGTTCTCGAAAGGTGGTTCATTGGTCGGTTCAGCGCCAGCAATTTGTTCCGATAGAATGGCGGGATTCCATCAAAACGATATATATATATAAAAGGACGATATACACATATATATATATATATATATATATATATATATACACACACACAGCTTCGGGAGTTCGCGGAGAGCTTTGATCGGAATGCCACGATTAATTTGATTTCTGAGCTGCGCGTATTCGACGGCATCGGATGGCCGACTTTGAGTTGAGACTTCTCGTGTTCTCCTCCGCGAGGGGTAACTTTGAACTCGAGCCTATCTTTACGCGTCCCCCTATCAGACATTCAAAGTTGCCGCTAGCAACAGCCGCGTAAGTAGAACGATATTCGCCGATTGATGCCTCGGAATAAAGCCAGCTGTTCCCGAGTTCTATTGTCCACGCGACGTTATTACATAGTGGCGTCGCAAGAATACCTAGAAATGCTCGCACGACACAAACGGGCGGCAAGTTCTCGCGTTGAATAGCAGATATTAATTTTGTGAATCCGTTAATCTTACGGAATTTCTTGAGAATTTGTTGCGAATGTAGCGGAAAGAACGTTTCACTGCCTTCGAGACACTTCGCGAAAATGTCGGCGGTTTATTCTTGACATACGAGAAATTTTCATTTTCCTCAGAAAAAAAACGTCGAAAATGATGAATTTTATTTTGAAGGATATTATAAATTTAAAATAAATGTTCTCTTCATATTTCATCTTTCGATCACTCTGAAATTGTTAAGACACATAATAATGAATGCAACTTTCCTCATTTCAAACTCATTGTTGGAGATGATATTTCAGCAAACATTGTATTTTAGCAAATATTGCGCGCTACTACCCGCCGTTCCGGTGCTAACTGTCGAAAGAACTTGTCGTTTGCGGAATCGAATCTTACACGAACTGACCCAGTTTTCGGTATTTATTCAGTGCACTTGCACGCGTAGTATTTTTGACCGGTGTCGCGTACGCGATCCCTTAAAAAAAAACAGGCAAAAAAACGTATAACGTGGAATTTTTTTTCTCGCCCTCGGCAAGGAAAAGCGTGAATGAATAGGCAATGTAATCAATCAGATCGGCCCGATTGGTTCTGGATGAGATCTCTTTGAAGCTTGCACCAAGTAACGAACTGCGCCGCGGTTCAGAACACAGATAGGAGTTAAATTTAAGTCAATACACATGAGGGTAAGAGTTTATGGAGCGAGAGCCAATTACGTCGTAATTCCTGCAAAGAGGATTGAATAATGAGCAAAACGAAAGAGAGGAAGAAGGTTAGCATTCCAGGCGAAATCGTATCTTTCGCTCCGTGATTCCCACCCTCTTTTCCACCCGCTTTTCCGCCCCCACTTTCTCTCTCCGATATCCAGCGGTCGCTCATCATGTCGGAAATTTTAGTATTGGCGATTCTCAAATGAGATTCGGCGGACGGAGAGACGACGCGCGACATTCGATAAACCAAAGAGCCCGTGAGTGCACCTTTAGTAGTAAACCCTATCGATCGATGGGGAGTTACTACTGGCGGCTTGGCTTTTGAGCTTCAAAGGTGGGTAGCTACCACAAGATGGGGTGAGATTGTTCCGACAGGGTTAGCGGTGCATCGTTGCCGGTGCATTAGCATCGTATCGGCGAAAAGGCCTTACAACCTGCCACCTTGGACAGAAAGGAAGAGAGATAGGTAGACGGGAGGACAGAAAAGGAGAGGCAAAGAGAGAGGAGGATGAGAACAATCAACGCCGGCGGCGACGACAAGAATTTCTGCTGACACAGTAAATAAATTCCCGCCCGATTATTTTCTCAGACGCAACATACTTCATTTAGCGCCGGATGCGATCGTCTACTATCGGGTTTTTATTTTAAGAAAGGTCGCATCAGCGATGTCGATTAACGCCGACGATAGACAACCGAAGCCTCTTCCTGTGTTTATTTATAGCCAATGGCAGCAAAAACGTACCACGCGATGTATTATTGATGTAAGGTGTTAATCAGGAAGTTGACTCGTCAATTTCTCGATTAGGATCGTTTGAACGCCGAAGGCGATCGTAAAAATGCATGCGAAAAGTGTCAGGCAGAAAGCGATCGTGCTTTTCAGATTTAGATCGAAAAATACCAATAAACTCTATCGCGCTTCCTTGTTTTATCTCAATTCAATTTAACATTTGAGAAAGTTTCATGAACTTTAACTTTTATTGAGACAGTTGTGCAGTTTAGTATTTCTCCACTTTCCATATAATTGAAAGATTAACTTAACTAGAAAATTGCGCTTCGCGATAAAGATTATTATCTTTCATCGTGACAGTTGATTTAATTTTGTTGTTCTCGAGTAAAGAAATAACCTATTTTCTCTCGATTTCTCGGAAGAAATAAGATAAATTAAATAAAACGTCACTATTAATAATAATAATGCTGATAATAACAACAATAATCCAATCGAGAAATTGCCGAGTCGACTCTCTGACTAATACGTCAATAACGTATCACGTAAAACGTGTGGCACATGATACATTTTCGTTCTAAATCTACTATCAAATAAAATAAATGTGTAAAAATAAATTTAATATCAAGCCACGCGTAGTGCAGGCAAATACGCGATGCGAGCGCGAGAGAATTCCAGATGTAAAAATCCTGCCCTAGCGCGCGAATTTAAATACCGCGTTGGAATAACGTAAGGTCGTCGGCTCGCACGTGGATTCTGACGGTAACAAAGAGATTTTTCGCATGCATATGGCAGCAACGCTGTAACGCGATACGTTATACGTCGAACGCCTCGTTTCATCGTCTCGTGTGCGACGCCGACCAACGAACAATCCCTGTAAACGGAACCCGTCGGTGTTTCGCGGTCGTATGAAAATCGCGCCGGCTGACGGTTTAATGGCATGCGGCGTAATCCGCTGTTGCAGCGGCTAAATTATGACGGTATTACGCACAAGCCGGTTCGTGACCAATTCTCTCATTGCAACGAATACTGCGGTCATCCATCGTATCGGCGGCCGGAACGACATCATTGATATTAATGGTTTCTCGATGTACTGTCGAATTTCACGGGTCTCTATAAATACAAAAGTACAGGTACCGAATCGATGACTGTGCGCCCCGGACAGAGCACAGAGAAATAATGGAACGGGAAATGAAAATAACGGTCGTAATGATTGTTGCCTACAGCGATCTTTTTTCGATCATAACTTTATAAGCGTGATCAAGTAGCGCGCGATTCCACAAGCCTGTTTGTCCTCGGATCCTATCAGACTGCTCGCTTTTGATGTCTCGCTACATCAATGCATTTGAGGCCGCTTTGATCACTTTATATAATTACTTTTGACACACGGCAATTCGATTAATAATTTGAAAATAAGGAGTCGCTGCAAAATTGAACTCTCGGAGAAATATCGGCGGAATTCGAATGTAGGGGCGCTGATTCGGACCCGAATAATCGGAAATTAAGGAAAACCGTAAAATATGTATAAGATCTATATTACATTTATCCCGCAATCATTCTATTTATTTTATAAATATTGTTTTTTATTTGCAGCACAAATGTTACTATTTTTAATTCCTATCTGATTTCCATTTCATAAACGAGTTTTCCATCAATTACCAAAGATCAATATTACGCGTATGCGGTATCTGTTTTTATTTTAATTAATATAATAATTGCCAATTAAGTGTTGACGTCGAAAGGTTAAAAATGTTCATAATGTGAGCGCGTCTGGTTAAATAACTACTCCGTCCGCAGGGGTAGACGGCTCGGAATCCGAATTGTTAAATTCCTCTCATTTCCTCGTGACAGTCCGGCGTGAAATGCTCCGCGAAGCGTTTCCTGCAGAGCAACGACAGGATCGCTATTAAAGGCAATTCATTCGGCCTTCCAGCTGCCGCGCCGTCGCGTCATCTCTTTACCTCGTTAACTTCCATTTCTTGTTCAATGCGCAGCTACCCCCGTGTCGCCCGTTATTTGACGGACATTTAGTGCCGTGTAATTACGCGATACGCGCTACTATTACGTAAGCGAGTACACCTGCGAAACCATTTCCACCCGTTGCGGAGAAAGACGATGTGCGGCCGTGGAGGAAAAGGAGGAAATAACTTATCGAATTCTTAGCGAGCAATAAGCTCAGAATTGAATGTTTTATAGGAATTAATATTTTACGTTCCTTTTTCGATTTCGCGAAAATTAAGACAAAAAGTTTCGCTCATTCTCGCGCCGAACGGCAGCCGCTCTCCTCTTATCGCGGGATAAAATCACAAAGAGTCTTAAGAGACGGGCCCTATCTCTCATTTTTGAACCTTCCCGCTGAGAAAATTTGTTTTTCAACGAGATATACACGTCGGCGTGCGTCAAAGCGTAAAGACATGTAACAGCGGAACTGTGAATCTTCCCTTCCGGGCTTAATTAAATACTTCGGATGCCGACTGACGTCGCAAATATTTCCGGAGGGTCGGCCATCACGGCGTTGGGAATCCTGCCTTTCTTTTTTCCTTCTGTTTTTTTTCTAACCGTCCTCTCAAAGGATTTGCGACGCAAACGAACATTACAGTTTATAAACCCGCCGGCCATATTCCCGGTCTTTGTTTATTTCACAATCGGGGGATTACGATCGAGCGGGGTAGATAGGGGACGGAAATTTATGATCGAAGATTACGGGCTGAATAACGCGGTATTATATCAGTATTTACTCTGCGATAATATATCACTGCAATTTAATATGTCGAAATCTAAATAAATTGATGTTTCTCTCATTTCGCGTAACGTTTCCACCTGTCGCACACTCGATGCACCAACGAGAATTGTATATCACTAATTTTATAACGCAAACCACGAAACTTATAATCGAAGATTACGGACTGAATAACGCGTTATTATGTCAGTATTTACTCCGCGATGATATATCACCGCAATTTAATATGTCGAAATCTAAATAAATTGACATTTCTCTCATTCGGCATGACGTTTCCGTCTGTCGCACGCCCGACACACCAACGGGTTTAATATTAGGGTATTCGGGTTTAACATTCGTTTAAATTATTATTATATATCGTTGACATATTTCGATGTGTTGTTCTTATCACATTATATTTTTCATTATTACGATCATTTTGTTTTAACGACGCTTAACGGTATGATAAAAAAAGATATGTCTTTGCATTATTGCTTTTCAAATTCGTTACAGGTGCCGTGCTCTTGACATTTAATAGTATTGATTAAACCGAATCTCGTTAGTCGGCATTTATATCCGTTATTAAGCAAATTTAAAAACAAATCGGATTCAATCCAACAGATTATTAATAATCGAGGTAATTTACCACGTTCATTCAAAGGCCCATTTTAAAACAAATTACAAGTGCAACAGATGAAAATCTCATTACAAAAGATTCTATATAACAGAAACATCGGCATTACTTACACTTTCATGCAAAACAAGTGATAGATTTTATCGGTGCGATTCAATCGTTTCACATAACAAATAATCCAGTACTTTACGACCAAACTTTTAGTTAAATAATGGAATCACTCGCAGGACAGAATTTAATTATTACATGCCGATGAAGTAAATCAGAATACGTACGCTTCAATGATATAAACACGATAAAGTGCTTATTTGATCGTGTAATGGAATTGTGTTTATGATCAAAATGGTATAAAAATCATAAAAACGATCGCTCTTATGATCGTCAAACGATCTAATTAACAAATTGTCTAACGATGCAAAGCAAATTCGAAAGCACTGTTCAATTATTTTTCTTCAAATTATATATATATTATTTTGTAATTTATTATATTTTCTCAAAAATGTCAAAACTATGTTTTATTCTCTTGTAATCTTAAAAGTGTAGTTTAAAATCAAGCTAATCACATCGTAAATTAATTAAGCTTATTGTAAAAAAAATTACATTTCTTCGCTTCGCATTATTCGATAACATTCATAAATTTTACGATTTAACTGTTACTTATTGCATGCATTTTCGTTTAAATTTAGACTTTGATGAGAACAGATGGGAAATGCACTTCACTGGAATCGGTCAAGTGTCTCTCATGCAGATGAGAGATGTTGGAAGGGTTACTTTTCTTTTCTCCTCAATCTTCGCTATTCCGCTAGCTGTACTTGTAAACGAGGTGATTCATCTAGGACACAATGGCAGAAAGCCGGAATTACCGAAAGCAATTATTCGTTGTGAATGCACAGGCATACAAACCTACCAGGGCTTGTAATTGTCAATTAGACCAATCATCAAGATTTTATCGATTCGTTGATAATCCTCGCATTCAGCCATTGCTGATAAAACGTGGAACGGTTTCTCGGAAAAACGTAAGCCTCAATTTTGGGAAGAAAACTTTGTCGAGATTAATAAAATTATTCAATCACACTAAGTTTATCGGCAAAGTGTTTTCCCTCCGGGCCCAAAATCAAAATCAAATCAAGGTATTAAGTGTACTACTTTTCTTAAATATAATATTTTAAGAAACTTGATTAGTACTTTTTCCATTTTATTAATTCGTCCGTTCAATAATCACGCGAGCGGGATTCGTAATTTTATTAAATCTTCATTGTTGAAGTCAACACTTTTTCATTTATATTATTATTGAAACGATTAATTCCGATATACACTCTCTTGCACTTGTAATGTGTACTCTGCAATTATCAACACAAGCTGCATGCGCAATAGTTTCCCAAACGCGTTCACACAATTGCTGCATTAATTTACATGCAACTTAGAGGCGACAAACCGTTCCGCCAGCCTCATTCAATTCATGTTTAAATAAACTCATACATAATTCCGACAATTTCCATCTATCACATTCAATTCTAATGTTTCATTAAAATTTTCGACAATCCAACTTAACCCGCGAGTGTGAAACAAATACACATAAATTTGTCTACGAAGCTATTAATTGTCGAGAAAATAATAGAGAGACACTCCTAGGAGAAGCACGGTGATTTGCTGCAATATACACAATTTGTCTCGCAGCTGTATTGCACAACGAATAAAAATAACCAGACGCAGACTTATCCCCAAGTCTGTACTTAAATGAAGGCGCTTTCCGCGACGGCTGTAATAATTCCGAGAAAAACAGTAACGGTGGACTTTTATACGAGTCGTCCTTTTGTATTTGTACACAGCTCTTGACAAAGCGACTGCTCTAAAGGGGGACAAGGCCGGGACAACGACAGACCATCTCCACTTACAAAAGTTTCACGATCGTACAGTTCGTAATATGAACTACAGGCATGAGTTACGATTATGTATCTCCGGGGGATCCCGCCTCGCGACATCGCGTCCAGGATATCTCGTAAATATCTGTCGCACCATCATCATCGTTATCCCGAACGTGCCCTCGAGCCAATTAACGGCGGAAACACGATAAAGTTTCGACGCGCCTCGCCGCTAATATCGCCCACGGTGAAGTCGCGGGACATTCAAAAGTCGAGCGTAATCGCGGGGGAAGGGGAGGGGGGTGGGAGGGGGATGAAACCTCGGTAAACTGTCGGACGACAAGCACAATGAGTAAGCGACGCTTACCGGAGATCGTCCGGTTGCGAGGCGATGTTGATCTCGGGGGTTTGTTAGCGCGGTCGCATTCACGGTCCGACTACAAATCCGTTGGCAATCCCGCGCTCGCTCGCTCGCTCTCGAGCACCACCCGCCGATGTTGTTCTACCACTACACCGCTGCCACTACTCTCTCCTTTCGGTTGGTAGCTAGTCCCTCGTTAGGTGTACACGCACCATTCGACGGTCGGGTTGCTCGGTGTAACGACCCCTTGGCGTTATCTCCTACGCTACACCTACGCGCGACGACGAGCACCTTTACATATCGCTGTTTGCGATTTTTTTTACCACGATCGCTGCACACTTGTTTATTTAAATCGGGATTCAACCCGCTTCCGCACGACGATTTCTTTACGACGCGAAGATCGAAAATTGGTTGTCGAATATGTAATATCGACGGGCTCTCATGCGAGCGAACGCGACGACCTTACAGCCGGAGGAAGGACGACGATGAACCAGCCGCGACGATGGTCAGAACGGCACTACGAGCTTCGCGAACAACCCGGTGCCCCCTCACGCCATCGACCCGGGTTCGTTCGACCAATCGACGCGTGCACCTTCTTGTCGTTTATGTACATTCCGCTGGATCCGGGGATGGCCCAACTCGACGCGCAGGGGATGGCGGACCGTGACGCGGTGGGGTGAACGAGAGTGTAAGACGGCGGCGGAGGGACCGTTTCACGTGTTGCTTCGGTGTAAACACTGACACCCCTGAAGCGTAATTTAATGATACGAGCCATCTCGTCTGTGCGACGTTTATCCGAAGAAAGTGGATTGCGCAGACGACGAAGCAGGGTGTCTCGACGAAAACGCTGATTAAATCTTATTGTACTCCGAAATATAAAAAGAAAAAAATCAAGGAGAGAGACAACACCTACAACATTTCGGCACTAATTCTCTTGCGTTTGACGGCGCGATGTGAACAACATGATTTATGATAGTAAGACGCGACAGATATTCAACGTTCCAATCCATTTTAGCTTCCGGACGCGAATTACTTGAATTGGAAACGGAAAAGATGCGGAACGACGCAGAAGAGTTGAACAAACCGTGTCGCGTTGTAGTATGTTTTACATTTTGTAATGTGATATTTTGTAATACTATTTTCCCCCAGTACACACACGTTACATTATTACATAGTAAGCTGATGGTATCGTATTTTGTAATACGATACTCTTCCGGTACACGCTATTATTGCGCTGCAAGCTCGGTAAAGTGCATGAGAAGTGCACTTTGTAAGAGAGTAAAGAACTCTGTAATAAAGTAAAGAAAGCTTTTGCTATCACCTCATCTTGAAGACATTCAGGTCACCGAAAAAAAATATTCGCTCCTGTATAGGCATTCTGTAATTGTATTTAATACCAGCGTAAATTGCGACAATATTCATTGCTGTGACGTGAGCATTTTATTGAGTCAATAAGACTATTATGTCAAATTATTAAATTGCGACCACAACGATATTAAAAGAGCTTATACTGCAGTGCTTTATAAACGTTTTGCGAAGTAAAACATAAAATTATATATAATAATAAATAAAATGTTAACTACACAATCAAATCTAAAACATGCTACGATGCTGTATAAAGAATTCTAAGTGAACAATCAATTTTTGTTTATCAAACAAACATTGTAACTAAAAGTTTAAAAATTGTTTATGTTATAAATAAAAATATTATTTATATTCTGACAACTGTTTTTACAGGTATTTTGATAACAATTTTTATATTAAACTACAATAATGCGTGAAAAATTGGTGAGATTTGACGATGTGCATGTGGAGTAAAAGTTGAGGAAGATTGGGTGTAAAAGAGATAACAAAGGTCGTAAATAATGAAAAATGGAAACTTCTATATTTCCTACTGACACAAAAATATAGTATCTATAATTCTAAGGTATGATCACACGTGTGGAACAAAGGTTGGGTAAAAGAAATTTTCGGAGATCGAAGATTTCCGTAAATAAAAAATCACAAAGTGATCGCAACAAATGTGATGGTCACATACATTAATTATTACACGAGCTTTTTCATCACAATAGCATAAAAATGTATAATTTTATTAATAATTTTAGTGCTAAGCGCTATTATTTAAAACTAACACAAATAATATTTCGTATTACGATTTTTTTAAACTCGTAAAAATTTCTCAACACGAAACTAAAAAATCTTTAAAACACTTAATTACCTCAATTTGTCTGAATAGATTAAAATTGCGATATCTGGCAATGATAAACGTTACGATCCTAGAGACGAAGGAAGTTTCTATCAGATTACAATGCATTTCAATGCTTTAATGTGAAATTGTCGCAAAGAGCTCTTTCATTCTCTTTCTCGCGACGGAGACGTACGAAGCATGACGGAGACCATAAATTTACACGTCTCGTAAAATTATATATATATAAATAGCATTTGAAACAGTATTGTAATAAAGACGAAATACGCACAGTAAAGTGCAAAGAGCTCGTTGCTCATTTACTGTACAGTTTCTATAGCGACCCGCCTTGATAGAATTGATAGAATCCCCTAAATAGGCGATATTTGTCGCTGACAATGTAGCGCGCAAGAGGCAATCGAAACTTTATGCGATTGTTAAACGGTATCTCGAGTGCTAAGTAGCAACGATCCGGCTGCAAACGAGACACTTAAAAGGGGAACGGTATCGCGTTAGGCAGATTTGCGAGGCTTAAGTGTATTAGCGAGTTTGAGATCCTCGAATGCTCTCGAGCGCTCGAGCTAGTTCGAGTCGTTTATTGCATCTTGTTGCAATTAATTCTAGTTCGCATTACGAGACAACGATTATCAGCGGCTTTACTCGAAGCAGCTTACGCAACGCTACGTAGTGCATTAAACAAGGCATCTCAAAAGTCGCACACAAGACGAGTTAGAACACGCTTTTCTTCCGTGTACTTGAAGTCGAGAGACTGTTTGCTGTGGAAAGTGAATTGCGTGACAGGCACGCGTTGTGGATTTTTAAGAAAACGCGAAGTTAACGCTTAAATTTGATCAAAACCCTAATTTTCGACCTGTAATTGCTATGAAAATTTAATGTTACAAGTTGTAGTGACTTCTCAGTTGTAGTAAATTCTCTAAATTTTTTAGGAAGGCAAAATACGTGACTTTTCAAATGCTTTATAGACGTCCGGGTCTATGTTTTCCCCAAATTTAGCACAACGAGTTAAAACGTGCATGAAGTTCATATTGTGAACAATTTTCATCCGAAAGTTATATTCGCTCGACAAGAGACGATCCATAAAATGATATTAGAGCGACGACCTTATTGCGTAATTTCTCTTCGATGTCAACGTCAGCGGTGAGCGTTTCTTGCGTGTCGCGCGAACAAGTGAGGCGGAGTTTCCACTCTCGCCGGGAAAGTTACGGGTCTCTCTCGCAATTTATCTCCTGATATATACATACATACATACATATATATATATATATATATACATATATGCTGACCACGCATCGCAGACTATTCACCCCTCGAAGTCCCAACGCAGGGCGGGAAACATTTCCTTCCCTCCGCTCGGATTTCATTACTTGTGTTCGCGCATTCAGTTTTATTTTGCGCAACGGTGGATCGATAACGCGACGAGACAAATTATATACACCCGAGCAAAACCCGATGACATTAAACCGTCGGCTTATCCGTGTCGACTGTGCGCAACAACACGGCGAGTGTCATCAATATTTGTAAATCATTGTTGATACGTTTCCCTGCGTAAATATCAAATTTGATATTTCGGGTGTGCGATAGATGCAATTCGTGTATTCACGCCGCATAAATGTCATTACACGCGCCTCTCAAACGTTACCGTGCAGAACTTGCACAGCCATTCGACGCGAGAAAAAAAGATTTCTCCACGTGATCTGAATATAAAGTCGGAATTTAAGGTTAGTCTGTACATCAGCCCGTGAAAATAATGTGAACAAAGGCTTCTCTTTCAATTGCAAATGTTCGAAGGAAAAGAAGAAAGAGCTGTAGAGAAGATAATCGTAAATAGGCGATGAAGTATATGTATATATATTACACAAACAGTCACTGTCTTTATTAATTAAACATTTATTAAATACACAAATTACGATTGTTGGGATTGTTGTGTAATATATACATATATTTATCAAATCAATGACAGCGCCTTGCAAATGCATATTAAAACGCCAGCATTAAGCTGCTAAGATAACCAGAGAATGAGAAGTTCAGTATCTGTGACACTTATCAAATCTAGAATAAAATTCGAAAATTGCGAAAAAAATTATGCTTAAAATTGATCTCAAAAATATCGGTTTTATTTAAGCTCTCGATCGACATCATTTCTATCTGCGTCATTACGAATATATGAGGTGTATTTTTTTTATCTGTTTTTTACCCCTAGTTTTTGCTACCTAGCACCGTTCATATCGATGCTGATATATCCTCTCCAGAGAGGTTCATTCGCTGGTAAAAGTCGTAACAGTCGCTGTCTGGGAAACCTGAAATCGATTCCCCTGCGGCTATTCACCCCTGCAATGTACAGGTGCAATAGACCGTAGAGTGAATATACTGTTTGACATTACCGAACGTTATATCCCAAAGAATTTGTTCGTTTTTAAGCATATAATGATGAATAATTACTTACTACCATATATATTATTTATCATCGCGCTGACAATTCCGTATAATTAGCACTCGACTGGATAATTAATCGGGTAGAAGATTAATTAGATAAGTAACCGAGTCACGTTTTTTTATATCGCTGGCAAGTAAAATTTTCTGCTACTTAAAGCTTAGTAATATTAAAATAAATTAAATCATTGTAATAAATTAATGCCCCGAAATAATTGAAGGCAAGAATTCTGTCTACTTATTACAAAGTATTATGCTGTAGTCTGCGTACAGTCAAATCTAAAAACATTTTGCGACGTTAAGTAAGGAACTAAAAACTCTAGAAGAAAGCTCTTTTAGTAAGTAGATATCATAACTTGGTCGTTCAGAATGATTTATAATACCAATTGAAATGCGCTTTCACAACATTTAATAGTCATTGTATTATCTTGCAACAAACCAAGCAAATTGTAATGCTCGAATTTTCTGGTAAGATGCTTTTTCACAATAAACGTTGGATTATGATACGTAATAAACAGCAGTTAACAGCACGAGAACTTTATAATCTCACAACGAAGCGAAGAAGGATATCGCGGATTAAGAGAATGAGATTGATATTAAAACCGATATTAAAACTGGTTAATAAATTTAAAAATATTGTTAATTCTTACATATACATTGCGTAATTTTATTTAACATTATTAAACATTTTCGTTATTGCAAAGCGTTTGCAATTATTTAAAATATATTATCGTCATATTTAATAATTATTACATTATACATAGATGGCCGCATTGTAATATCTGTATTTTATAATAAAATGCTTTTGTACATGTTGCATTATTATATGGCGAACTGCAGTTAATAGGTGAATCAGAACTTCGCACGATTGTTAAATCGTCGCTGCATAACGGCGCTGAGTGAGGCCAATTTAGCATGACCCAAGCTCCCAGAGATATTAACAATAAAATGATGAAACTCTATCTCATCACGTGCCGGCACACGTTTGTACGTGTTAGTGTGTTGTAAACTTTGGAAATCCGCTTACCAGAATTTAATTATTTACGTATTTAAGCGCTTTAAAAATCGTTAACGAAACAAAGGTGTTAACACTAAATCCCTTTGGCCATGAATTTATACACTCGACTAGTCACATGTGTTATAAATTGTGCTATTGCATTATATTTTCCCAACTGAAAGTTAGAGACTGGGATAAATAATGAAACAGATAAGATTTAACGCTTCTCTCCGAAACACGAAAATGTGCTTCTGGCATATTGTGACTGCGGATCAAATAAAAAATGCAGAAAATAAGGGATAAAATTTTTGGGGAATAAAAATATAAATAATGCTTTCTAGAATGTCATCTCTTCGCCAACTTTTCTATCATCGCTTCTCCAGACAAATATAAGATATTTATTATTCGAGTGAGTATTTTTTTTTAATATAGAAAATGGAGAGATAGTTCCTGAGCTTTATCAAATAATAATTCAAAGCTGTTATAAATTGTTACTAACCCCTGGGAACAAGGGAATCGCCCTACATCTGTGCAGCTCCTTGTCAAATTCTATTATATAGGTATCAGTTTGAACTTCAGATTGAAATTCACTTTGGCCCCAAAGTGGGGACAACAAAGATATATAAGAACGTAGCTCTCAAAATCACACATTGTTTTTTTGCGGTTCTTCGTGATCTTTTCTAGTGAATTCGCAACTTTGGCGAGTAGAAAGTTTTCTGGATTTATACTACGTATATTCAACTGTTTTGTGTAAATAAATACATACGGCCGGCCTTGTTGCATTACACGTTCATTTGGTGTTAAGGCGTGATTTTAATTCTTGGCTAACATTGAAAAATAAGTCTGTTTTTTAATATTTCTTTCATTTTTTCAAAAAATAATTAAATTTTTTCGCAAAATTTAAGTGTAACAATATATTTTTTTATTCTTAAAGATATGCAAATACTTTCACTATTAAGAAGATGTCTTGTCGCATATCTTTTAAACGTGTTCCTATACGAAAATCCATCTTCAAATTGGTAATGTACTACTTATCTTTTATACACAATTACTCTTTTAATATTAACTAAACAAAAAAATATATCTTAACTTTTAACAAGTTTTTTGAAAATTGAATAAAAATATTGTGCGTTAACACTTAAAAATATCTTTAAATGTCTAATTATTAATTATTAATTGTTCGAATAATGTTACATTTGTTTTCAATTAACTATATATAATTTTGCGATTAAATAAAATCATATTTTATAATACTTTTTTATATATATTTTTATATTATTCTTTTCGCGCAACAATGCTATTACAAACATTTCATCATCCAAATTGATTCTTGTCCGATCTTCAATATTTATATTTGTAATTTCTCTCATTACTTTTCCTAAAGAAATATTAAATAGAAATAATATAAAATAAAGAAGGATAGCTAAATTGTACACCTTAATTGCAAATATTAAACCAGTTTCCAAACAGCTGGATTATAACTGCAATGTTATTAAACTTTCAAATGAAATTCTACATTGCAGAGAAGATCTCACAAGCCTGATAATATTTCTCCTACCAGAAGCAGTTATCAAAAGTCAGTGAAATAATAATGAAATGTGAACGTTGTTCTCGTTTAATGAATTTTATTGTCTCTTTGCTCGTGATTCTCGAGATACTACGAATAATATTACTGTGCTCAATACAATACTGTTAATAGCACATTATAATATTACTAAAATGTTATTCAAAAATTAATAACCAATAATAAAAAATTTGAAGAATATGTATATGTATCATTTGGCCAGATATGGGCATTTTTAATTTAAAAAAAACAAACAAAATTTTGTTACGAGAATGCATAATTATATTAAATGTATGCGTGTGTTTGTAAAAGCATAATTTAATATACACATAAAAACGTACTCTAATTTGATTATAGCATTGGAATATCAGTATTTCATCATGTCCAAAGGACTTCTAATAAAAGAGAAGAATAAAACCATGGATCGATCGGTGGTAAGACCAGGAAATCACTTCGAAACGAACTCGCGTTTCAAACGAGTCCGTCGTTGTGGTTTTCTAGTTTTAAGCTGATGGTATTCTACTGAGTCGCTCCAAAAAGAAAACTGTTATCAAAATACAACTATTTGAAGATATATAAAAAACTGATAGACTGATGATTTTAGAATGGTGGACATACAAAGCTGAATATGATATGCTTGGTGTTTGCGCATTCTGATATCAGATTTTATTCTAAGCAAGTGCATTTAGAGAAAGATGCTAATTACGACAGATCAACAATAAAAAATGATGATCTAAAGATGCAAACACAAAATATAAATAAAACATTTTTTTATAAGATTACTTTTAAAAAATTAAATATAAATTATAAAATTTAATTTATTGTGGCAAATGGATAATTATCTCTAGCAACTTAAATGGTCTGTACAGAACATTTGTATCAGATGGTATCAAGTGGTTTCTATAAAACGAGGCTACAATATACTTTACTCTTTTATCACTCCTTTTTACGGTAGATGTCACTATCTTACATTCATAGTGGCAAATGCAAATATATATATTAAATAATTGCAATATGTATAAAAAATGTTGTATGTATTATATATGTACAACATATTAGATTGTATATAATATTTGTAAAAGATATAATATACATATATATATATATATAAATTAATTAATACTCAACACGGTTAATTTTTTAATGTAAAATTTAAATTTGCATTTGCAAAAGAATAAAGTATTAAAATGTATGTTGCCATCTTCTGCCATTTTTTTTCTTGTAAACAAATTATATTTATTCCAAATTACTAGCAGAATGTTTTATGTAGAAATAAATAAAAATTATCAAATTTTTAAAAATAATATTGTGCATTAGGCCCCGAATGCTTCATTACAATCTCCAAGGGACTTAAACAATGTGTCTCTATCGATCGCGTCGACGTTTGTGCTTTTAATTGATGACAAAGCGCATTACCCTCTCTCGATGCAGCTATACATTCATCACAGCCGATTAATCCGCGGCGAAAGGTACGATCACTAACGCGACAGGACAACGTTTCCACAGCATCCGTCCCTAAAATTGATCCGCCCATCTCGTACGTATGATAACGGATGATACAAAACAATTTTAGTGATTTGCTTAAATTTTGCTGTTGAGAGTAGATATTACTTTATCTATCTTATTGCGTGTCAAGATAAGTGAGGTCAAGCACATTTCTCTCTCTCACGCGCATGTACATTCGCACGCTTCTTTCAGTGAATTACTATACATCTGTGGTCGTCTTGGCATGCGGGGATTTAAGGCAGCGGTAAGACGAAGTTCTATTTATATTTTATATATCTGTGGAGCAGCCACGTCTCCATTGTTACAGTCTGAATCCGACGACGGCGACTTTGACGTCGAGCGGATCGTGACCGTGAGAACGAACCTCCTCGCCAGTCCGCGCATATTGATTTTCGATTTTCGAGGTTTCTGGAGCAAGCCCGACGCAATCCTGACGCAGGCGCTGACGCCGCCAGCATGGCGGAATCAGCCACCATCTGGACCATAATCTGAATCTTTCGCGACTTCCGCACGAGCTTCGTGTGCGAATTCCCGAGAACAATCCCGCGAAAATGTGATCCCGCCCGCGCGAAGTCGTCGTGATTAGTTTAATTGCACGACGAGCAAGACAGAACGACCAACGAGATGAACACGAACGTATACGTCATCGCCACGTGCTTCCTGCTTGTTACGCTGATCACCCTTACAAGTGGTGAGTGTAAAATATTTCCAATTTATTATCCAAACGTGTCGCACGAATAGTGTCACTATAAGCCACTGCCAATTTTAGGAATATTACATTTGTACAAAGTTTATTTTGATCAAATCGATATTACAAAATCCGGCATGTGATTTTGGAAAGATATTTAAGATGAGTGTTGTGATTCTCTTTAAAAAATTTTTTTCATATTTTTGGTAGAATGCCCGAATAAATCTTGCTTGTAATATTTCTCTAAAATTCTAGAAGTTAATTACATCGCGTAACAATTTTAATAATAATAAGTGAGAGTTCTCGAAGTACAATCGATTCGCTTTTAACCCAACAGGTATTAATGCTGAATTTGCAATGTATTACATTTCAAACATTATTTAATCTCGATTTAAACCATACATAAAATTATCGAGAGAATGTAGCAAATTCAACAAAATTTAACATTGTTTAACTATTCTCTAAATAATGTCTGTATAAATATATGTAAATAGATCCGAATAGTTTTAGTAGATTTATTTTTATAAGTATTAATTTTCGTCATAAATATAAAAAATTTAAAATATATCGTAAGTTTAATAGATATAAACGCTAAAAAACCTAAAATGATTTAATATCTTTCTCTTTCCAAAATTATTCTTTAACATGCTATTTTTAAAATGCATGAAAATATTGATTTAAAAGTGTACATAGTTGTATGAATTTTCGATATAAATAGCTCCTGGCAATTACAGTTATGCTATCTTGTACGTATAAAATAAATGGCAGTTTTATTGCAAAAACAGGTCAGCTAATGGCAAAGGAGCATCGAACCCAAGCGGCTTCCGAAAGAGCTAATGACTTGTGGTGCTATCAGTGCGACTCTATGGATGTCGGTGACAGATGCATTAATCTCACCGACAATATCGGCAATGGCAGCAGCTTCAGACACAAGTGCTTAAACGACAAAAGAATATGTATGGTAAGACTGCGAAGTATACTTGTACTTGTTTCATTTTTACGCAATGCGTTTAAATGCAAAATGTGACAATATCGCGTTTACATCAACCCTTAACAAAACATACAAAGTCTCAAACTTCAGAGCTTGAATTTTGATTTATAGCTCATGTATTTACAAAAAACAAATAAATATTTAAAGAAACGTTTAATCTTCACGTAATGATTTTTCTCGTCTACTTTTTTGTGTTCTTAAAATACGCATGATTAATACAATTAATAGTATATTTTATATAAAATATTATATTACGTAAATATTATATTACATAAATAATACAACATGATTGATTTATTCGAACTAAATAGTTTTCAATTGTACGAGTTTATACGAACGAGATTGTAACGAACGGGTTTGTGGCAAATTTGCACGTGTAATTGAATTGTTACGATAATTTACCATGATAACATACCATATTGCTTGTTTATCTGGGCGAATTAATATCTAATTAAATACATACGTAGCATTCATAAGCGCGCGTCTATCATGCGGATAAATTATTGCATATATGAGATACCTCAAATCTATTTATCGACTACAGCAATCTCGTCGAAATGTCAGATGTAGTATTTGAGAGGAGAGAGATTTAAACCATTACATCCTGTGACTTTTAACGCAGTAAAAAATATGCGGCACATAAAAATTACATTAAGAAGATTAAGAAGATATATAATTGCTATCTGCTAAATAATTTTAACTTTTGAAGAAAATAAATATTCTAAATATTATTTTTTTTAAATCATAAATAAGAATTATTTTTTAATATTCATATTTATGTGTATAAAAATGTAATATAATATAAATCAAATATTCGCCTAGATAAATTGCGTACCATATTTTTGCAGCGTCCTGATTTTAAAAAACAGATTAATCACAAAAATATACACAAGATACGAGCTAGATAGATTTTCTCAGTAATGTAGATCATTATATTTGCAAATAATATTTTTATACAAAATATCGCAAAAACTTTAATATAAAGTCATTAACATGACAAAACAATCTATATGATAATAATCAATTTTTGTCTTATTAACAAATATTCATATAATAAATATCTGTGTATACACGATTATAATATTAATTATTTTTTAATTTTATAAACCAGATTAAAATAAAATAAACCAAGAATTTGTCTAAAAGTTGAATACGAAAAGATATTATACAGGCGCATATGTTAGCAATTAAATTAAACTCAATTCAGATTAAATGTCAAATGTGTATGTGTGTGTGTTGTATATTTATAAAAATTAAAAAACGATGTTAGTCTTTTCTCCATCTAATAATTACGAATCTATGCGTTGCAGGTGAAACGATTTTCCTATACCACCAGCACTGAGAATTCGACTTCCTTGCCAAAGACATGGTCCTTGGAGAGGAACTGCACGAACAAATGCGAACCGGGATGCATCGTGATCGGCGAACGCACCAAGCTTTACGCCTGTACCGCCTGTTGCGAGTCTTATCTGTGCAACAACGGTACCGGCACCGCCAACGACCTAACAATCAAAGAAATCGACCTCCTACTGCCCCTCGTGCTCCAGGCTGTCCTGACCGTTATCATGTATCCATCGTGATAGTGTATATAATAGTTAATAAAATCTCTAGTTACAATTCATATCTCTCCCCATTCATGATCGCCTAATAATATCTCCTAATAATATTTTCGATTTATTCAATGTTGACGATACTTAAATTTTAATAAAAATAATTGTAACTAATTTTTGAATTATAAATATGCTACATATAATTAAGAATAAGAAATTAAGATTTGAAAATGCAAAAAGCCAATTGTTTCAAGTTGTCTTTGCTAAGATATAATCGTCTTTGAATCTATTTTACAATTACATTAATTGTAATTTCTTCAATTAAATATATTACCAGTTATAATATTATTTTTTTGATCTTTTCTTTCATTTACAATTGTGTTCTTTTGGAACAATTTATTTTACGTATGTTAAATATTTTGTTATTCTGGCTTGTTTTTTATTTCACTGGAATTTTGTATAACCAGCTTCAAAGTTAAATTAAATTTAAAGTTTCATTAGAGAATTAACTGCTAAATATAATAATTTTTAATTAAAACTTATTGATTGGAAATTAGCAGAGCATGGTGGCATCTGTATGTTATGTACCGATGTTGTAACCCGACGCCGTTAGTTTATGTATCGACTGCGTGTAACCCAGTAAGAGATTAAACATATAAATATTGTTCATAAATATGAAAAATATCAGGAAAAATAGAATTAAAAACACAGATAAATAGCTATTGAGAGAGAAATTATTTTGAAGATAAACGATATCTATGCAATAACCGACGGATTGCCGTATCGATTATTGGTCAATTTATTAATCACCAACTGCTGTGTGCAATGTAAACATTGTGTACAGCAAAATAAAACATATACCAGCAATCAGTAAGTAGCTTATTTTCTTTTTCATCGAAATTTTTATATTTGTATGATATACTAATATCATTTGTTTGTGCCGATCTGTCATGAAATATAATAGCTCCAGTTGTATAATCCGAGCTTTTATATCTTCTATTATTATTCGCCATAGATTTAAATACCCAACCAATTTTAATTTCAATTAATGTCAAAATTTCGTTCAAAGATTCAATTTTTTAAAATTTATCCTCGCGATTGATGAATTTTTCGAGCGTCTATGACAATCGTAATTTGAATTGACAATCTTTTCACCGCTAATACTAATCATATCTGCTGCTGTTGCAGCTGACGCACCACTCCAATTGTATTACCCTTCCTTTTTCTCATCCTTATCCCCCTTCCTCCTTTAACGCTCACCTTCACGTGTCCGTGACGTTTTCCGCGCTTATTCCGCAGCAGCCGCTGCCGCTTCGGTATCTTCGCCGTCCGTGGAAAATGAAATGTGGATTTATTACGTGTAAGAATAGCATTATTCGTGACGTTAAAGGTGTTTTCCGTTGCGGGCTGCCCGCTACGAATACCGGGAAATATATAAAACAGCAGAAGGAAACTCTTTGCGCAATCGGCACGTACACCTAGTATGACTACATGTCTAAAGTAGTTGCCGCTCCCTTGTCACATAAATATGCTAAAAAAAACCTTTTGTAACTCACAATCAATTAGTCGTAAAATCAATAGCTGCCTGTGTCTTTCACCGTGCTACACCACGAATATTTTAAACTTTATGACGACAACTTAGAAAGAACCATAAAAGAATTGAAATGCTATTCATTTTCAAATACCCAAAAATAAACATATGTTCATAAATCATATTCATGAATTAAAATAAAGTTGCATAAATAAAATAATAGCAAATGATAAATTGCAATAAAATAAAAAAATTAATTTACATTAATAAATTTAATAATTAAAGTTAAATTAAATTAAATTTTAATTTTACTTAACTTTAATTATTAAATTTATAAATTATTTTAAATTGTTAAATTTAATTACAAAAATTTATTATTTAAAAGATAATCAAAGATATATTTAAAAAATAGAAAATAAAGACTTCTTTTTCGCACATTTCTTATAAAAAATATTCGTCAACTAAAATAAAGTTGTGTGAAATCTTATAATAAATTGCAAATTTATATCAAATAAAAACTGATCTATAAAAATTTACCTTAAAAATATATATCTTTTTCTCGATTAATCTTTTTTAAGCTGCATAATGTAAATCCACCTATATATATATTTTTATACTCGGAGATTTTTTTATTTTATCATAATAATCGAAAATTAGTAATAAAAGGCTAATAAGAGCCAAAAAGCGCATTTTCAATACATATTAAATTCATTAAAAAAACAAATTTTATCCGCTATTCTAAACATTTCAATCAACATTAGATTCTTTTCAAGAGAAAATCCTGACTCAACAACATTTATTATAATCAATTGAAAGTACAAGTTATCACAATCATATGTAAAAACCGCAAGAAAAATAAAGATAAAAATGTATATGAGTTGGTATTTCCGTTGACAAAGTTTCTGATGTAGATAGAAATGTTTAGAGTAAATTAACTTTATATTTTTCTAGTGAATTTGATGTACAGTTTAATGTAATGACAACCGCTTTTACTTACTTTTCATTAGTAATTGTATAAATTACAACACACACCGGATGACTGTGCGTTATCCGATTGGCCGCGACTCAATTGCGAAAATTGACACGTATCGTTTGCGGTTCACAGTTACGTTAGTAGTGTCGGTGTTTGAGCTTGTCTATCACGCGCACCTTCCACGGTAAACGTTTTCCACGGCAACGATTACGTCATTCAGAGAAACGGAAGAAAAGTGGTGTTACACGCGGGCGTGCTGCCGACTAAGAAGTTAGAAGCTCCGGTTGTTTCTGAGCTGTCAAGCGTCGGAAAGACACGTTCGCGATTATTTGCAGTCGGAGCATGAAATTAGTCAGCGCGAGAAGCTGTCCCGAGATGCACGCGTCGGAGTCCTCCGTCGCGATTTGCCTATTGTTTGCCTCGTTCGTCGCGACTCATCCAGCGAGGGTCGTGCAGCGGATGGACGCGTCGAGGAAGTGCTGCGTCCCCGGTTACGCATTTAATGAGGATCTCGAGTGCGTCCACGTGGAGCCGGACAAGCTCAACTACACCACGCACGACGCCTTACAGACGATCGAGTCGCAGCATCCGTCGCGGCAGATCGTCACGATGATCGCGTCCGTGCAGGGTCTGAGCTGCAGTCACGATGACGCCGGCACGACGCGGCCGCGTCATTACCCGCCTATCCACGCGACGCTTAGCATACCGGGCGAGTACTGCATCGAGAACATGATTAACGGCACGGTGGTGGTGGTCAAGTGTCCGGACACCGACTCGCAAATGATTTTGGACAAGGAGAACTTGTCGGGAACGACGGTGATGATGAAGACGACCGCGACGATCATCACCGTGACGACTATCACTACCATCACTACCATCAACGTGGCGAATGTATCGTCGAACACATCGAAAGAAGACAAGAAGGAAACGGTCTATCATGGAAGTGATTTGAGAACAGTGTACTTCTGGGGCGCGCAGACCTACATGGACACCAATGTGGCCCACGTGGTCCTCTGCATCATCGTCGTCGTCGTGTACCTATCCGTCCCTGAGCTGGGCAAAAATATTTACAATCGCGCGGTGTTGCGTCACAATTTCTGCCTGCTGGTGCAAGGCTGCATGCTACAGTTCCTCGGCTATTGTCATCTATGCGATTGCCCGATGAACGACAACTTCGCCGTGCTGCTGTGGATACTACAACAGTATTTCACGAACGCGACGGTATTCTGGCTAAACGTGATCTGCTTCGACATGACCTTGTCGATCACGCGATTTCGCTGGATAGTGGGATCTAACAATGTCAATCAGGAAGAGAACAGACGGTTCCTGTTATACAGTGTCTTCGCCTGGGGTGGCGCTCTGATTCCCGCCATCGTCGCTTTCATCCTAGAATTCTGCCCGGGGATCTCGGAGGACCTCCCGTTCAAACCTAATTACCGTCGCTATCTCAACGGGCCGAACTATATCGTGAATATCTACTTCTTCGGCATACCGCTCATCACACTCTTTTTGAACAACGTGCTGTTCATCTTCACCACGTACAAAATTATAATGATACAACGAAGCACGGAGATAGCAACGCGGAATCATACGAATGTCCTGCGAAAGAAATATTTCCTGTTCCTGCAGATGTACCTACTGATGGGCGCGCCGTGGTTCTTTGGCCTGCTGTTCGCTTGCTTGAACAAGCTTGTGGTGCTAAAGATCTGCCGGATGATATGGCCGATATTATGGCTTCTGATGCTCGCCACCGACAAGAAGCTACGGCAAAAACTCACCAGCAAGCTACGATGCATCAGGAAGAAGCAAGAGGCCACCACGACCAGCTCGTAAACAAATCATTTTGCATAGAACGGCTGTCATCGCTAAGAGATATGAACGTGATGTATCAACGTTCGTTGATTTCAACTGTAGCGCAGAGAATCGCACTACGATCCTGTCATGCGTTGCGCAATTCCGCAGTGAAGTTCCTTTTGCTCATTGTGTTCGTGCAACTACGCGCAACTCGCGCACTCGGACGTTTGCATACTTTTTCTTGCGCAATTCTCTCTCTCTCTCTTTCGTAGGAAACCCCGCCGTTGAGGAAAAAAAAGAAGAGTCTACGACGACGGCAATGCGTTGCCGCAATATCCGATACCGCAGGCTGAGCGATGAGTCGCGCTCGGAAAAACTCGAGTCCGCGGCATCGCGTCGGATAATAAAGGAGTCGGCGCGACGTCGTTTCCTGCCGGGGTATTTTAATTACCGTATTCGCGACGCGCCGCCATTTCCCGCCGCCCCCGCTCGCGTCTTTTTTACGACGTGTAGAGTATTATAACCCGTTAGTGTACGCGGGCGATACGCGTCACATGAGCAATCTTTTGCATCTATGAAATATACAAGAACGCGACGCTTCTCTCTCTCTCCCTCTGTCTCTCTTTTACTCACTCTCTCTCTTTTTCCACGAAAAAAATTACCTTACACGCTAATATAGATTAAAATGTAATTAAAATGTACGAGATATATATTCTTTTTATTGTAAACCACTTTTGTACACAATGTTAGGTAGATAGAGATTCCCGTCGCGGGATGTAAATATCGTATGTAAATATCGTTGTTATTACTTAGAGCTTCCGATATCTAGTCAATGGGAAAATAAACAAGTCAATTAGCAAGTGTAAATAGAACTTGCCGGAAGAAATTACCTCGAATCGCAGACCTATCGATGGCGCAATAACGATCGCGTGGAATCGATAGGTAACGGCCTACGGGCAACGACTTATTAAAGACTATTGATTCGACGTCCTTCTGCGCGGCACAAAGCAATAAAAAAAGGAGGAGGATCGTCATAGCTTACTTCAGGCAAAAGCAATACTGCGATCAAGTTTTTCTGAGAATGTGATAAAGAATATCGTACCGCGCGTATGATATCCATAGGAGAGATAAGAAGATTAAAAGATAGTTAATTCGTGCGATTTTTGCTAGTTAATAAGCAGACGCTAGTAATTAGTATAATTTGTTGTATACTAACTTACAATATTTCAGTGTAAACAAATATTTTTGGTGAAAAAAAATGTTTAGTTAGCCTCGCTCTCTCATTTAGAATGCAAGAACACGATTGGAAAATAAATTTATCCAAAACAGTGGAAAAATATTCGATGCGAGCTCAGGGAATATATCAGAATGAAAACCATGACAAATAATTCTAAAATATTTAGAATGTCAACAGTTAAATAAAACATACTCTTAACTTGATTAATCTTTCTTGTGTACAGAATATCCCAAGCCAACGTTATCACTCGTTAATAGCAGATTCGATTCCTGAGGTTACGTGGAAACAAAAATCTTTGTACCAAAATTTCGAGGCTACAGTAATTTTTAAATGCAAAATGTTCAATCAGATTGCCAAAATTTCACGCGCTCAGGCATATAAGTATTGATTTTTACATCCTATTATATGAGAAACTTCAGAAATCTACTATTAACGGTTGATTGATGACATTAAAATAAAACAAATTAGATTGACTTACCAGCACGATGCGCAAGCGGAGTTGTTTGTAAGTTGATCTGTAATATAGAAATACATTCAAATTATAGCAGCAAATTGTTTGAAATAATTACTTAAGAAATAATTATTACACACATCAAACTCATCTGTTATGTAAAAAAATTATATATTTATATCTAATAGGTAAATAAATATTACCATAAATATTAAAAAATACAAATTTTTTATTAAAAGATTTTATTTCAAAGTTTTTATGTGCATTATATTGCGTGATTAATATTTTGCGTGTAATAAATTGCAAATAACGTAATAAATAAACTATTACTTACTCTAAAGTTGCTCCGCCGACGCCCGATGCCTTTCCTGAGCCTCATCTACTTCTCAGACTTCCTTGTAGCTCAAGGCACTCACGTATTCGCGATCCGAATACAAAAATCGCACGATGTTTTAAACGACACTCCCGACACGTACTTTGTCGTTCGGACAAAGTAAAACTCGAATATCATCGCACGGATCACATGTTCGACACGGTCTCGTTCGCAACAAGTAACGATGGAAAAGGATAAGGTTAAAAATAGCAAAAAATAGTATAAGAATACTTTTAAAGAAGATAAAATGTTGATACGAAACGCGATCTACCCCGCACAAGTGTCGCCGTGCGAATGATAAAGGATATCAATAGGCATCAAGGACAAAGTTGCGATTTCCAATTTGAAAGAATGCGGAGAAAAAACAACAGTATGTTTACCGATACGTAGCATGTGTGTGTGAGAGAGAGGTGAGGATATATGGAACGCGAGCTTGTAAGCGTGACGACGAAAACATCCCCATCCCCACCACACATCGCCAGTGGGCCTAGAAATTCTTAACATTACGATATTTATCGAAATCGTATTGAAATCGAGTTTAAACTTGATTTTGACAAATGTTCGATAAATATCTTAATGTTAAGAGTTTCGTGGTCGACTTGCGGCGTTTGGTGGGATTGTTTTCGTCGTCCTTAAGCTGCGTGCTCTATATCCTCTCTTTCTCTTTCTCTCTTGCACCCTATGTATTTGCACGTACATTATTACACCCTAATCCCAGCATTCTTCCAAATCGGAATCGCGCGATTAAGTCTTTTATATGTTTATTGCCCCCTTATCATTCGCATGGCGGTACCTTGTGTAGAGCAAATCATTCCATATCGGCGTATTATCCTTTTTAATAGCACTATGCTTATTATTTTCCGTAGTTTTCGACCTCACTCTTTTCATTGTTACGGATGCGGCAGAGTGTCGAATGTGTAATCCATGTAATGATATTCTGTGCAAGCTTTACTTTTGTTCTAATATAACAAAATACGCGTTCGGAGGGTCGTTTAAAATATTATGCGATTTTTGTATTCGCGTCGCGAACGCGTATGTGTCTTGAAAAACTGCAAGGAGAACTGAGAGAAAAAAGAAGCTCAGAAAGGACATCAAGCGTCGACAGAGCAACTTTAAAGTAAATAATCACTTATTTGTTATCTATTATTTGCAAAATATGCGCATAAAATATTATATAATGTGACGCATATAGAAACTTTGAAATATTCACACTAAAAAATTTGCAATTTTTAATATTTATTAAATATAAATATATAATGCTTTTATTAGATATTTGGATAAAAGATGAGTAATTTAATGAGTAGTTTAATGTGCATAATAATTATTTTTCAATTAATTATTTTAAACGCTGCTATAATTTGAATATACTTGGTATGTTACAGATTAACTTGTGAACAACTCTGCTGTTGTGAATCGTGTCGATAAATCAGTATAATTAATTTTATTTTTATATCATTCATAGATAGATTAAAAAATAATGTAAAATATATAAGGTATCTCAGACTAAACCATGTTATCCATTAATAGCAGATTTCTGAGATTTCTCGTACGATAAGGATATAAAAATTAATATGCGACGTGTCTGAGCGCATAAAATTTTGACAATCTCATTAATCAACTTTAAACATTTTTCAATTAAAAATTACTATTGTCTCGACATTTTAGTACAAAAATTTTCGTTTTTAAATGACCTCAAAAATCTGCAAGTAACAAGTGATAACATAAATCAGAGACACTCTATATCTCCTCATTCCAAAAAGAAAATTCCTTATTTCATATCGATGTTATTTGAATCAAAATTATTGTATCAAAATATCTTGTTCATATTGCTAACATAAGATCGATGCCTCTGATTTTAAAATGTAAACATTATTCATCTTCATTCACTCATTGTTAGAGTTAAGATTATATATCTTTTCACGTTTGCGAATTCTTATCCTTCTTGGGTTTTCCACATAAAGCTGTTAACTAGAAAGGCATACAGCTCGCTAATCCTCGTAAGTATGTGTGGATATGACATGAGTCATCGCCTAGGTATATCGCTGTCATAGATTGCATCAATATTTATACCGTGCCGTTGCATCGCGTGTACGCTGATTCGTGTGTGTATTTCGTGTAAAAAACAAAAGTTAATTTATTCGCGTCAATTTTGCTTTTATCGCACAATTTATTTTTTACATTTTATGAATCTTTATGTTACATCTGTGATTTGCATAAATGTGAGTATAATAAAAAATAGTTTTAACATAGTATCAGGTATTAGTTTCAAAAAGTGATACCTACGAGTTACGTGACAAACGTTTCAAAAATTCTCTCTATGTAATATTTTGACGAGCAATACATTCGAGCAGCTTTTTAAAGTCAGAAATGCTTTCCATCCCGCGGATCGACTACACAGCATGCAAAATTATGATATAGGCGTTCTAACGAGAGATCCAAAACAAGCTTTAAATCAAATGAAAATGATTACCCGAAGGGAAAACAAAATGTACCCAAAATCTCATCCGGAAATCAGAGGTTTGATCGTCATTTTGCTGAAGTGAATTTACATACATATGTCTAATATTTCAAAATATATTTTGAAAAATATATTTCAATATATTTATATTTAATTATAATTGTTCGTATTTAATAGATTTTTTTGCATAATTCCCGTTTTTTTTAACTTTATAAAAATTATGAAATGCCAATTATAATACTTAATAAGCAATGAGAACGCTGACGTTCGAGATTAATGATACGTCATTAAAATCGCTCTCGCAGACGCGTCTTGTCGAAGCGACCGCTCATCGATATTCTCCGAGCTCGTAAGTACATTTTTCAACAGATCGCGTCGTGAAATTGTGGCTGATCTTTTGGATTATTTGTCGCCCGTCCGAGAGATAAACGGATGGATGTAACAAACGATCTCCGTTGAGAACTATTTCGAGCGTACGGTGTTGAAACTCACAGTAGCAATGATTTGAGTTTGCAATCCGATTATGATTTATGCAAATGTAATCATGTGGATGGCACATAACACGAAAGTTTAATAATAATCCAATTTAATATAATCAATCTATATATACTCTTTATAGAATTGAAAATTAAATCTCTTTCAATTTTATGTGGAAACGAAATATAATTTCTAATAATAATATGCTTATATAACTGAATAAGGTACATAACTGAATTCAATAAATCCTCTTTCTAGATTTAATAACAAATGTCTCAGACGCTAATATGATGGCTGTAATATTTTATAATAATTCAATTTGAGTTAATTCCGGATATACTCTTTATAGAACGCTATATATTTTCGCTTGCGTTACGCTTTTCTATCATATATTAAAATTTTATTTTAACTTACTTCTCTTTCTCTCTCATATTTTAATATTTGTTTTACATATGTAATGTTTAATAACACATACAGTCATACATATCAATAGTACAACTGGTTGCCTTATTAATCTTATTTTGCTTATTAAACAAACAAGTAACAGTGCAAAGACAATTAAAACTTTGCAATTGTCTATATAAGTGTTACCACAATTATGTATATGTATATTTAAATAATGACTCACCGATCGTTGCATTCTGGAAGAAAAACGCCCTTTTAGCTGGATCTAAAAAAATTAATATATATTTTAGTTATTATAAATTACATTTTTTATGTATAATGATTATTTCGTATTATTTATTTCTATTTTTATTACCGGTGCTTCTATTTTGGTAACATCTTTTGGGAGCATCTTTTAGAAATGTATTTGATTTTTACATTAAAAAATTCTTATTGTTAGATTGTAAACTTTATGTATAGTTATAAATTCAAAAGCACATTACAAAAAGTTATATTACAGAGATGTTATGTTATAAAATATGAAAGAGAGAAATAAAGGGAACGGGGTAAGTGAGTGAGTATGTATGTATGTGAATGTGTGTGTGAATGAGTAGGTAAAAAAACTAAAACAGAATCGATCCGCCGTAGACACATAAATCGACGCGCGCGCGCGCGTTTCCATATTTCGTCTATTCCACTATTCCACTATTTCGCTCGTTCGTATAACTTGGAATACTATGTCTTCGAAACTACTTGTAACAATTTAGAGTTAGAAACTTATTAATATTTATATTACACAGAATGAATAAACAGATCATTTATATTTCTGCAGTTAGGACTAGATTCATGATTTGCATCACAATCAAATATTTTAATTCTTTTATGATAAAATAACAACTTTTTTAAATTGTGAAAAATATGAGACCATTTTAATACGTAGACTATTGCTAAAAAATTTGAAAGGTCTTTTTTGTAAGCTCAATTTTGTGTGTGTGTGTGTGTGTGTGTGTTTATATCTTTTATTTTATGTGATTAAAACTAATAAAAAACAAATATATATGGAATTATTTTATTTCTGTTTTAATCACGTAAAAATCATATATTTTGTTTCTTTTATTATTTACAATTAATAATTAAAAATATAATTCACTACCTCATATTCGATAAAAAACAAAAAAACGATACAGTTTAAAATACAGTTTAAATAATAGTTAAAAAAAAATTTTTTTTTTATTGTAGTGCTTGTGACAATTGTATTATATCTTTGAAAAGATTTATCATGTTGTGTTGAATATTACAATATAAACTCTATTTAATTGTATTAAATTAAATATTGTCTCATATTTTATACATATTATATGTGCAAAAAATAAAGCGAGAAAAAAGAAATTTTAAAGAAAATATAGTTTACCTGTAATTGCAATTCTATATGCCTAAGTATTATCAAAGTTATATACATATTTCAATAATGAATAAATAATTATACTCACCAGCTAGAATATTGCAGTTTGCTTCATCCACTGTAGATTCAGCATTAGGTTATGTACATTACCGGAGAAAAGTCAACTTTGGGAAAGTTCAGCCTACATATTTCACCTTCAAAAATCACAGATTTGCGTCGAGAATTTATCATTTCGTGATACACTACACACGCAGAAAACGCAAACACAAAATAAAACGTACTTTTCATATCACAATTTATTCACGCAACAATTCGACGAATACATTCACACTCAGAACGATCAAAACTATGACATTTTAAAAATTACGGAAATCATTAAGTACGAACACGTACACAATAATTCTTGCCTGATTTAATTCCGACGAGTTGAATTTTCAATGTACTATAATAGCTGCCGGACATGTATACACCGGTTTCGATCAACAAAACAACGGTCGGAGAAACACCATGAATCACGGACATTCGCAGCAAATAATATACGTTCCGGCAATCGCCTATTACTTTAAGCACTTCCGAGCAAAAATCACATTCGTCGTGAGAGATTTAATGGACAAAATACACGATTAGGAACGACACGTTCGCGTTGTACATTTCATGTTTACGCAATGTAATAAAAACCATTATGGTGCACATACGTAGCGGTAACAAGATCTTTTTCTTTGTATTCAGAATATATAGATACATGGTTATGGCAGCGCCATACAACCCGCGCGCTAGCGATATCGATAAATTCATGACCTCGCGCGCCACCCTTCGGTCACTATGATCGTTCGCGCTTCGTTTTGCGCGGGCTAATTGCGTAGTGGCTACCATGATAACCGAAGGGTGGCGCACAATGGTATAATATCGATTTAGTTATCGAATGTTGGCGAACTTTCTTTTTCGGCCATGATAGTTTCTGATACATCGCGTTGATCAGCGTCGGTTCTGATGGCAGAGGTAATTTCGGGATTAATCGCGTATTTTATCCGTTAGAAGTGTATACGAGTATGAATATTTGTTGGGAGTGCCGGTTAAATAGAGGGATCATTGCGAGAATGTATTATTTACAGTAAGCGTTCGCGCTTCGTTTTGCGCGGGCTAATTGCGTAGTGACTGCAATGATAACCGAAGGGTGGCGCACAGTGGTGCAACATCGATTTAGTTATCGAATGTTGGTGAACTTTCTTTTTCGGCCATGACAGTTTCTAATCGTTGCGTCGGTCAGCGGTTCTGATGGCAGAGTACGGTAATTTCGGGATTAATCATGTATTTTATCCGTTAGAAGTGTATACGAGTACGAATATTTGTCGGGAGTGTCGGTTGAAGTGAGGGATCATTGCGAGAACGTATTATTTATTATGAGCGTTCGCGATTGACGACGCTTCGTTTCGATCGCCGTACCGCGGATCGAAACTGTACAGTCATTTGAATCGGGTGAGTGCAAAGTCCAACGTAAACGATTCCTATATTCATTCGAGAGATTTGAAGCGCGATTAGCGCGCGGTGTACTTTCCATTAGATGTGGAAATTCAGTTCGGCGAAATCATATCGAGCAAAAACATAATTGCGTTGCGTGTGCGTGCCTGTACGTGACGACTGCCGCATACTCGACAAGGTAGTCGAATCTGTAGTGAGTAGAATAACCAGCAATACTTTAGTTAATAAGTTCAATTATTCGTTCATTATTTAAATATGTATGTATAATTGTGATAGTACATGCGTATGCAATTACAATTATGTGCTTTTATTGCAGAAAAAGAATAACCGCGGATCGATTAGATAAAAATGGAGTGCGAAAATGCGGTTACGCCCGAGTTACCTGATAATATTCAGCGACAAAATATATCTGGCCGTACTAACGACAGCGGTTATCTCGCAGGTAATATGATGAGTGGTTAGGACCGGTTGCAGCGATGCCAATTGGCGCTAACCTCGATTAATTAAATTTTGTTACTTTTATCTACAGGTTGTTTCAGAACTGTTATTTTAATAGCTCGATTCTATGACCAATTTTATACCAATCTTCCCTTCACTAAAAATTGTAGCGCAAAAAATGTCTCGAGCTGTAATCAAGTAAAAATTGAACTATGTTATTGACAAAATTTTCGGCTAGAAATGAATTATTCAGATACATTGAATATACTTATATTGCAGCAAATCATAGATTATTTTGATATTGTTTTTTTAAAGAAAATCAACTTCAGATTAAGATTCATAAAACATGTTATTAAAAATATCGGTTTTGGAACACCGTGTACATTTTAATTCGACCTGCGATAAGGAGCAGGGATTGCCATTAAAAATCGGTTAAGGCTGTCAGCGCGATTTATCGTCGAGAGAGAAAATTCGAGTCCGGCTGACGTTTTTGTCGTCATGTTCGACTTGATTGCTCGCCGTGTCACGCGATTAGTCGCGGAACGAAATTAATCAGGTCGCGCAAAGGCGGTCATGCCCACGAACAGCAGCATGCATCGTGTATACTTCTGTTGTCGAGTTTTCATTTGCATGAGGGTTGCGATTATTTGAACAGTCGCTCGAATTCCGGTACGAGTATCATACAGTCCTCTTTCATTCGCATTTTCGCTATCTCTTGATACCACGCTACCGGCTGCATACTCCTTCTGTGATTGTGGCTGTAAATACGGCTATCAAGGCACTTCTTCTGTTTTTTGCAGGTGTCTCGCATCCTTGAGTTTTCTGTTATGAAAAATAAATTTACATTATAGATATTTCAAGCAGGGAAGTCTCAAAAAGATCCCTGAGTAGGCGCTTATGTACATTCACCAAATATTCTTCGATTTTCGTTACAAATACAGCTGTTAAAGCAATTTCGTCATTTTTTGCAGGTGTTATGGATAAGAAAAGTGTGCGGTAAAGATATGCATCACGGATGCAGATGGTGAGTTTAAAAAAATTTTTGAAAAAGGCTTATTCTGCATTTTTATCAAATAATCTTTGATAAGAATAAACCTATTTATTCCGCAAGCCGTTGTTATTATGCAATAATTTTCTCTCTGATTAACTTTTATAATTCTTTGATAAATTAAATAAATACATTTATATAAATATTTATATAAAATGTAATATTTGTATTACGCAATACATTTTCGACATAGCTTACAAAATGTGTTTATAACAAACAAAATTAATTTCAAATAGTTTATTTTTCCAATATTATCTTCAATTTTCACAAAACCATTATTGAATATAATTACAGAGGGAGTTACAGTATAATACATATTTTAAATTGTTAGGATAAATCTGGCAAAATTTACATATTTAATCGTAAATATCTTCAATTACAAACTTATTCGTTAACATTTAAACTCATCTCTTTTTTTCCCAAAAAGTTCTTTCGATTGTTTGAAATTTGCGAACAACGCAACGTCGGAATAGTCCGGGTGCGATTCAGAACTCCGGAATATTTGCTCAGGATTTCGGAACAGCGTGCAGGTGGCTTGCGGCGGCGACGACGACGGCACGAAGGTGCGAGTGAAATTACGCAAGCCTTCGGTTTCGCGAAGAGAGTCGCGTGCTCGCAAACAGGACGGCGTGGTGGTTACGCCGCCGTGTTGAGAAGTTTTCTATTAGCGATCAGCTCTCGCCGCCTTCGTCGTCGTTGTCGTCGTGTCGTCGTGCATGCATATATACACAGCAACGAGTAGTTCGTACCCTGACCGCATGGTCGATGGGCATCGCCCGATGGCGCGGACCGCCCGCCCGCCGTTGAGCCGCTTACATTAGACGCGCGATGTTGCAATAGCGACCGGGACACAGAGCTGGCTCTATGCGCACCGTGAACCCCGGTACAACGTTATAATATAGATATATACATATATATATATATATATATATGTATATACACCATGTGATCAATCGGCCGCTCGAGCACCAGAGACTTCAATGCAGTCTGGCGCTTCGTTGCATTTCGCATAATTGTGCCCGTCCAACCGGCCGGAGGAATTGATTTCTACAATAGAATCAGATAATTCGACTTTATTCCCCTCCACGTTATAGGGCGCGAGGCATGCTTTACGAGACAGGCTTATTGGAGAAATGTGTGATTTCCTCCCCTGTTCAGCTCTCAGTTACTTTATTGCCAATTTGTTTATCCGCGTTACGGGGATTGAGGCCGATGGTAATTTTATCGTGCTCGGATTTTGCGATGCGCTTTGTAGATACATGATAATGTTTGTTTGTGATACTGATAACGCAGCAATAGTATCGTTGAATATATTTTTCAATGTCTAGAGGATTAATGTTTTAATTCACATAATAATTGTATTATTTTTGTTCATTTTGTGCAAAACTGTATATGTGTTTTTTAATTTATATGTAAAGCTTACTTAAATAGCTTGTTAATAGTTCCATATCAATTTTTATATCTTTTTAGTCTGATTTTATCATGGCTTTTTGAGTCTTTCTCACTACTGAAAATATACAAATTATTATCGTATTTAAATCTTACTCAAAGATATTTTATTCATAAAATAGAATAATTGCTAATGATATTAAAAGTTATTATGACAACATTAGCTTATTACAGAGATATACTATTTTTTATATCTCTATAATCTGTTTTATATAGTTAGCGTTTCGTAATAATATCTGATAGAAAATCAAGTTAGAGAGAAATGAATTGTTGGGCTAAAGACAGGGATTCGCGTATATCTAGACACAATCCTGTGGCCTGCGCTCCGTCGTGGAGTTGTATCCCCAAGCCACCACGCACGAAATCGTGCCGAAGACGACCGAGCGTGGTCGAAGACCCGCGTGGTGCTCTGAGAGAATCTGCGTCGCGAGTCCAGGGTGTCTCAAGCGAAGATAAAAGCAGACCGAATCCTTGAGCTCCTCTTCTGATTTTGTAGGTGATATTACTTTATGCTGCAAATGCATACGAAATTCGTATCGATGATAACACTATTTGTAAAGAACTCCTTCACAGAAAGCATCAATAAGATCTTACGGTGAGGCGCTTATCGTTTCAATAATAAGTAAAAAGATAATATTTTTGAAAGTTCTATTTACGGGCGTAAAATAACACTATCTATTTCTGGTTACACATGTCGATAGCATTACATACCTTTGTACTTACAATTAGCTGTACTGCTAAAATTTTCATTGAATAAGAGATAAATGTCCCAAATGTCAATAAGATTTTATGTTGTGACAATTGGATAATTATATAAATTATTCAACATTAAACTTTTATAGATTCGAATTTAACATCGTCTATATCTAAATATGGAAATGTATACAATATGTCTAATGATTAAATATTTTTAGCCATTTAATTATATTACTAAATCTGAAAATAAATCCAAAATTTTATTTTTTTAACAAACTTGTTGCATGAAAGGTATTAAAGTATAAAACTGCGAAACAATTGCTTTTTGAGGAAACACATAATCATGGTAATATAAAGTAAGCAAATGTATTCTTTACTCATTATTTGTAGTATTTTTAATATTATCAAATTGTGAATTAATTTATACAACATATTTTATATCACAACAAAATGCTTATCAATGATATCATAATGATATTATCAATGATATTCCCAGGAAGACAAATACTTTATAGGAAATGTCAATGAGATCTCGCGTTGAAGCTCAATACGGGCTTAAATTTAACATTATCAATTTTTATTCATGCAGCTTAATTGAGATTACATAGCTCTGCACTTGACTACATCGTTAAAATCCTTATAAAACAAAAAGCAAATTTGTTATCGAAAATGTCAATAAAACTTCATATTGGGGCTTTTAATAATTAATTAGATAATTATATCAAATAATTTTACATCAAATTTTCTTGATTTAATGCACCCATATTTATATGTGCACTTGTGCAGAGTATATTGGACAATTAAATTAAATATTTTTAGAAATTTAATCATATTGTTAAAAAAGATTGAATTGGAAATGGATCAAGATCTTACTTTTTAAAGAATAGAAAATGTCAAATTGCAGAAAGTGAATTATTTTTTTTTGAAAACACGAGAACATGGCTGCATAGTAATGTCAACATATTTATTATATTTGCAGTTTGTTATATCTTTAAGATTATCGAGTTATATATATTGTCAATTCATTTACATTCAACATATTGCATGCCATACATGTATATGGGTTTGGTTCTTCCAGATTTCGTAGATGGCGCTGGTGGCGCGCTAAATTCCCCGCTTTTAATACGGGCGCTTGCGTACCCCACGCCAGTCGCGAATCGGCCTCCGCGTCAGTGGTATCAGTTGTGTGTTTGTGCGTCGCTCCGCCGTCCGTTACGTTTCTGTTTTCGTTTGCGCGAACGATTGACGGCGCCTAAACGCGTTTTCAACGAGTGACATTTCGGGCGATGGGCATCCGTGGTCAACCGGAGAATACGCGACGCGCTCACGCTCCGGTGTCGCGTCCGCGCGAGTAACGGTCGTTTCTTCCGCGAATCGAGTGACAAACATCGCCGACTCAGCGATAAACACATCGACCGGCCGGCCGTCGCTCTCATCCCTCTTCGATCGAGGATCGCGCTCCCCCGCGCGACATGGATCATCTCCCGGAGTAGCGGCGCGCGCGTGACTGTTGACACAACACGCCGACACCGAGCGTCTCGCAGTCGGATTATTCTCCCCCTTCGAATGTCGTGTGCCTCGCTCGCGAAGTGTGTGTTCCCGTAGAATGGACACTCGCCATCGTAACGACGGCGTTGTCAGCAGCGCTGTGCCGCGCATCGATCAACCCGTGAGGCAGCCAGGCCGACCCTCGTCGTAACGAAGCGCAGACAGTTTCACAGCGTACAGAGTGAGCTCGCGGAGAGAGAACCGCTCACCCCGTCGGCACCATTCAGTTTTGCGTCGCTTTTCGATAACGGAGTAGTATTGATATAATTTGGAACGAACATGCATATTCCGTCGCTGCTCTCGTCCCTTCGTGCAATGACAGACGTGCCGTGGATCGGCCGCTACGGCGATCCTCGACGAGCGACAAGCGGACGCAGCTGAAATAAGTTACAAAAGTCTCTCGTCAGTGATCAACGACAACATATCGATATATTTACGCGCGCGCGCGCGCGCACGCGAGCGCCATATTCAGTCGCGGAGTGTTGTGTGTCGTATTAAAAACAAGAGAACATCCGCGTGTTCGACAGAGTGGCTCCCGTGGAAAATCGCCTTAACGAGACCGTCGTCGCGGACGACCCGAGACGACCCGATAATGCGCGAGTGTTGATCGGCGCCCGGGTGCCTCGATCTCTTCCCCTTTCGTCCGTTTCATCTGTGCGTGCGTATACGCGATCCCACAACCATCGGCACCACGGAGAACGGAAAGAGCACAACGAGCACGACGGGGCCAGCCCTCGGATACATTAAATGAAGATGTGCCGCGGCGGCGGATTGATCGATCGGTTGCTCCTGCTAGCGGCGTTCGCAATCACCGTTCAAGGTACGTGATCGTTTCTCTCCGTTTCTAACCCCATTCTATCTCTCCCCCCCTCCCACCCCCCTTCGCCCCTTCTCCGTGCTCTCCCTAGCACGTTTCGCTTTTACGGTCCAGCGTCCCCCGACGCACGCCGCGCCGTGCGTAAATAATACACAGGGTGTTCTCGTAACACGCAACGCCGATTCCGACGGCGGCGGCAGCGACGGCGACGATAATCCAGCGTTTCGGCCGCGTATCAATTGGCGCCGCTTCGCCATTTAAACAGAATCCCTGATTCCCACGTTCCCACGTTTGGGCTCTCCTCTCGATCGCGTTACGCCAGATGCAAGCACAACTCGAGAGGGAGTATCGAGCGATTCGATCAGCATCGCTCTCCATGCGGCGTCGGAGGCGAATCCTATTCGCATAAATTGATTTGCGCACTCTCCCTCCCGTTGTTTCGTCGATCGCATTCCGCCGAATCCGCACAAATCGAGTTCGCGTGTAACGAGGACGCACGTTCGCGTTAGAGATTCCGGTTAAAGTCGTTGGGCAAATGGACTCTGATCACTCTCGCGTTTTCATTGCGTTGTTACACCAAGTGATGAATGCAAAAAAGAAAAGCAAGATAAGATTAAAGAATGTAACTGCTCTTATATCCTTAAGTAACGAATGTAACGATATCTTTTTTTGTTAGGTTAGTTGAAGTATTCATTTACATTGATAGATTAATTTACGTCTGTAGTCAAACATTCTCATTTTAGATAAAACAGGGGAGATAAGATTTATATTATAGCACTAAGGAAAAGGTATAAATGAGGGAAAAACCTAAAGTGATTTATGTTTCGGTTTCAACAAGCAACTTTTTTTTACATAACTTTTGAATATATTTTTTTCTTATTTATCAGTCTTGTCATCATAATATCTATAATTATTAATCATATATTATTAATATTACAATGATATCATTAATTATTAATTTGTGATCATTAATATTTATAATTTTATTTATTAATAATAAGAAATGAATAACAAGAATAATCTGTGATTGTAAATTAAACATGTACCGATTTCTGAAGACAGATTACGATATGTATTAATTACAATTCCTGGATTTGCGCTTATTTTTATTGCAACGACACAATGTATGTGCATATATTATTAATTGTGTTCGATCGCGCAATAAATAACACGTAATCAATTAAACTACTGGCGACGTTAAATCGTTTAAACGGGGAACGATTATTAAAGGCCTTCGAAGAACACACATCGATTCCTCCGCTAATGTGCCACCACTAATACTTACATACGGGCTCCGGTATCATTTCGTCTGAAATCAATTCCGTTAACCCTCAATTACTTTGATGTAGGCACCATCTGACCCCGAGATGCAGATAGCTTGCGAGATATCACTTTTATCTTGAACTCTGACTCATTATATTGCTTAAATGATTTTCACTTTTTCCCCCTCTTTTCCCCTCGTACACTTAATTAGTACACGAGTTATTGCCTTTGAAGATGATACACGCTAATTTCAACGAGGTTATTAAATTCTACCTTACTCCATTTTCACAAAAAGCTTCATAATCAGCGCAGCCAGATTATTTTACGACCATATCTCATGACTGTTTAATGAAACCTAGTTTCGATTTACATTTCAAACATCAAAATGCAACATTAGTTCTCTTTTTACGACATCATTTCGCAGCGCATTCACATTTAGTTAAGCTGAGGATTAAGTCTCTAGCAGCGCAAACTGCGCTTTTTTAAAGCCGTGTAATGCAAAGAAGCAATGAAACGCGACGATGTTCTCTCGCCGTAGTTCGAGAACGGGTTTTCGCTCCTAAATATGATCACGCGTCGAATATATTTGCTCGCTATTCGCTCTCGTGCGCGCTTTACACGTTACATTTTACACATCACGGGCCACCGATACCGGGTATAGAAAAAACAAGATTCGGCAAATATTAAGGGAAAGTTCCGACGGACGGATTATTTATTTTAGTAGTTTCGTGCGGCGGCCTGTCTAAAAATATACTGCGATACGCTGCGCGCGGGATAGGCTTTTTCGGTGCTGTATTTTTGTTTGCGATGCGATGTTTATCGTTATTCAAGCAAAACTCCACGTCTCCATTCTTATGCGTCCACCGCGTTATACTCGCTGTATGCACCATAAGCAAGCATTTGGTTTTCAAAATATCCCGCATTCACCGTCTGTATTTTCCTTCCTTTTCTTTAAACAAATATAATTATCTTTTCAAATTGTAAATTTTGCATTAATTAATTGAAGGCACTTTGATGTGTCATTTGAGAACATTTTATCAGTTTGAAAATCATAATTTATCTTAAATTATATAAATTATATATTCGTATTCGATCAATGATCATATTTTTTTCCCCTCTAAAAAAAAAAAAAAAACGATAAAGACCGTCATCGGGCTTTGTTGTGGAATTTTGAATTAGGTGAAGGAATATTCATAGCTTTAGTCAACTATTTCCATTTCCTTGAGCAGGCATGCAGCGACTCACTTTTGAACGTAGACGTTATATTGATTTCCCTATAATTACGCGCGTATGCTGGAAATAAGAACGAGTGGCACGCGACGATTACGCTAAGGCACGTTGGACAATGTGTAAATGATAAATCAACCTAAGTTTATCCCGTTTCGTAATTCGATGCGTAATTCCGCGACATATATTTCCTTTCTCTTTCTTGCTCTTTGATGAATTTGCTCATTTCCGCGGCGTCTGTTTTTCTCTTCCTTTTGTTTACTATTATTATTTTCGCACGGTTGCTCACCTTTTATTACCAGTTCCGATATAATTGTTGCCGTGTTATTGCTTATTACGTGGCGCCGATGCGCGACTATCGTCATCCTCGCTCGGAAACACGTTTTATAAATGGCTATTACAGTGCAACGATTGATCTTTCGCGCACGGCGCGATTAATCTCCTTCAATCACCGCTACGTCGACAATATGCGGTAAAAAAAAATCGCAGCTTACAACGAAGCGAAGAAAAGCCATCCTCTCTGCTTTCGCAGGTGTCCCAGCGTTGGCGCGCGTAAGAAGCTATCCGGACTCCTCCGACTATTCATGCTCCTTTAGAGATCCTTTTCATGCAGGCGGTTTTCTCTTTCAATCTCGCGTCGTATTTACCGGCTCCCAAATGGGGGACGCATCAGTGAGAATGTACAAGCGACAGTTTTGTAAAGCACGAGCTAAATGCGTGCCTCGCTAAAGCTCGTCGCTTTTACGGCGACGAGATGCAGGCAAGATTTTCTGATGATGATATCGCGCGATCGCCGTAAAGATTATTGATATTGGAAAGTAGCGAGAAATTTTTAAGACCGCGGGATGTTCGCAAGCATGCGAATATAATTTAGTTTGGAAACTTATTATTGCTTATTGAAGTGTCGGTATAACCGTATAAAATATATGCGTTAAACGTAATCAAACGTGATTTAGTTAAATTACTTCTGCGCAAAAGGATTTCTCTAGGATAATCGGAAATGTTTTACATATTTCAAACTTTAAATTACATTTCCTTCGCGCAGCTTATAAAATGCGCGCGTATTTCTCGATTCGTTTCTTTCGCGCTTAGATACGAATATTTTTACAAAATCAGGACTTGTATTGAGGATGTGGGAATTTCACCAATGACGCGAGCGCAAATATTCGGCTGTGCGATCGCGATATGAAAGACATCACTGGCGTCCGAATTTTCGCATCGCATAACTTTACGAGGCGGTTTCCCGACCGTGGCGCCGAATCACCGGCCCCGTCGATACTCGCTCCCCGGCCTTTTACGTCGAGAGACATAAAATACGTTACCGCGCGCGTTTTTGCCTTTGCCGTTGAAGCCCCCCAGCATATTTGCGATGAAAGTGTTCGCAAACTAGACAAACCACCGCGTCGACTAGGCGTGGTTAGCGACGCGACTCGCGCGATTCGCGATGCATGATGCACGACGACATTCTTTATATAGCTGCAAATAAATCGTCGTCTTAATCACGCCATCGCGTTTAACGCTTACATTGAGTACCGCGTGTCGTGATGAAGCGAGCCTAAATATTATTTTTAGATTTACCGTTGCGGCCATTAGAACGTAACGAGATTGCGGCGAGATGACTCGCCGCTTCATCATGTTTAGAAATAATTATCATCATATTTATCATCGACGTGATGTAGGATGTTCTTCGAAAATAATATTTAAGATTTACTTTCGCGCAACTTTATACTTTGATTCATTTTCTTCTTTTTTCGTCACATCTGACTTTTTATTAGATATATTTCAAATGCCCGAAATCTCGGAACTATCATTCGCGATATCTACTTGGAGCAATTCTCGGTTCTTGCCGAGTCGAAGTTCCAGTCGAACTGCCGCAAACAGTTGAGTCGCACTCTCATCGCCGGGACGTCAAAGGTTACCGCGGATGTGCGGCTAACAACAACGCAGCGGATGTAACAAGAGAGACGAGACTTCGCTCCGTGAACCAGTTCCGACTTTATCGATACACCCGCACTCCCGGGATATCGCGTACGCGGCCGGTGAAACAAAAACGGCACACGGATGAATAATTTATGACGAAGACGACCACCACTAGGTTGCCGGCTGCTCTCCTCTCTCCTCCGACCCTTTCTCTCTTGCTCCCTTTCTTTTTCTCGTCATGTTGGACAACGACGAACGCGGACGCGCACGAATAATTAATCACCATCTATAGTAGGAATCTAAAGATAGTGTTTCGCGACTGACTGACGTGTACATATGGTCTTTGTTCCACGCGGCTTGCGCGTAAAAACGGCACGTGGATATAATGCCGAGAGTTTTACTCGCGACGCGGCGTCTAAAAAAAGGGGATATCTCTTCCTCCTTCCGTCGGTGAAAGTATTATTTCGCGTAAACACGCCCGTTCGCTTATAACGTTCGCCGCCCCCATCGACTCCGTCCTTTTTGCGACGTCGATATCCGTGATACGCAATTAACTCGCGTCGAACAGCATGACAAAGTTCGACGCAGCTTGC